TCCAACGCACTAGATAGGACAACCTTTTGCTGACTTACCTTAACGATGAGAATGATTCCAATTGGCACAATAAAAAACATGGCACACCTAGTCTAGTTATTGCACGTAACATGAAAAGTGTGAACTCACAGACTATGTGGCTCAATGGTAGAGCGTTGGGCTATATAAAGCCGGAGGTCGGGTGTTCGAACCTGGGCTGAGGTAAGAATTTTTTATCTGTAACAGAGATAATATAAATAAATAAAAATTAATGTCAATTAGTGGGGGTTATTTTTGGAGAAGACTCAAAAATGATTTGCATGTTAACTTCCGAGACGACCAGTTGGTCCAAATAACAAAATTGGTTCGCGTTGTATCATTCAAAGCAACCAATCGTGATCCCTACACAATTTTAATTCGAGTTTAAGCTATAGAAGCGACCAGATGGTCCACTTTTCAAATGTTAATTCGCGTTTTAGTCAAGGTAGAGACCACAATCTAATTTGCGTTTGAGTAATCTAGACGGCCGTTTCGTGGTCCACTCTTTGAAAGAATTTGTTGAAATTTAATGTGTAGACCATGGTGCGAACAGTATCCCCAGATAAAGAAGAGTCGTAAAATAGACTTTTAACGTTGCTTTTTGATTAAGCTTTTGGTGAACGCTTTTTGGTGTTTGGCAGTCAGCCTTAATGAATGCTTTTTTTTTGTAAAGACAGTCAGTCTTGGTGGTTATAAATTTGTTGTTCTAAGAAATTGTATTACGTCGTTATACAAGTGAATGTTCTGGTTTGAGTTGAGCTCAAGCGTTGTTCACGTTTACGGAAAAGTAGTTAGTGTTGTGTTTACGAGCAGCAATCAAGTGAAATTAAAGAAGTGAAGATTTTGAAGTAAATATCAGTTGGTGTTTGTGATTCGAAACGGTTTCGGTAGCCTCAGGCAATCAGAAGGAGGAAACGGTAATTCCAGGGAACAGGCGACCGGTCACTGGCGCATCTAAAACAGAATTACGGCACACGGAAACGATAGCGATTTTCCAAAGCGGGAACGGAAGCACCACTTACTAACGTGCCTAACGGGAAGGCGCAAACCCCCTTCATAATTAACGAAATGAAAATATCCATAACGTACCTTGAAATTAAAGGGTACGGTATAGGTAATGCAAAATTAAACACTTTCAAAATGTGACAATATCAAAAATCCAAAAAAAACAGAAAAAGATTCTCCTAAATAATGCTGTTATCTTATATAGAATTCCCAAAATGCGGAAAGGGAAGGGAGGGATTTCTAGCCGGTCGGCATACTCTGGTGTTAACGTTTAAAATTAAAACTTTTTTCATTTTCTGGTCACCATAAAAATCCGGGACCAGTCCCAAAACGCGTGCCAATTAAGCGCACTTCATTTGACACTAGACAGAATCTAATCAGACAAGATTTTCTACTACCGGTATTTATGCTCACTAAAATGGCCGGGCACAAATTTCCAATTTCGGATTTTCAGTAAGGCTCATTGCTAACTGGAATGTTTGAGTCAACCGGCAGATTAAATTTATCAAGTTGATCTACGTGTAAGCGAGTCGGTTTCTATGCCATTGAACAACTATAGTCGGCCAATCATTAATTAACCGAGCTGAAATCATTCATTCCAATCGAAGAGAGCTTTCGGATCCTGCAAAGATAATTAAAATATCTCTACGGGAACGGCTACAAATCATTCGTCGAAGTACCGGGTGTTCAGTAATGCTGGTAGCTTCCATCAATGTACATTGCGTTCATTAATTCTAGTATAATTCCTGTACGAAAATGGGCTACAACAACCTAGAGAAGAGTTTTCATGATATGCTATTGGTATTTAGGGTTATGCCAGGTGTTAATAATTGGTTAAATAATTCTTAGAATTGGGGAGGGGGAGGGGATTGATTGACGCTCCTGAGTTTCTCGAATTAATAAAGTTTAAGTCTTTATCGAGATTTTTGTTATAGCGGATACTGGACGTGTCCTGGAAAAATGACAATAAGTTCGAATAACAGTTTTCTTAGTACCTGAGTTTAATTGAGCTACCTGGACAGGTGTATGTGGGCGGTTTAGTGACCGTATGCCATTGCACATACCAATATAGATCCCCAATTTTATTAAATGCCGATTGACTTGACTTGAAAAAAACCCTCTAATGGAACCACCCTGTCTCGGTCATAATACTCAACTCAAAAAAGCCGCGCAACCTTAAATACATTCAATTCTAAACCTTTTATTTAAAAAATCAGCCTTATACTCGTTCCACTTACCAAAATCCGAATCTTAATTACTCAATGCGGACCGTGCGAAATTTAAAGGATCAAAATCGGCATACAAACAAAAATCTATACCTAGTTACCTTTCATAAGGACCCCGAAAAGAAGTGCTGGCCTTGATACGGGAGAAGAAACCACCCTAACCTGCCGTGAAGTGGCGTGGTCTAAAGGATCTACAGTGGGAACCTGAGACTTGTATAAAATATACCGTACAGTGTATCGAAGCACCCGTTTTCGTACAACAGCTTATACCAGAATTAATGAACACACCGTACATTTTGATTTCTTCCATCATTAGTGAACACCCGGTATTTAGATACGATATAGGTTACAAAAATTGGTGTTCCGAGTCTATTTTTCTTATATGAGGTGGGGACAGGAATTGAAACTCGTCTAGAGTCGATGAGGAGGTCAGATTGAAATAAGCAATTGTCCAATGGTTCCTGTAGAGATGTTTTAATTATTTGTGTAGGGTTCGAGAGGTCTCTCTCTCTCTGCATAGAAAAAGGAGAGAGAATTAATATTGTTGTTACAGTTCCGTTGCTGTTAGCTTGATAAAGAGCCTATTGCGGTTGATTTGAAATTCCAAGCACATTACTGGCCTATCGAATTTTGAAATTTCAATCTGACCAATTAAGTAAGTGTAATTGACAGTACCTAATTGAATATGTTTCAGAAAGCATTATCCGAATTATCCTTGGTGTCAAAAGAAGCGCTTTTAATTAACAGGAATTTTAAAACTTGTTTCAGATTTTTTATCCCAAGCCGAGTAATTAATTAAAGACGTTTTAATTTTGGAGCGTTATCACATTACTCCATCGATCGACTGGTAAATGCGAGTTACTTTCCACAAATTTGGAAATTTTATAAAGGGGAGAGCGATTGAGAGAAAATTAATTCCTTCTTGGGAAGATTTTAGTGTTTTTTTTTGTCCACCGTTCAATTCTAAACGTAGCTTTACAAGTGACATTAATTTATTTATAATTATTATCTGTTGTCAATGTGATTTTCTTTAACTAATGGGAATTCATTATAAAGCACACGAGTCTCAATGGACCACTGAAGTTCATCACAAGAAACTTCTCGAGAACAAATTCATTTTTGGTACAAATTATAGCTGGTGATGAGACTCGGGTACACCCATGGGATCCAGAAACGAAGTTGGAATCCAAACAATGTATCCTCCTCCAAAAAAGTGACGCACCCAACCATCTGCTGGAAAGCTAATGACAACAGTTCTTTTTTATTATACCTGAATCACAATCTCCGTTTTAAACACTCAAATGCGTGCGAAAAAAGGCCTTTAAAACACACGTGCTTTAAAGTTGCTAAGTAACGATACTTCAAGTATGACTTTTGAAACTGTCATCTGGATGAAATAAAAAATCCTCTAGGTCGCTTTCTGTAAATGCAGAACATTTCTTTGGCTTTTGTACCTATCCTTTGGTTGAAGCTTTCACAAACGCGCGTAATTTAGGGTATGCTTCCAAATCTGTTCCACTTTTTAATCGCAACATTGCTTGGAAGTTTTGAATGAATGCACCAAAATATAGAAGATTTAAATACCTTTAAAATTTCCTTCATGTATGCCAGCATTATCGATTCATTTAAGACTGTATTCGTAAGTAACTTCCATGGAAACAACTTTTCATATTCTTTATAATAGGCTTTCCTGGAGTTGGATTTTACACCTACCAACGTTTGTTTAGATTTTACAAGCGATTTAATGAACCGTGTATTATCTTTTTCAATGGAAATCGTTTAATTCACAAAGACGATGATTTTTATAACCAAACGTCAAGTGACATTTCCATGGCAATCGTGAAATTACGAACACCCAGCCCACTTAATTAGACATGTATTCGAGTATAACGTCAATATGACTTCATTGTATTTCCTATTTTTAAATTATACTGCAGGTATAATAAAAAATACTATAAGATACACGTGTTTAATTGGTCTTTAAAGCACTTGCAACGTTAAAGGCACTCCGCTTTGCGTCGTGCCCTTAAACTCGTTGCGCGTGCTTTAAAGACTTGATTATACACTTGTATCTTAATATACTATTTTGGGCCATGAACGGTTTTCCTAATCGAATACATGAAGAAGGGGTCTACTATAAATGTAAAGAAAATTTGATAGCGTAAAAATTGCTACAGTAACAAACTTTAAATTTAAGTAGTATAAATAAACAATAAATCGGTCTCTGAACAGGTATTGCGACACGCATTTATTTTGTTGCAAAATGGTGGTAACTGAAGCAAGTGGTTCCCTTTTGTGATGTCGTATGTACCTACGCGTCTCTGCAGGAGAATAGACTTGCTGAATTAATTAAATTAATGACGTCCTTAATTGGAAGTGAATGGTACTGTAATAGATATAGATGCACTCTGTCTTCACCTTTAAACGATGTTATTCGGTGATTATTATTATGTTCTTTACAATAAATTACAATTTTACAATAATTAAATGTCAAATGATGTAACTCTTCCTTTGTATTTTTAAATGTCTTAAATGCTTTGGAGTGGTTTGTGCACAATGTATCGCATGAATAGAAAAATACAGAAGTCGATAAAAACAACATTTGATGTGATCTTTTGTCAATATTTGATTTGAGATTTGTTTAATGTGGTAGCCGTATTGACTTTAGGTCACATCACACCCGCGCTTTTACTAAAGTAAACCAATTTGTCGGTGAAGTGAGGTGAGATCAATAAAAATTCTCGTTCCACATTAGGTCTTAACTGTACGTAAAACCATGAAGAACGAATACGACTGTTGCAAAATCTGTAAAACATTGACGCTCATCTTAAGCTTACGTTCGTTTACGTAACATACCCATATGTAAGATCCGATCGATATTGGTAAGAGGTTACCAGCTTTGATCACGATGGGCTTATCGCATCGCATCATCGTGAAACGTAACATCCTCTTCATTTTTTCTCCTCTCGTGTACCAGCAGCTGTGATAGATTCCCAGCGAAATTTTTTGACCCTAAAATTATTTCTTCTCGGCATTTCTATGCAAACAATTAGGAAACTTATTTATTTTAATGGGCGATTCTTGGGTTAATACTAAATCGAATGATTTATACGTATGGCAGTTGTTTAGTAAGGGTCCCAAATAGTCTCCTTCACTAAAGGAGGAAATGGTGCGAAAGTTACCCATGAAAGAATGATCCCAGGTGGGGCCTATCTTACAATTTAGAAAGCTGTTCAACACTTTTGGAGAATTTTTAAGAATATTGATGACTTATAATGACCCAGTTCTTAAAAGACTTATGAAGACACTAAAAAAAGGCTCTAATGGATCTTCTGGATGCTGTCCCCGAGACTGTAGGCAATTCTTAAAACCCGTTAAAGATTATTACAAGCTTTAAGAAACTGAAAGAAGAAGTTCGTTTTTCAAGAAATTTTAAAGACAAAGACTCAATACTAAAATGTCCATTCAAGGTTCTAAAAGCCTTATCGAGACTTTCAAAGACTCTTAAAGATTATAAAAGTCAATTAAAGGCTCTTAAGTCCTCTAGCTAGAAGGAGGTTGATGAGGGCCTTTGGAAGATTTTCACTGTTCGACAGGGACGGACTGGCCCGGGGGGGCGGGTGGCGATTGCCACCTGGCCTGTACGTCATAATGGCCCGTTGGAAATTTATAAGTATGTGCTGTATTTAGTTTCTTGCACTATTCATAAGTTATTAACACGTTTCTCTAATTGGGGTTGATGTTAGGTTGTTAAAAAATTAAAAAATTCTGTTTTAATTGAAGTGTTTTACAATGAATTTATCATTTTTTGTCGTAGCATGAAAGTGATGAAATACAATGATATGCGACTTTTAATTATCAGCTGCAATTTAAAAAAACCTGTATTGTAATTGATTTCCGAAAAAGGAGTACTTTAAAATGAAGCAAAAAATGTTTTTGTGGTGCACCGCAGAGCTACCCCCCCGCCACCTTCATTACTACACTAATACTTTAATGGCCCGTAACCTATGCAATTCCACCTGGCCCGCCCCTGACTAGAAACCAATTTCGAAAGAAAATTCAAAGGGCTGTAACTTTTGAACTAGAAGCCCAATCTTGGAACTGTTTGAAATTATGGATTCTACAGGCCACATTCTATAAGAAAAATTTTTTTCCGGGTCGATCTGAGACAATTTTTTTTTTCGGGGCTCAAAGTAAGGCAGTGTATAACCTTCCTTTTTTACCAAAAATCGACTGCACCAAAATTTCTCGGGAAAACACTTTTTCTTATTAATTTTGGTGCGTAGAATCTAAAACAATTCGTTCTTTTTCGATCGGACTTCTCAATCAAAAGTTATGGACTAGAAACCAATTTCGTAAGAAAATTCAAAGGGCTGTAACTTTTGAACTAGAAGCCCAATCTTGGAACTGTTTGAAATTATGGATTCTACAGGCCACATTCTATAAGAAAATTTTTTTGCGGGTCGATCTGAGACAATTTTTTTTTCGGGGCTCAAAAAAAGGCAGTGTATAACCTTCCTTTTTTACCAAAAATCGACTGCACCAAAATTTCTCGGGAAAACACTTTTCTTATTAATTTTGGTGCGTAGAATCCAAAACAATTCGTACTTTTTCGATCAGACTTCTCAATCAAAAGTTATAGACTAGAAAAGAAACCAATTTCGAAAGAAAATTCAAAGGGCTGTAACTTTTGAACTAGTAGCCCAATTTTGGAACTGTTTGAAATTATGGATTCTACAGGCCACATTCTATAAGAAAATTTTTTTCCGGGTCGATCTGAGACAATTTTTTTTTCGGGGCTCAAAAAAAGACAGTGTATAACCTTCCTTTTTTACCAAAAATTGACTGCACCAAAATTTCTCGGGAAAACACTTTTTCTTATTAATTTTGGTGCGTAGAATCCAACACAAATCGTACTTTTTCGATCGGACGTCTCAATCAAAAGTTTAAGAAATATGAAAGCTAGTACAAAGCCTTAGAGCTCAATAAAGCCTTTTCGAAATTTTTGGGGACTCCTAGGGTTCCTTCAAAAGTTTTAATGACTTTTAAATACTAAAAGCCTCGTAAAGGTTCTGGAGGTAGGTTGTAAGGTAACTCTTCTAGCTTTTAAGGTCTATTAAGGACTCCTCAAGATGTTATAGATTCGACTTTCAAGCAATCTTAAAGACAAGGGCTCTTGAAGGCTCTTACTATTCAAGATTCTAACAGCCTCTTGGAAACTTTTAGCTCTTAAGGACTTTCAAAGATTAATAAATACCTTTACAAAATGGTACTTTTTTAATAGCTATTACGACCTTAAGAGCTTTTTTGGTTCGGCGCTTAAAGAGAAGATAGAATCTTAAACACTTGGAAGGCGCAAAGGCCCATAAAAGTAGTTTCTCAGACATTTTTAAGGCGTATTAAAGATTTACAGCCCGCTGAGGACCTTAAAGACTCTTAAAGATTATGACAGACAACGAAAGGCTCTCAAAGCCTCTCGATGGCCCTTGAAGTCTCCTGAAGCTTTTGGAAACTCATGTACCTAGGCCCTTAAAAGCCCAATACTTTTATTTTAGGCTCTTGGGGGTTTTTGGAAGTGATTCTTTAAAAAACCTAAAAACTTTTAAAATCCCCTACAGCCCTTCAAATTCACATTCGAATATTAAAAATACTAAAGATTATTAAGGGCTCCTATCAGTGGCGGTCCCAGGATTTGGTAAAGGGAGGGGCCCAAACCCAAACTTTGTCCCAACATGGAAAAAAATGAAAGAAATTTCGCATAATGGAAATAAGATCGACACAAAATTGATGAAAAAAATGGACAAGGGGGGGGGGGGGGCACTGGCTCCTATAGACTTTCAACAGCTCTTAAAAGTCTGTTAGAGTATCGAAGACATCTAAAAGAGTACTGCAGACATTGGTCGAAATTCCAGGACAGAACCATTCCAAAATCTTTCTGGAACCCCAAATGAGAAATTAGCATCGTCCATCTTGAGTTAGACGAGGAACAGGCGGACAAAGCATTTCGTGACTTCTTCCTTCCTCGTAAAGAAAGGTTCTGGAATCTGGGGACTGTAAGAGATCCTTCGAAACTATAGGCGACTCTTAAAATCTGGTGAACATTAAAAGCTCTTAGAGACTCTTCGTAAAGGTTGCCTTTTCAAGAAATCTTAAAAACAAAGGCTCTTAATACTAACAGCCTTTTGGGGAATTTTGAAGATTAATAAATACCATTCAAGGATCTTAAGTACTTAAAGGTTCTGAAGGCTCTTAAAGAGAGACACTTTACAACCATTAGATGCTGTTAAAGACTTTTAAAGGGTCATAAAAGTATAGACGAACGTTAAAGACCTTTAAGCTCTTTAATGCGAGTTTCTTAGCTACTCCTAAGGCCAACTAAGAATTTACAAAGGCTGTTAGGAACCGCTTCATAGCGAACGTGAACGAAAATATGTCTGGCGATAACAGGCTTGCGGAAAGCAAACGCGTTTTTTTCCGTTTTGTTAGCAACGTTATAAAAGAAGGTGCGTGCCATTTTTTTTGTAAGAAAATGTTTAGTTCGCTTACGCGTCAAGATTTGCGTTCGAAATTGAACAACAAAACTTGCAATTATTGAGTCAAATTTATCCGAATAATAGTTTTAATTGTGGATTACACCGGGAGGTTAGCCCTTTGTTTTTCAAGCGATAAAAACTACGGAAAGAAACACACCAATTTTGTATATATAACACGACAGGAAATTTAAAGACAATTATTCAGTGCATTGGCCCGCAATAAACCGTAGTTCATTTTCTAAGGACGAATAAGACTAATTTGTAACCTGAAAGGAATCTCATCCACGTCAATTACTGCAAGTTATTTTAAATTTTTTCATTTGTATAAAGTAGTGGTTACTTATTTTTAGGAATTTGTGTATTAATTTTGTTTGAAAGAATTTTAATATTCCTAAAGGAATTGACCTATGAGAATCAATTGCATAAAAAGATTTTTAAATCGAATCCAAACAAAGGATTTTTGTTATTTTGATTCATTGATTGAGAAAGTTGCATCTAAAAATAACTGTCGTGGTCCTTCTTGTTGTTGGGTTAACACACAATGGGGTCGAATCGATAAATAAATGGAATATTACGAACAACCATCCCCCATGAAACGTTAATGGGGGATGGTTGTTTGTAATATTCCATTTATTGGTTGCGTCCATTAAATGCTATTAAGCTCTAGAAGACAAATTTCTTCGATACTCTTAAACCGTATTAACGATTTACAAAGGCTGTTAAATACTGTCAACAACTCGTTGATCGGCCGACCGTTGATTAGTCGCCTTTTACGACATGCAGTGCCTCTGCAGTAGGGGTATTCTTTCCCGCCCCTACACGGGTAAAAACCAAGAAAACGCAAAGAAAACATCAAGCCGTGAAAAGGTGTGACACTAAGAGCTGTCGATGAGAAGGAAATTCAAAAGGCGACTTTTGTAAACGCCTACTTACCGGACAGCGCCTACAAGAGCACGGAGCGTATCCTTGGTTTGTTGCAGAAGTAGAACGCCGACTTCAACACTAAGGAATGGCGAGTGCTGAAGAGAGAGCAGGAGGGTTTCCTTGATCCTCGACCCTATTCAACAAAACCAAGTGACAGAGGCGGGAAGAAAGATGGGAAGGGTACAGAAGTGCCCTAGCCAAGTACAATTCCGCTATAAGAAGATCCGGCAAATTGTGTGAAGCACGCGCCTACAAAAAGACAACTCCAATTATTGCATTGGGAATCTTAAGAAGCTCGATAGGAAATACACAGCGAGCAGTCACTTTCCAGGCTCAGAAGAAATAAACACTTCTCTTCGACAGAGGCCGAAGGCCAGGTAATGCCTCACTCCAGAGTTAAAAGCGAAGCCTCAAAAGTCTTAACAGGAGAAGGTAGAATGGGCTCTAATGGCTTTTTTTGTAAGACGTCTGATGGAAATGGAATCTTTCCAACACTCTTCCAAAAGCTTGTTGGGCACATACTGCATACCACATGTAATCTGTTGAAGGGGATGGAGATAGAAATTCACATTCAGGGGCAACATCGCCACCAGGTGTTCTTCCACTTAATCCATTAGAGGGTACTTTTGATAACACCTCGCGTGAAGCCATGGAAGCGGCCACTGAAATCAAAGGCCTCCCCTCCAAAAGAACAATAGGCTGGATAACGGCCATTTTGAGGAGCAGGAAGATAACGGCAAGGCTAGACGAGTCAGTCACGAGAGTGTGCCTTCAAGGGATAGATACAAAAAAGTGCAAGATAGGTACTCTAGAATGAGAGTCTCGTTAAAAACAACATTTCGAACGTTAGGTACCCTTATTTTACTTACGTGCTCCGTCAGTTTGCTCGAAAACCAGCAGAAGAAGTACAATTCGGAAAGTTCTAAAACTATATGGTTAACCAAGTTAATAAATGCGCCATTGAATGCACTCATCTGCAAATAACCGCTAAGCATTTTAAGTTTTCCAACACCTCTTCATGTTACCGAAAATGTAGCAAGAGCAGCAAAACACAAACTTATGCCAAAACAGAACTGACAGACCATTATGCCATTAATGCACTTTTGCAAGTTAGCGCAACTTCTAAAAACAAACTTGTTCAGCTGAAATCGGACTCGTGGCCTTACTTTAGTAATCGTTGATGGTATCGAATGCACTGTTTAGCTCGTTCCAGCATTTCGTCTTCCATGCACATTTCAAGACCTGTATGAATGCATTTAAAAGAATGCGAAATAATATCGAACTCTTCTGCAATTACGGCCATAACTTTTCCGTAAAAGACGTGAACATTTATGGTGTTTCCGCCGCCGAGCACCCCCACGTAAGTGTGCATGAACCAGAGGTAGTAGTAATACCGTTGTGTATCGAAGGGAAACCATGGATTTCCAAATGGGAGCTTTCCCGATCTTACAACCAAAGGTCTTACAACCCACATAAACACGCAAAATTCGCCAAAAATGATATTATAAAGCCCCAACTTGTCCAAAAGGTCAACGGCTTTACCCATTATCGTCTTCCTATACGAGTGCATTGCGAACTGAGGCCGCCATGTACTAATTGTCTCCTCCAAATCGGTGAGAAGCTCCTCAATATTCTCCTTTTGGGCTATTATGTTGTAATACTCGTACGATACCATAAAGAATGCCATGACCATGGGAAAATCTTCACAAAGTCGCTCAAAATCAACGAAGCCGTTTAGAACTAAATCCATAACTAGACTCACTTCGTGAAGTACGGTTATTAGTAACGACACAAGAACAAACGATTTTGAGAAAATTCCCATTTTTTCGTTAATGTGAACATTCGCGAGCCATTTAAATGCTCGTATGTTGAACGTAAACAAACCTTTTCCAGCCATTTACTCGCACCAAATGCTTTCATTCAAATGTCCGCTACGTTTTATTTGTGCCACAAAGTTTGTTAATTAATGTATCGCATGTTAAATAAGCAGGTAGCTAACTTATTAATGCGAAGTAAGAAGTTAGGATATTTCTTAATTATGTTATTATTTATTTTCATGGTGCATTTGCGTGCTGCATCTGTTTAATTCCCATTTCGTCGAGTCAAACCGAAAGCGAGAAAACTGAGAGTAGATTATTCTAATTGGGTTTTAATGGAACTATCTGTACCTACTAATATACCGGGTGTTACATAAAAGTAATTAATGGAAAATGTCGCAAATAAAAAAAATGTGCCAAATTCTTCACAAAAAAGCTTCCTAGCTTAGACCAAAAAGCGCTCTTCGCCCTACGCACGCTTTTTTGACTTTTGTTCGTGTTTATTACTAACATTCCATTTATTACCTAAAGTCAGTAAACACAATCGGCACGTGAGAATAAGAATGACGTTTTACAACTTATCCCTTAATAGGGTACGACACCCTCATTAAGTTGTCAATGGCCTTCTTTTTTGTCGGCGGCCTGGTGCAGATGTTAGGTTCTACTTTTCTTTACACTTTACAGTATTAATATTAACACAGATTTTAGTATTTAAATGTGATATTAATTAATCATTATATAAACTGCAGTATATATACATACATATAGCTAGGAAGCTAATAACGATGCACGGCTTAGCTTAGGGTCCAAAATAAAAAACCTCCACGGCACTGGCAAAATTTTTAATTAGCCCCACGGTTGGCTCAGTAATAAAAATATTTTAAAACCCATAACCTGTCGAAAGTTTGGCCCTTTATCTCCTTTTGAATGATCTGGTTTGATTGAACTCAAATAAATACGCATATGACTTCAGTGGATTGAAATACAGAGTGACCCAACGAGAAGTATACAGAGGGCTATTAAATTTAGGAATTTCGAAAAATCCTCGAACACGTCAATTTTGTATTCGAGGGGGGCAACTTTTGGAATACAAATCACGAACCCAAGTCTTCACCCCTCTACGTAGGGAGCTTAACCCCTAAAATTTTAAATGGAATCTTATGGCAAATGACACACTATTTGAAAGCAAATTTAATCGTGATTACTACTGCTTTGCTTTTTAAATTCTATTGATTCGGTTCGGAGTTAATTCGCATTTGAATTGGTTTTTTCTAAAAAACCAAAACAAATGCGATCTGTCACCTTTATTAAAATTTTATTTTGACGCTTCAATTTGTTTGTTAAACTTAAGTGAACCTGTCAGTTCTCCTTGGTCTATTGTGCTACCCTTCACGTTGATAGGATGAATCCTACTTAGCTTTAAGATGGACGACGCTAATTCCTCATTTGGGGTTCCAGAAAGATCTTGGGGAATGGTTCTGTCCTGGAATTTTCGACCAATGTCTGCAGTACTCTTTTAGATGTCTTCGATACTCTAACAGACTTTTAAGAGCTGTTGAAAGTCTATAGGAGCCAGTGGCGGTCCCACGCCCCCCCCCCCAATTTCCATTTTTTTCATCAATTTTGTGTCGATCTTATTTCCATTATGCGAGATTTCTTTTATTTTTTTCCATACATGGGACAAAGTTCGGGTTTGGGCCCCTCCCTTTACCAAATCCTGGGACCGCCACTGATAGGACCCCTTAATAATCTTTAGTATTTTTAATACTCGAATGTGAATTTGAAGGGCTGTAAGGGATTTTTAAAGTTTTTATGTTTTTTTAAGAATCGCGTCCAAAAACCACCAAGAGCCTAAAATAAAAGTATTGGGCTTTTAAAGGCCTAAGTACATGAGTTTCCAAAAGCTTCAGGAGACTTCAAGGGCCTTCGAGAGGCTTTGAGAGCCTTTCGTTGTCTGTCATAAACTTTAAGAGTCTTTAAGGTCATCGGCGGGCTGTAAATCCTTAATACGCCTTAAAAGTGTCTAAGAAACTACTTTTATAGGCCTTTGAGCCTTCCAAGTGTTTAAGATTCTATCTTCTCTTTAAGCGCCGAACCAAAAAAGCTTTTAAGGTCGTAATAGCTATTAAAAAAGGACCATCTTGTAAAGGTATTTATTAATCTTTGAAAGTCCTTAAGAGCTAAAAGTTTCCAAGAGGCTGTTAGAATAGTAAGAGCCTTCAAGAGCCCTTGTCTTTCGATTGCAGTCGAATCTTTACAATCTTGAGGAGTCCTTAATAGACCTTAAAAGCTAGAAGAGTTACCTTACAACCTACCTCCAGAACCTTTACGGGGCTTTTAGTGTTTAAAAGTCATTAAAACTTTTCAAGGAACCCTAGGAGTCCCCAAAAACTTCGAAACGGCTTTATTGAGCATTAAGGCTTTGTACTAGCCTTCATATTTCTTGAAATTTTTTCTCCCCGATAGGTTTCTGCAATTTTATAGTCTCTAACAGACCCTTTGAAGGGTCGTTAAGCATCTATAAGGTATTTTAATAATCTTTAATATTCGAATGTGGAACCTGTAAGTGCATTTAAGATCTTTTAACAGTGAAAATCTTCCAAAGGTCCTCATCAACCTCCTTCTAGAGGACTTAAGAGTCTTTAATTGATTTTTATAATCTGTAAGTCTTTGAAAGTCTCGATAAGGCTTTTAGTACCTTCAATGGACATTCTAGTATTGAGTCTTTGTCTTTAAAATTTCTTGAAAAACGAACTTGAATCTTTAGGCCGATTCTCACTTTCGTGCAAAGAACCGGCCCGGCAACAGCACGGCACATACTCGGCACGGGCAAAGTTTTTTGAGTTCAATTCACACTGCGACACGCTTGCCGCAGGTAAGCAGTTTCTACGTGAGTTTCAACTGTGGAAATGTTCGAAACTTCCACGTTAATTAAAATAGGTCTAATATTAGATGATGAAGAACAAGAAAGTACATATTGCAGAAAAATAAAAATACGTTTTTGTGTATATAAAATGCATAAGAAGTATCTTTTATGACCGAAATCATTCTCTCGGACACATTCAATCAGCATCTCATCTTGTTCCGCTGAAAAAGTGTTCCTTTGCTGACCCTTCAACCTTTCTTGTACTATGAAAACTGAACTAAAGTCGGTGACCTGCACAGATTGTATTCACACTTGTCGGAACGTGCACGGTACATGCCCGGCAAATATTGTTTCAGAAGAACACCGTGTGCAAAGGCCGTAGCTTGCCGAGTCGTTGCTCGCATAGTGTGAATTACACCCCAAAAAATTCATAAGATTCAATAATATAGATATTTTGCTGAGTCGATGCCTTGCCTGTGCCGAGTACGTGCCTTGCACGAAAGTGAGAATCGACCTTTTAACGGGTTTTAAGAATTGCCTACCGTCTCGGGGACAGCATCCAGAACTTTTTATATGCTTTAGGCCCGTTAGTCTTTTTTTAGTGTCGAACTGGGTCATTAAGTCATCAATATTCTTAAAAATTCTCCAAAAGTGTTGAACAACTTTCTAAATTGTAAGATAGGCCCTACCTGGGATCATTCTTTCATGGGTAACTTTCGCACCATTTCCTCCTTTAGTGAAGGAGACTATTTGGGACCCTTACTAAACAACTGGCATACGTATAAATCATTCGATTTAGAATTAACCCAAGAATCACCCATTAAAATAAATAAGTTTCCAAACAGCATACAAATGCCGAGAAGAAATAATTTTAGGGTCAAAAAATTTCGTTGGGAATCTATCACAGCTGCTGGTACACGAGAGGAGAAAAAATGAAGAGGATGTTACATTTCACGATGATGCGATGCGATAAGCCCATCGTGATCAAAGCTGGTAACCTCTTACCAATATCGATCGGATCTTACATATGGGTATGTTACGTAAACGAACGTAAGCTTAAGATGAGCGTCAATGTTTTACAGATTTTGCAACAGTCGTATTCGTTCTTCATGGTTCAATTTGTTTGTTAAACTTAAGTGAACCTGTCAGTTCTCCGAAACGAATCAATTGAATTAAAAAAGCAACGCAGATTAGTAATCACGATTAAATTGGCTTCAAATAATGTGCCATTTGCCATAGGATTCCATTTAAAATTTTAGGGGTTAAGCTCCCTACGTAGAGGGGTGAAGACTTGGGTTCGTGATTTGTATTCCAGGTTGTCCCCCTCGAATACAAAATTGACGTGTTCGAGGATTTTTCGAAATTTCTAAATTTAATACCCTAAAAGCCCTCTGTATACTTCTCGTTGGGCCACTCTGTATATGTTGTTGAAATTTTAATCACAGATACTTGTAGTAAAGGCAAATATATCGCATATAGTAAAAATCAGATGTGCGCATGCGCAATGCCAACTTTCTTATTTATGGAGATATTTCTTTGAAATTTTAACCAAAGATGCTTATAGTAAAAGCAAACGTATTGCATATTGTAAATATCAGATTAATAAGCGCATGCGCAGGACGCACAATATCAACTGCGCAGTAAGTGTCAACTTCCTTATTTCTGTAAAATTTTAAACGTATAGGTATGCCTCTAGTAATGAAAAACATAGCGCACATAGGTATGGCCTTTGGGGAAGTAGGTATTGATCATTTACCTATGGAAAATGCGCTGAAGTTACTCGCCTTAGGGCGAAAACCTTTTTACTTATTTAGTTGTATTTCGATTTGTACACAAATTGTTCATTCTACATATTGTGGAATATAATGCTTTCTAGATTACTGTTTGCTACATACGCAAAGTGAATTGTGTTTAATTTCAATTTAAGGGCGATGCCGAAGTGATGAATAGTGAAATCCGCGCATGAGCGTTGTAAATTTACATGTTACAAACGTGAGTACACGTAGGTAAGTGATAAATAATGTTTAAAGACCATTTAATTTAGTTTCTCGTTAATAGTGCTGGTTCCTGTGAGCATTTATCTAAATAAACATTTAAATATATTACAAATTTAAATGTACGCTACTACAATACGAATTTTTAATTCTTAAATTACATATACCACTCATTTACTACACATTTTCCAGATGTAGTTCAGAATTCGTCAACTTAAGAATCTTCTGTACCTACCACTGTACCCAATGTAAATTTTAATAATAGCGCGCGCCATAAACACTCAAGTTGTTTTTTTTAAATGGACCTTTTAACTACAAAATGTGTGGACTATTTTTTAAAAAAAAGTTTATAAACAACTGAATACCGGTTGTTTAAAGATTAGATGTTATTTTCAAAGATAAATACAAAATATTGCAAAAACTGAAGGAATTTTGACGAACAGACGGGCAGCGGGCGGATAAAACGCAAACAATAGCACTTTTTTTGTTTATTTTTAAAAAAATACTTACTGTATATTTTTTTTATTAAAAAAATGTGCAAAATTCTCGAAAGAACACCTTCCTAGCTCAAACCAAAAATAGCGCCTTTAGAAGTGTCTTCAAGAAGTAGTAAGTGTAGGGGAAAAACGTTTCCCGCGATTAAATAAAGGTTTTTCTAACTTTGTCGAAAACGAATCGACGTATTTTAAAAAATCAAACGTAAAAATAAAGGACTTCGAAAGACCTTTCAAACAAACTATTACTCGATATCACTTGTTTAAAATTTGTAAGGGAAGTGGTGGGAAGTTTTAAATGAACACCCTGTATATTATGAAGCTTCAGTTTGATACTTTCATTTGCAAAAATAGACAGTGCATAGTTACCTAAACCTTTTTGAATTAAAAAGTTCAGCATAACTTTATTTTTACACGGATTATTAACGAGCTCCTAGCGAGTTTATAATTTTGCGGTCTGTCTGTCCGTACGTTAGCACGATAACTCATAAACGAATGGACCGATTACAATTAAATTTTGCAGCTAGATTCTTTATCAAATTTGTAGATCCGAGTTGTGAATTGGCAATGCAGACCAAAAAATAAAGTAGGCCCTTTTGACATCTCCATTAGTTATGAACCGAAATGCATGAAATTCAATATGCGCATAGCTTTAGCCATATAAAACACAATTCCAAAAGTTGAGCCTAATCGATCAACATTCACAGTGCCCTTTTCGCATCTCGACCATTTACAGACAGAATTGCATACTTTCTTATTTAGGAAGGTACCTATTTAAATAAAATCTGTTACATAGCCACTTGGAATAGAAGAAAATATAACGCCAGTTTAAAAATTTGGTTTTGCACATGCTATAGCCATACCCATCAGGAGCGCTGTTTAATTTATGTCTAGAGAACAATCAAAAGTATGTAATAAATACACAGAAACCGAAACAGAAAACCTTTTTACACAGATGAAATAAGTAAATAACATTCCTTTAATTTAATTATACCTTTTAATCTCCTACCAGCGACACGTCTGCTTTGTACGGTGACCTACATGATGTTTGCGTTCTAATGTCCGCATCCCAATATCTGCGGTCTACCGTCTTGCAGTCCAATATCCGCGTACTAGTCTTACAATCCAATACCATAGCGTCGTGTAATCTTTGACACAGGGTTTTCTCAATTGGCTAAAAACCGAAACAGGAAATGATCCTACACATTCGACCAAACCATGGCCCATATGAATAAAAGGAAGCACATTATGCTTATACTTGCAAAATTCAAAGTAAATACGCGTAAGTGCCCCTTTATACTGGATTGGTCTCTTATTGAGTATTTACTTTGAATTTTGCAAGTATAAGCATATGCTCCCTTTTATTCATATGGGCCCATATAATAGCTGAATAAATGTTCCTATGGATATGTACTAAGCGATCAAAAATGAGTTGCTGTCGAGTCACCTTTGGAATTTTTGTTTACATAGAAACTCAAAAATTTCCAAAGGTGACTAGACAGCAACTCATTTTTGATAGCCCGTTATCTACTCCATAGGAGCTTTAATTGCAACTGTATCAAAATGGGTTTCAAATTAAAAAAACACCTTTATTTTATCTTATTTAATTGTTCCTCATAAAATTAAAATTTCTTAAAGCTCTTCTTAGAGCCAGTTTGTTTGGTCACTTTAAGAACGTTGAATCTAACAGTTTTTGAAAGTGGACGACATTCACCAACAGTCACAATATCACCAATTTCAACATCCCTAAAAGAAATTACATAAGTTTCCGAATTAATAGCGCACAACCGAAATGTACCTGAAGCAAGGCGAAAGATGAACAGACATATTGCGATGTCTCTTCTCGAAACGGTTGTATTTCCGAATGTAATGCAGGTAATCACGTCTTATAACGATGGTACGTTGCATTTTCATTTTTTGTACGACACCGGTAAGGATGCGCCCACGAATGGAGACATTTCCAGTGAATGGGCACTTCTTGTCGATGTAGGTGCCGTCGCTTGCCTATAGTTTATAACATCATTATGAAAAGCATTTAACAACCAGTAACCTTTTTTGATTTACTACAACACCAACACAAAACTCTCATTATCGAGTCCAACCGAAAAGACATAAGGCTGTATGTAAATCGAAAATGGTTCGTAACGCATTATGTTAAGCAATACCACCAACACCACAAAGCGATTAAAGCAAAAAAAACATGCAATTAGTTCCCTTCACCGACGTTGACTTGCCACCGCACCACCTGAAATAGTCAAAAATAAAACAAACCTCACGAGGCGTTCTAAAACCGAGACCAACATTACGATGGCGACGAATTGTCTTCTTCTTCGTATAGTCCTTACGATGAAGATTAAGGTGCGGTTGTTTTTGAAAAGCTCTCTCTGTCTACACACAAAAAAAACTCGTTAGCATGCAAACGACTGTACTAACCTCGCGTGGCGTTCTGAAGCCGAGCCCCACGTCACGGTGGTAACGTAAACTTTTACGCTTTTTACCACCGAGAACCTTTTTACGGTTTAAGAATACCGTCGGTTGGTGTTGAAATGATCTTTCGTTCTGGAAAATTGTGCGGTAATTCAATTAGTATGAACGCAATAACCTCAATTTAATTGTTCCAACACGTGGTAAACAATATCGAAGTTATTGCAGTAGTTACACGGTTCCTTAATGGAACAAAGGTACTTTTTTAATAATAAATACGAAAAACTATAAATCGGTATGAAATACAAGATTAAATAAATAAATTTGTAAATTTTACTAACCTGGTCAGCCATTTTGTAACTGTAAAAGAGTGGCCTTTCACTTGAAGTTTACTATCTACTGCTTCAGTGACACCAACAAAAAATTGGTAAGTACCAACTACACTGAATTGCACGTGGTCGAAAATAATATCACACACAGGGTGTGCCATAAGTTACACATGTACAAGACAATGCATGTTATTCTTCTCATGGATGTAAAGTAACAGAATATTTACAGTTACTACATTGGTAAAATTAATAATGTGCAGCGCAAACTAAAATCTACAAAAAGAAAACTCGCAACGGTGAAAATAAATTTTATTTCCACATTAACAAAAAATTAAAACTTCACTCCTAGCTGTCGGTCTTCAATGCAACCATTAGATGTTTTAAAACTCGTTTCCAGGCATTATTTATAACTACACTGTAGCTGTTTCCAGTTGTTAATTGAAAAATATAGTATTGCTTATACTTTTCTATTGCTTCTTTACATTCTTTTATGGCGAGAGCATGCCTAAAATCAATCAATGTAGTTTACAGCAGACTAATGAGTAAATGCGGATACCTACCTTCTATCACAATGAAATTCTATATCACTTTTACCTAATTTTAGTAGCACTTGATCACTGGAGGCGTCCTTTGACTTTATTTCGTGTAGCTAAATGGTAAATTAAAGTGTACAATACAAAATATAGGCTTTTTTTTACCTCAATTTCACCAGGTGCAAAAAATAATACTGCTAAAGAAGAGACGGTACTAGTTTCCCGTATTAAGGACGTTTTACGCACGTTAAGAATTATTTCATTTATATACACCAAAAAATCGGGGGGCAATTTTCTAGTCATCGCATTAACGCTACTGGAACTGACTGTTGCTCTTTGGTTGTGCCTATAAAATTTGTCAATCAAGGATTAGTGCAGATAAACTGACCTTGTCACCAAAGCGGGTTTATTCCTACGACGTCCTTTTACAATATCCCATTCGCGTCGGCGCAATAGGTTACCAACACCAGATAATAAAACGGCCTTTACTAACTCGTCATAGTCGGAGAGATCGTCTGATATAGGAAGCACATCATACAGCCCTTTGTGAAGGTAGTCTAAATGTACCGACCGCAGTTCTATAATTAAAATGATTGTTATTAGGGGGATGCGTATAAATTCTAAAATTGGGTTCAAGTGAGAGGTGCGGCCGGTAAAGTGAAAGAAGGTGCGGTCAGTAAAGTGACAAGTGGTAGGAAAAATAGTCTGGTCTGTTAAATTGTTATCGCTGCGTATGCTAATTAAATTCAAAAGAATACACAGGTGCAAATTATTCAAAGACTGCAATTATTTTTGTCAAGAGATAGGGAGGAAGGGAAAGGGAAAAGGTTTTAAAAATGCGAACGGGACGTTAATCTATCAGGGCTTCTTTTGTGGTGGACATTTGCAATGTAGCTTTTTGCCGTGCATGGTGTTTGTGTTCATTGTGCGTCTCATACGAAAAATCGCAATTTTGGTCAGATCAAGGAACACAAATAATTAAGATTTGCTTTAATTAATTGTCTATCGATCGCTTGTTTGCGTAGCACATATTTGTGGGCCCTGAATACTTGTTTTTCTTTCAGCCTGAGTTTTAGCTCAAATAAATTCGTCAATTTTATTTGCTTTATTTATTTTGTTTATTTTATTTATTTTATTTATTTTATTTATTTTATTTATTTTATTTATTTTACTATTAAAAATTGCAAAAAATGGAGTACTTACTCTGTAATGTAAACAATTTAGGTTGCACTAAACCCAAATCCTGGCACATAGCGTCAGCCATTCGATAATCTTGAGATTCAATATAATACAGCCATTTCTCAAACAATTGCATCATTGCTAAATGGTCGCTAGTTGCAGACTCTTTGCGCAAATGATCAGTAATTCTCGCCTTATCCAACAAATCGTTCGAAAATAAAGCGCTTTCATCAGAATACAATGTGACAATGTCGACAATTGGAGTAACACATTTAAACAAAACCGCATTAACCATTGCCTTTCCTAATTTGGGATGTAGATGAAAATGCGATAGCGTTCGACCTAGCGGCGTTAGGTTCTCATGTTCGTCTAGTAATTCCAAATCTTTCAATTCTTGTACGGCCGATTCAATGGCGGCTTTCTTGGGCGGAGTGATTAACCGTTGGAGGAAATCGATCGCCTTCATGTTATTGCTATAGATTTTCGAATTGAGGACTATTTTCGTTAGTGACGTACGAAGAATTTCTGGTATCGAATATTCCATGAAACTGTCGTGGTGAAATTGTGGATATAAATGGTAACATTCGCCGTGTTGACAGCGACCCGCTCTTCCTTTTCTTTGTTTGGCACTTGCCTTCGATATCCAATGATAATCAATACAAACTATGCCTGAAACAAAATAATGAATTTATTCAGTTCACTCCTAATACACCAACTCAATGTTTCAGGATCAACCTATAGGTACGTTTGTTTTTGATATACAGGGTGAAAACAAAAAGTTTGACTTTTTGGGATGTTGGGATCGCATCTTACTACCCATGTAAGATAGTAGAAAAAGGTAAAAACTGCCTATTTTAAATATTTTTACGTAGAAACCAGTGACGTAGCCAAAAAAATTTTTGGACCACAGTGTACGAGTTTATTTTAGCCATGAAAACCTTATTTTTTTTACTGTTTTTAAATAGTAGGCCATGGATTCAGGAGATTTTGTTGTATTGTATCCATGGCAATTAAGGCAGCTGATACACCAATCAATATAAATGGCCGACGGTAGAAACATCTAATCAAGAAAAAGAACCCAAGAAACTGACGTTAAAATATACAAGGTGTTGCTTTTAAAAATACCAACTTTGGGTCAAATTTCAGAAAGCGGATCCAAAAACTTTTTTGACTGCGCCATTGGATTCTACGTAAAAATATCTAAAACAGGCAGTTATTGCTCTTTTTCTATCTTACATGGATAGTGAAATATGATAACATCCCAAAAAGTCAAAATTTTCGTTTCACACTGTATCTCAGGAATCAACGTACTTAGATTGATTCTGTTTGTGGTATTAAAAGTTTAACAAAAAAGTGGCTCCGAGTCACGGAAAACAACTGACATATACTGCAGTCTCAACCAAAATAGGACATAAGGTCCATGCACAATGACTGTGGATTAATGTATCTACTGTAAATGATTTTTCGAGCAACTGGTTTGCTATACCTGTAGATCCTCCTAACAGAAGCTAGAAATACTAAAAAAATACTAACCTTTCTGTTCATCCAGTCGCTCTTCCTTCTGAATCCCAGGATCAATGACATAAACGACATCATCAATCGTTATCGATGTTTCTGCAATGTTGGTAGCCAAGATTACCTTTCGAACACCAGGTGGAGCTTTAGAAAATATTTTCCTTTGTTCGGCCATACTGAGCCGAGAATGAACGCATAAAGTAACCATGTCGGTTCGTGGTGGTAATAAATCTTTTACTTTGGTAATGTCCTCCCATCCCGGTAGGAAGCATAGAATAGCTCCCTCCGGTTTCTTTTTATGGATGAATTTAATGCAGTCGGCCACGTCCTTTGGAAGAACACGGGGTATTTTCGACATGCACATCTGGAAAGACGGCAATTTTTCGTCAGTTAGGAAATATTGTTCGACAGGATGCGTAAATCCGGGAATATTTAAAATCGGAGCGTCGCCGAAGTAGTCCCGAAACAGTTCCGCGTCCATAGTGGCACTCATTACAAGTACTTTTAGCTTGGGGTTCAAAGTGAGAGCACGACGGACAAGGATCAGGAGCAAGTCGATGGTGACGTCTCGTTCGTGTGCTTCATCTAAAATGATGTGCGAACAATCTGATAACTTGGGATCCGTTTTTAAGCGATTTAGCAAAATTCCACTTGTACAATACATGATATGGCCGGTTTTCTTTGAGAATTTAGTATTGAAACGGACATTATAGCCAACAGTGGAACCAACCTAAAGTTATGCATTCAGTACGCTTGACAACTTACTGTCACTGAGGGGTGTCACACTTGGAAATGGTGTACATTTGAGTTTGTGAGAAGTATTTACACATTTTTGAAATTTATATAAAATTTTTCAAAAAATCTGGTACTGAACTATTACCACCCACGTATTGGTAAAGTAAAGGTGGGCCATGAAGGTAAGGCTTGATATAGTAAGTACCCATTACCAACACCCGTGCGTAATGAAAAACATTAGATCATGTAAGTTTAAAAGTGATAATTATCTACAAATGTCAAAACTGTCAACAGACGTCGTTTTGGGCTTAGCTTAAGCGTAATTTATTATTTTTATTCAAAAATGTAAAAATATACAGGGTGTTCCATTTAAAAATCCAAAACCTGGACCATTTCCTGAAGTGAGCGGAAAGAGAAGAATATGCGAAAACTCTCCTCTTCACGTACCATTTACCTGTAAAACCAGATCTCATTTTGATACACCTAATACTGTAGAAATTATGGCTTGTCTAATAGATTCGTTGTCACCCAGTATACTGGGTGGTGACTTGAACAACACAACATAGGAATTTCAATAGTCATTTTTTCATTTCTGATTATTGGCTCTCCTAATTATTTTAGAAAGAAAGTCTATTTAGATTTTTGTATAGAAAAAATTACGAATCCATGCTTTTAATTTTTTGAACTTTGAAACCAAGAAATTGGATATCTAAAAACTGACGCTTTTAAGAAAATCAGTGGTTCCATGGCAGTTTGACATCAAACAAAGCTCTTACAGTAAGTAATAAACGTCAAACGCGACAGTTTTTAATGGTTAAATTTTTACTGTTTCTGTATTTATAAAATAGGACACAATAGTATGTATGGATTCGTAATTTTTTCTCTATCACCCCGTATATGCTACACAGGCTGTGTAAAAAATTGGAAAAAAAGTGATACCGCTTTTTTACATTTAAGAAATATGGAAAAAATATTAAGACAGGGGTAAAGTGGAGGAATCTAAAGTGAGAAGAAAAAAGATATGGTTCTTCCTGGCATATGTTGATGGCACAGTAATTATGGTAACAGAAGAAAACAGATGAAGAAAATGATGAAAAGATTGATGAGATACTGAGAAAGGAAAGGAATCGAATTAAATGTCAAAAAATCGAAGATGATGACATTTCAGAAGAGGAGAGGAAGGAGAAGGGAAGTAGAATGGAAGTGGAGGAAGGGAAGGGCGGAGAATGTAAATATTTATGATTGCAGATGCAACCAAATAGTGGGCGCATATAAAGGTATTAAAAGAAAAGGGGGAATTGGCGATGAGAGCGGTGTGGATAATTAGGAGAAAGGAAATTCAAAAACGAGTTTAGAATAAGAAAACATCTTTTTGAAGCAATGGTGAGAGGGGTGTTGATGTGAGGAACGAAGAAGACAAGGACATACAAAGTTCAGCAAAATCCAGAACTCGAGGGATAAAAAATGTACAAGGAGTTGATAGTGGAGGGGACGCCGAAATATCTATAAGGGAGGGCAAGAAAAACATTAAACTAATAGCGAGGTTCAGATGCGGAAACGCGGAGAGGAATGGAGAAGTGGAGAGAAGAAGAGTGAAAATGGAGACTATGGAGTGAGAAAGAGGAAGATGACAATCTGATATGGGAATACAAGAAGTAGAAAGAACAGGCGAAAGCGGGAGGGAACTATTGGAGGAGCGGAGAAGAAGAGAAAAATGATATAATATCTCAGAAAGTAGTCGAAATTTTTAAAGTTTCAAAACTGCATTTTGTTAAGCATCAAAACACGCAACTTTGCCAAATTTAAACTGCCTATCTATCTCTTACAGTTCCCGAGATCCCCATGGTGGCCCTCGAATTTGAAGCAGCCTGTATAGTAGTAAAAGCTGAGCTCTTTATATATTATTTATTTATTTAATGTCCGTCTTGTTCTAGGCCCTCAACAGGATTACGCCCAATTACAGAGTGAATTTAGTTAATTGAGTTAAATTTGTACAGGGTGGGGCACCTTTTTGTGACTAAAAAAAAACCTAAAAAAAATGCAGTTGAAATTTTTTAAAAATCTGAAAATAACTGAGATATCACTGAAAAACTGAAAATGTCAAATTTTGGCATGGCGATATTGGATTTTTATGGAATTCGATAAAAAAAAGAAATTTATTTGAATGCATGGCCATCATAGCCATGTTGATTCAGCAAGATCCAGTTACCTGTGGATTTTTTGTTGAAAAATGAATGTCAAGCATTTTTCTTATTTATTATTTTTCTTTTTTGTCCTTGATCTCTTTCCGTAAAAATTCAATATGGCGCCCATAAGACATAAAAATTCTGCTAACACATTCAGATTCTCAGAAAAAAGTGCCCATAGAAAGTGCTAACGAAAACCCTCCATTTCCAATCGTTTAAGCTAGGGAAAAAAAAAAAATTTGACATTTTCAGTTTTTCGGTGATATCTCAATTATTTTCAAAGATATTAAAAAAATTTCAAATGGATTTTTTTGGTCATAAAAAGGGGCAACTTTGCCACCATTTCGCGCACCACCCTCTGCTGTGAAATCGAAGTAAAATTCATTGAAATCTTCATAAAGTGGCAAGGATTTTTATTGGAAGATTTTTAGAATTTTGAAAAACTTTGTAAGAAAAATTTTGAAAAAAAAATGTACACAGATTTAAGATGTGACACCCCTCGCTTCTCACTTACGCTTTCCCCTCTTTCCGAAGCAACTCTTTCGGCCAGTGATGCTGCGGCAATACGTCGCGGTTGCGTAACAATAATTCTGCAGGGCGAATTTGCCGCACCTAAATCCCTGGCCCAAGCTTCCATCACATACTGCGGGACGCGAGTACTTTTGCCACAACCCGGCTCTCCCTTAATAATTACAACCGAATTGCGTGCAAGTAAGCCGATTAATTCCTCCCTACAAAACAGCGATGAGTACAATTGAAAAGAAATTAGAGAGCACAAACTTATAATCGGAGATTGGTAAACGTGTAGGTTCCTTTGCGACGTAAAAGTTCCTATCGGTATACTGCTGTTGCGGCACATCGGATTGCACCCATTCCTCGATAACAGGCATATTCTCCTCTTGATTACAACTGGTGAAGTTCTCTAAAATCGCTCGCACCTCTCCACTTTTAACGCTCTCTGCGATACTAGTCATACTTTGGTACTCATTTGCGCCTACTCGCAATTTCCTACACTTTTCTTCTTCCGGAGGCACAACAACATTTTCGGGAAGAATCGGCTGTCCCTTAGCGTTGAGCAATTTATTATGGTACAACCAGATTAACGCTTCAAGTGCGGCTTTGTGTGCGGCGTCTTGCTTTCGATTTGCCGTCGCCGAAAACTGCCCACTCCTAGGCCACTTTAAGGTGTAGACGCACTCCCATAAAACTGCATTCTTACCAGCTTTAACCGACTTGTACGTGGGAGATATTTTCAATTTCGGGTCTTCCAATGCGTTGCTTACTAATAAAAACCAATTGTGTAGTACGCCCTTGGGATGTGGAAAAAGAGATTTAATTTTATCGGTATCAACTGCTTCAGTTCTGGCTACATTGGTAGCATTTGTACGCTGTGTTGAAGTTGAATAAAATAATCTTTGGCCGGTTGTTAAAATGTGGTGTTGCGAGTTTAATATGGGTTTGTGATGGGAGTCCATGTAGGTGTTACTTTTTAGCCAGTACAACACGTTCTTGCTGGCATTACGTAAGGCATCCGTTTCGTTTATACCGTAACTTGAAAAACTCAAAGGTTTCGGCCATAGCACGTTAACCGTTGATAAGTAAACAAACGGTTTCAACTTGAAAATAGTTTCTTCCTCTATTAAAGCTGGTGACTTTAGTTGGTCAGAGACTAAGCTGAAGAACCATCTCAATGTTTCACGAGGGAAAACATCAATTGCCCCATCACTCACAAATTCTTGCCGGCTTGGTCGCGAGCTCATACTTAAATCGTTCCTATTATTACTTTGAAAATTAGGCACTAATTTTACACAGTCGCTTCTTCTGCATTCAATACCCACAAGAAAAGGCTTCGCTGAAGGAAAATGAAATTATTATTTTTGTTAACATTAACACTAAACTCTCCATTCATACATTTCAATCTAATCTTGCAGTTGTGCAGATAAAAGCCATATGTCCACATCCTTATAAAATTCATATTCTGTGAAATACTAAAATTTTAAATTTTCGAAACTTTTGAGGTTATTTGCTGTGGTGCCGAGTGCGCATGCTCCATTACCACGTGCGACTTGAAATGCACAACGCCAAATTTACGAAAATTTTGAATTTGCGAATTGAAATTTGGATTCGCATTTGGAATTATTTTGAGTTTAGGGCTACTTTAATTGCTAACGATTACCGTCTTCCGACATACCAAATGTAAAAGCCGGTTTTAAGACTAGAAAAACCGACCACATTCTTATACCTATAGCATTGCCTATAGGTTCCTATCCTATTATCTTTGTTTATTCCATTTAAATAAACAATGCCATTATTATTGATTTCAAATAATGGTTATTTTATTTTTCATTTGCCTCTTATATGCCAATTATATCTGTCATATGAGATATACGGGGTGTCAATTTTAAAACTTGCAGTCGGCCATATTTTCCAAACTAAAGAACAGTGGCGTATTTACGGGGGGGATGAAGGGGATATATCCCCCCCCCCCAGAAGAATTGAGTTATCATCATAGCTATTAGGTATTTAGGTAATACTTCCGCTATCCGCTCCGCCCACTTTAAAATAAAGGCAATAATATATAGGTACCTATATATAGAGAGCAATTTTGGTTTTGGTTAAAGTCTAAAAGCACTAAAATCTAAATATTCTGTAGTATTCAGTATTCACTATTCAGTAAGTGTTGGCAGTCAACGATTTGGCTATTCGGCATCGATCGGCAATTCGCTACATTGATGCCCAAAATAACAAATAGGTATCAGGTACTTAGTGCTGCTACAGTACTGAGGTGAGGCACCTGCGTCCTGGCTTTCACGAAATGACGAAAATAAGAATTTTAAATTTTAAAAACAGGAATTTTTTGCCCATAACTTTTGATTGAGACGTCTAATCGAAAAAGTACGAATCGTTTTGGATTCTACGCACCCAAATTAATCAGAAAAAGTTTTTTCCCGAGAAATTTTGGTGCAGTCGATTTTTGGTAAAAAAGGAAGGTAATAACTGCCTTTTTTTTGCCCAGAAAAAAAAATTGTCTCAGATCGACCGGAAAAAAATATTTTCTTATAGAATGTGGCCTGTAGAATCCATAATTTCAAACAGTTCCAAGATCGGACTACTAGATCAAAAGTTACAGCCCTTTGAATTTTTTGTCGAAATTGGTTTTTTTGCCCATAAATATACCTATTATTCAAAGTTTTCGTTGACTAATTAAAGCAAAAGCAATAAAGGGGCCTGTCAGCAGTAAGAAATAAAATACCGTTCTAATCTAATCTTTTTCGCCTGTACAATAATAAATAGATAAATGACTACCAGCATCAGCAACCTGCAACCCAATTTCTATTTCTTACCCCCCCCCCCCCCTTCTAGTACGCACTGGGTGACTGTATGTGCCACGAACTTGTTTAATCCCCCCCCCCAATGACGTTATGAGTGACACCCCCCCCCCTTTAACCCCCCAGTCACCATCCTTCATATTCAAAAATCCTAAATAGCTACCTCATACTTGTGACGCATCGTTGGAAAGCTTCTAAAAATGCTTTCCAGTGGTACCAATATTCACTCAGACAATTTAACAAAAAAATAATAATTAACACAAAGAAATAAAAATTAAGCCATGCCTATATGTTAAAAGATTTGGTCGGGATCTGTTATCAATTATAAAAAAGGAAAGCGACCAAGATTGCTTAAGGAGGCAGCTCAGGTTGAAGTTCTTGGCCAATTTGCCATAAATAGCTCAATGTCACCATTTAGTTTTTTTGTTAATTATTAAACTTTTGTTAAATTGTCTTAATGAATATTGACTTTATTGGTACCACTCGAAAGCATTTTTCAGTAGGTTTCCAACGATGTGTCACAAGTATGGGGTTGCTATTTAGGATTTTTGAAGAGGGGGGGCTGGGGGTTAAGGAGCGTGGGGCGTTGTAACTCATAAGGTCATTCTGGTTCCTCCTCGATACCCCAGAAACGGTTTTGCGCCATTTTCAATATCTTTTTTAGTTTGTAAAATATGACCGACTGCAAGTTTTAAAATTGACACCCCGTATAAAACATTCTATGACGCCCGAGGGCATAATGGATTGTCATTTCCTTATGCCCTAAAACGGCCTGTCAAATATATTGACGGGAGTTATATTATGTAATAAAAAAAAGATCCTACTTGATTCGTATGAAGCACAAACAATAATCATTACATTTGTATATTGGAAATGCATTACCTATTTGGAACGATGAAAAATAAAATTTTGTATGCCCTTCAGGTATTACTCGACAATTTAACCCTCGGGCGACTTACAATCCCTTGGGCCGGAGGCCCTCGGGCTCTGTTGCCCTCGGCATAAATATCGCTTTAATGCTCTTGATGCATAAAAATATAAACAAACCTATGGAAGCGCAGAAAAGCCATAAATAATTTATTTTAAAAGTGCAGGGTCAATCCCAATGCAAGCTCCCACTCCCATACTAACTACGGGTGGTGAAAAGGATCCAAGGGGTTTCAGTGACCAAAAAGAGGCGAAAGCTGCAGCTTGGGCACATTTTGAGGCCAAACCGAAAATAGAGTTTAGGGATAGGTACCTCTATGTTAATTGTTGTAGCGATGTAATAAATACAGTAGTTAGCCCCCCACTTTTTGAATTTTGAAAATATTTTTACGCCAATCGTTTGTTGGTCGTTTGTTGGTTACATTTTGACGTTTGTTGGTTGACCGCTATTTAATTATTCAAATTTCAAGATTTTCACAATTTGAGCGTATAGTTAGCCTCCCACTTTTTGAATTTCCAAAATATTTTTATTTCAATCGTTTGTTGGTCGCTGTTGGTGTTTGGTGGATATTATTTATCATTTGTCGGTTGGTAGTATCTTTAGAATAAATGTTTACGTTGAGCGTGACGACATCATTCAAACGTGCTTAAGTTTTTAGCGCATTCACAAAAATAAAAAATAAATGCGCCATTGTGGCCACCTTGTCCGTCCGTCCGCTCGTTCGTTGAGTATTAACTATCAAATTAGGGCACTAATGTTCTGATAAATTTAAAAATTCGTAAATCTCTACATCGGAATTTTGTATTTTTAGATTTTTTAAATTTCAAATGAAAAGGTTGGATGTGGTTTGAAAGTGAAAACGTTACATCGGCATGGACACTTAATTTTTGAATTCTTGAATAATTAAATAACGATCAACCAACAAACGTGAAAATGTAACTAACAAACACCAACAAACGATTGAAATAAAAATACTTTAAAAATTCAAAAAGTGGGGGGCTAACTATACGCTCAAATTTTGAAATTTGAATAATTAAATAACGGTCAACCAACAAACGTCAAAATGTAATTAACAAACGTCAACAAACGATTGGCATAAAAATATTTTGAAATTACTTGACACCGGTTGTATCAATTTTACAACAACACTGTTTCTCTATCTACTATATACAACTCTGTGGGGTTGGAATCAAGGTTAGTAGAGAGCCTTAGGGGTTGGAACATAAAAAGAGAAAAATCGTTTTAAGTCCTTCCGTACAATTTTTTGAAAATTATCTTGTAGTGTACTTAACCCCCAGATTTTACGCTAACTTCACACTCCATGAACACGGAAATAAAATCAACCCGGCAATGTTTAAAAATGGCCACCGGGAATGGTCCGGTGGCCATTTTTGGTTGATTTTCAAAACATTTTCAAAAAATTGTGCGGAAGGACTTAAAACAATTTTTCTCTTTTTCATAGATGCCGCCAGTACTATGGATGAGTAACAGTGACTCTCTACAGTGGCGACAATTGAGCCCGTCCGCCATGTGGCAAATTCAGACCTTGATTATACGGTACCCATTTATAATGATAGAAGGTATCATGATAATAAATTAAGGACGCGCTGCAAATGGAAAGGATATACTAATACTTTTGCTTTGTAAAATTACCGAAAGAGACGCGCAATGGCATAAGATATTAGGGACACGGCGACAATAGGAGCGTCTGCGCCATGTTGCATCGAAAATTGAAATTAGACAATAGGCAACACACAATACACGTATGACATGTGTTGCATACGTTGCAATATGATATTCCTGGATGCAACATGGCCACCGCTCTCAACAACCAATCAAAAATTAGACACTCTATTGTCGCCACTCCCGTTATAAAGCACGGTGCAAGATATAAATTAATATTGTTCGCGCTACTTCTGCTCGTCATGAATAGATGTCTCTAGTTACGTTCAAGAAAATTCGTCTGTAAAAACAACACATGTTGATTCAAAATTTCCCACTCGTAGTACGAGTAGCTTTAAATACCTACTCTTCATTATAATTGACGTTTGTTAATTTAAAGTTTGACACACAGAATAAGACCTTTTTTTTTTGGTTTAACAGTCTTAAATCAATTCTCACCGGACCACTACAGACAGATTCGTTTACCCGGAAACTCACATATCAAGGTGATGTCCTTGACCATATTTTATATGCAATTATAGCAGTCCATGCCCAATGAGCAAAGGACATAGGTACATGAGATGTACATTTTTTGTCCACTTGATATCCGTATGTCCAGATATCCAGTATGTACATTCTATGTATGTACATTAATGTAATGACATCTTAGTAACGTACATTCAGAATGTACTATTATTGTGTTTAAAACAAATTCTTTCCTTTCCACATTTGGAAGGGGCAGACCAAGGAGTATATGCTTGTTTGTACTATTTTATTTCGCACAAATACTGCTCTGAGAATTAACGTTAAAATAAACCGGTATAGTAATTATTATAATAGGTATAAGAAACTAATCTTAATCAACTTGTAAAATCGGAAATAATTGATTTGAAATGGATCTTATCGAATTTAAAGTTGCAAAACCGAGCTCACTAGCGTTCTTCCACCACGGCCGGTTTTGCCGTTTTTTCAAAACTCTTCTCATCAAGATAAGGCAAAACTTCAGCTTATAATTTTCTTCTCTTGTTTGCTGATTTCTGAACTTGACCACGACCAGATTTCTGCAACAGAAACGTTTTTTATCATCTTCTTCAACCAGAAGACAACATGAACTAACTCTGCCAGCTTATTTCTCATTTGCTCATAATTGTCCCTGCAGAAAACGGCGTCGTGCATCAGCAATTCTGCATTTAAAAGCGTCTCACGTAAATCTGCCGTTTTTAAATTATAGTGATCGATTTCTTGTTTCAAATTAAATTCCTGCAAGTTAATTGCGATTACGAAAACTTTTAATGCAAACTCAGACACGAACTTGCTCAATCAAAGTTCGCTTTACAAGGCGTAGGCGTTTGATTTTTTTCTTTTCGACTGATACGCAATGCTCGATTTTCTGCTGCTCGTTCTGTCTCAGACGTAAGTCGTTTGTTGTACTTTCCAGTTCCACGTGTAGGGCATATGATTTGTTTTGTAAAACGCTTAAATCTCTTTCGGCGATGGACTTGGACTGAAGAAAGGAGGTGGTTAGTTGTTGTTGTTTGCTGATTAGGTTACTTTTAGTAGTTTTTTGTTCTCAATAAGGCTGTCTTCGTGTTTACGATGGAGTACTTGTGCTTGGGCGACTGCCTCATTACGTTTTTGACTTTCTGACTTTCTTAAATGGTGTAAGGCGTCCACTTGCAGCTCCAGCTCTTTGTTCTGATAATGTTGGTTGTGCAAGGCCAATTGTAATTAAAGATGCTAACTAGATACCTGATCTTGGAGTGCGCGCAGATCTTCTGTACGTAGCTCTCGCTCTTTGGTTGTCTTTCTCCATGCATTCAGCAATAGAACTTTGAAGATACGCCTCGCTGCGGCGTTAGTATCACTCATTGTAGTTACCTTGCTAAAGCTATAAGTTATTAACCAGTACTCACGATCATCAACGAACCGATTCCGTGTGTTGCCTCTGGTGGGTGTTATTTCGGCTAAAGATAGGGATTTCCTTCGGCTAACAGTGAAAGCCGAACGAGACACCTCCTGGATTGCGGCTTGTAATTTGGCTTTACAGGTGGGATTGGGTAAGGTTTTTGTGCTAAAGCGGCGGCTAGATGGTGTTCCTCTCTTGGAATCATTGCAAGTATTTACACCGTCTCCACAACCCAATTTTTCCTCTAGTTTCATTTTAAAATAGGTAAAGGTGAGAAAGTTTTAAATGACATGTGAATATGTCACTTGATTTTTGTTACTTTAGCTATCCTGATAGGATTATCCTGACTTGTATAATGGGAACCCTCTGTGTTTGTGTTTCCTTGTGTACGTTTAAACGATAGGGAGGGATTCGTCCACTTGTCGCGACTATCCTCGCCCCTCAGTCTTTTCTATGAATGCTTGCGCCTGGAACTCCCACCGAAGAGAGATCGTTATCCAGCTTCTCTGAGGTTTTATTCTACGCCGAGACCTTGAGCCTGAAGAAATTTATCTCTGGCGTTAAGGGCCAAACACTTTTTCAGAGAGTGTGATGTATTAGGTATACGTATAGTATACAGGGTGTTTTTTTGGGAGCTTTAGTTAAACGTTTCTGGGAAAGTAAAATACGTAGGTTTTTGAAAATTTGTACTTAGGAGTTACTCTGAAGGCCGAATCTATGTAAAATATTTTCAAAATGTCCGCACTTCCGGAAACACCGGAAGTAGATAGTAATTCCGTTATTTTAAATGGCAACCCCTATTTTTTATTGCATTTTTGGATTCTACGTGAAATTTCAGTTCTTTTGATACCCATATGTCGATATCTGCCATTTATGGTTTTTAAGTTATTTTGACTTTAAGAAAAAAAATGGCGGATGCAGATGGTACCTTGATAATTGATTACTTGAAAAAGGTTATAGTCATGGCAACCCATTTTTATCAGTGCATAGAGAATGAATAGGGCTTTCTTTTAGTGTACTTAAAAAAAGTTAAGTTGCGTACAACCGCACCTATGGAGATCCAAATTTCAGAAACTTCAAAGTCTATAAACTCAGTTTTTTTTAATGGAATGACCATGTTCTTAATATTGCATGAGATAGAGAATCGAAATTGGCATATTTTGATATTACATGTTCCTATAGCTATCTTTAACAGTTTCTGATTTATTCCCATTTCATTGAATTGATCACGGAATTGATGCCATTTTTTTTCGCATTTTCTTTTTAGTAGTTGGACATGATTTTATAACAATCGAATTTTAAACAAATCAAGGAATGGATTCTTTAATACCATTGATTCTAGTTCTAGTCTAAATAATTAATTAATAAATAACTCATTTATTAAGGATATAGGACGGAAAATTTTTGAAAAATCTAAATAGAGTCGTTCAACTGAATTTCTTAAACAACGTATAAGTCTGGAAATTAAGAGAGGTAATGCGATATCTGTTCTAGCAACAATTCCATACCAAAAATGTTTCAACGAAGTTTTTTATATTTTGCATTGAATTTATTTTGTTAATCTTGCATTTGCAATTCAATTCATTTTCTTAAATATTCTCTTGTAGAGCTTTGTATCACTTGTGCTTCAACGGTTTGTAGTGCATTAGGGGTACAACATTTCCAAAATCCATACAATTTCGTTCCAGTTTTCAAATGAATGTACGGAAAGCACGCGCCGCGATTCTGCCCATTTCACCATAAATAACAATTAAATTCCAAAATAGGTGAAACCACTGCGAGTCATTCTCCGATTTTTGAAAAACTTATGTTAACCTATAACAGTGGGTGATGGATTAGTGTCACTAGATTTGTTTAAAATTCAATTGTTATAGAATCATGGCCGACTACTAAAAAGAAAATCCGAAGAAAATAGTGTCAATTCAATAAAATGAGAATAAGTCAGAAACTGTTAAAGATAGCTATAGGAACATTATTGTCAAAATATGCCCATTTCGATTCTCTATCTCATGGAATAGTAAGAACATGGTCATTCCATTTAAAAAAACTGAGTTTTTAGTCTTTGAAGTTTCATAAATTTGGATATTCATAGGGGCGGTCGTACGCAACTTAACTTTTTTTTAAGTGCACTAAAAGAAAGCCCTATTCATTCTCTATGCACTGATAAAAATAGGTTGCCATGACTACAACCGTTTTCAAGTAATCAATTATCAAGGTACCATCTGCATCCGCCATTTTTTTCTTAAAGTCAAAATAACTTAAAAACCATAAATGGTAGATATCGACATATGGGTATCAAAAGAAGTGAAATTTCACGTAGAATCCAAAAATGCAATAAAAAATAGGGGTTGCTACTTAAAACAACGAAGTTACTATCTATTGCCGGTGTTTCCGGAAGTGCGGCCATTTTGAAAATATTTGACATCGATTCGGGCTTCAGAGTAACTCCTAAGTACAAATTTTCAAAAATCTACCTATTTTACTTTCCCAGAAACTTTTAACTAAAGCTCCCAAAAAAAACACCCTGTATAGAATCTGCAGTACCAAACGTTTCATTTTGAAATTTAAACGAAATTATAGGCGTGCGATTCGGTTTTGCGGGTAAATGGGACAACTGCGCGCATTAATTCACATTTAAGAGAGACCTGTAAACCCAGGCAAAACAAGCACGACGTAAATTTTTGTGGCGCCCAATTAGTTGTATTTGGTGGAAATAGTGCTAAATATTGTTCCAAGAGTGTTTCTTCATTTGATCAACGAATGGAGAATTTTCAATGCCAATCGACCAGTTTAGAAAAGAAGGAGGAGGATCGCCATTACATGGAAAGCTTTTGTTGTTAACGCTGGTATTATTTATGAAGCATTTTCCATTCAAATTAAAAATTGCTCTGAAAAGGATGTAATATTGGTAGGAGGCCTTTATCGTCATAATCCTGCAATTGTAGGTAAGGTAGTAAAGGTTTTCGCCCTAAGTCAAGTAACTTTCCGTGCATTGATCAGTACTTTTCAAAAGGCCATTGCTATGTGCGCATACATAATTTTTACAATATGTGACATGCTGGTCCTTAAATGGAAGCATCTTGCGCACCTGGTGTTTACAATATGCAATATTATGTTTTTGGTTAAAATTACAAAGAAATATCTCCACAGCTAGGAAAGTTAATATTGCGCAGCCTGCGCATGCGCATATTAATCGTCAAGATTTTTCTTGGCTTAAGCGCCAGAGCTTCTTTGGAAAATGCGCTAAAAAAAGTTCCAAATGATTCTTGTAGTCCTTGGGTTCAATATTAATTATGACAGTTTATTTACCATGTAAAAGCGTACAGAAAGTGACTACTTTTTGCCGTTCTCAAAAAACAGTTCCTCTGAATTGCGATAAATTACTTCACCGATTTCCGATGGATCTTCTTTTTTTAATGCCGCAAGTACGTCCAAAACTTGCCTAAAATTATCACCGAAATAGAATTATTAAGCAATATATCGTAATAGTGTTTTCATCTCGAATTGTCAAAAACGAGATGGTTTGGGGGGGGGGGGGGCATTAACATTACCTTATATTCATCGGCTCATTTCTGCTTTTTATTAAACAATCGGCCTTCCACTTCTCTTTCTTTACACTTGGATGGCTACGATTTTCTTCCTTTACATAACCGTATCCGGCATGTGTAGGTCGAATTTCACACCACGGACAATCGGTTTCCAACAAAACTCGATTGCTAGGCAACTGAGCGACAGTTTCCAAATTTTCCTTAGTTTTCAAAGAACTAAAGAAATGAATGTAACTTATCCACGTTTCACTTACCAGCCATTCAATCCGATGTAGTAGCCCAGTTCCATAAATCTATTCGCTTCATCGATTGTTCCGTCGAATGAATGAACGACCCCTCTCAAATTCTGATACTTCGATAGTATAGCGTATAAGTCATCTGCGGCGTTTCGGCAATGCAAAAATAGAGGTAGGTTTAGAGATTGGGCCAGGTGGATCTGCTTTTCAAAGTACCTAAAAATATGATTAATGGTCATTTAATTCATTTTTTTTTTGACATTTTTAAGATTGGGAATTATCGCGACGAAAGAGGCAACTAAAGACTTTTCAAGGGGACCAATCAACTTGATGTTCCTGCAGTTATCTAAAGGCAATGAAGCCAGCTGCCAGTAAACCCAAACCCCAACACTACTCCAACACAAACGCTGATTAGGTCAGGGAACAAGTAAACACACCCCCACCCTGAAGGAACATACGAAAGTTCCATATTAACCGCCTTTGTTGAGCTAAGAGCCAACTTAGTCGTAAACCGGAGGGTCCTGATACGATTTGCTTTACGGCTCTCTTTTTTTATTGTAATAAATAATAATAATAATAATAATAATAATACAACCCCGCCGGTGTTGCAATGACCATATGTAGACAGTAGCCAGTAACTTCCTCCAAAGCGACGCATGCGCAATGGAAAACTCCTTATTTGTGGAGCAATTTGATCAAAATTTTTGTTGTAGGTTCCTCTAATAAAAGCCAACAAAATGGGCGTGGCAAAAAATTTGTATCGTTATTAGGTACTCTCCTACCACTTCTCTTTTTGTAAAGTACAAACAAAATGTACCTATAAGACCACCACGACTACCAATAACTGACAGAAGATCGAAAAGGAACCGTCCTGTGGAGATTTTTTTATTGACTCTAATATTGAGTACTCGATCAGATCGCTAATCAATTCCCGAAAAGTTAAGATTGGGATATGTCAAATTTGACAATCAAACTGACAACAGCAAAGGAGGAACTCTTATAGCAGTAATAAAAACGTTTCTGTTTTGTTTCTCCGTTTTTATACCAAGTAATACTATGCGATCGAGTCACCTTTGGAATTTTTGTTTACATGGAAAATCGTATTTAACTTAAACTTCCAAAGGCGATTCGACAGCAACTCATTTTTGATCGGTCGTTAGTATATAATACACAACCACAACACATTTGGATTGTTCCGCTCTCTTCTCCAGTCATACACCAGAAAACACAGATCTGGCACCTAGGTGTCGCCAGGCTTGGTACTGTATCTATAGCGCGTTTGTACCTCCAAATGCAGTATGGTGCTTATGGACATACAGTACATGCTTGCCAAACGTGACAATGACACCACAAGGAGATTATGTTTTGTTTTAATACTTCAATATTTAATCATATGTCAATTTGACATCAATGCGGTCAGAAACAAGGATAGTATTATCGAAGAATGACGCTAAACTAGTAAGAGAGGCAATTAGTCCATAAGACCCCATACTGCATCTGGAGGTGCGAACACGCTATAGTATTTTATAAGAACGTTTATATACTTATTGAATGTTATGATTGGCATATAGCTTGGGAAAGTAATTGAAATCGTGCGTGTTGCTTGTACGATTATGGCTTCTAGTAGTGAACCTCACAAAATGTTTAAACAGCCCTCAGGGCTTTCGCAATTGTTTTTGGGAAGACTGTCACATCCTCTTTTCCAAAAAGAATTTCAGTAAACGTACCACCGGGGGGTCGGGGTCTGGGGGGTATGGAATACCCCCCAGTATACGATTTTCATTTCTATGGGGTATGGAATACCCCCCAGGAGTACTCCGCGCAAAGGAGGACCTGATAACTCCTTTTCTTATAACCTTCTGTAATTATGGGCGTTTTGTGGAAATGAAAATCGTATACTGGGGGGTATGCCATACCCCCCGGGACACTTTACCTCACAACATGTTTAAACAGCCCTCAGGGCTTTCACAATTGTTTTTGGGAAGACTGCCACATCCTCTTTTCCAAAAAGAATTTCAGTAAACGTACCACCGGGGGATCTGGGGGGTATGGAATGCCCCCCAGTATACGATTTTCATCTCCATGGGGTATCGAATACCCCCCAGGAGTACTCCGCGCAAAGAAGGACCTGATAACTCATTTTCTTATAACCTTCTGTAATTATGGGCGTTTTGTGGTATTCCATACCCCCCAGACCCCCCGGTAACACTTTACCTCACAAAATGTTTAAACAGCCCTCAGGGCTTTCGGAATTGTTTTTGGGAAGACTGTCACATCCTGTTTTCCAAAAAGAATTTCAGTAAACGTACCACCGGGGGGGGGGGTTGGGGGGTATGGAATGAAAATCGTATATATTGCGCTACTCAATTGTCAAAAAAATACAATCTTTGAGAATAATTTTCCTTCAATAGTGAAAGCGGATAAGTAGAGAGCGACTATACCTCACAATTTCACAATGGCTTAAAAAATTAATACTATTAGAATAGTAAAATCTGCAGCAAATGCTATGTACCTATCTACTCTCAGGGTAATACAAACCTCTTTTGCACATCAATAGGACAAAATTGTGTTCTATCATAATCAAGGCCACATTCGCCGATGGCTACAATTTTGTTCCTATTGGCAGACGCTACATCTTTCAGTTGCGCCAGATATTCCTCTGGATTATCCTCAAATTCCAAACAGCGTGTGGGATGGCAACCCACAGTGGAGTATAGCCTTTCTGCAAAATACCGGAGTTACTACCCACTCTGCCCGTAAATTACCGTTCATAGTACCATCACTTGTAGATAATGATAACGCATTTTTGCTTTCCTCTAAATTTCCGGCTGTTATAATAATTTTATTCAATCCATTACTCCAAGAGCGGTGTAAAACGTCCTTTAAATCAGGTTCATGTTTCTTACTGCCATTGTACACCCCTGTGTACATTGCATCCAGTAGGTTAGCGCCAATATCTATTATTAACAAATTTGTTTAAACAAAGTGGGAACGTTATAAATAATCCGTTACCTATAAATTTCGTCATAGCCCTTATCCTGTGCAGAGGACCCGCCACGTTCAAATTTAAAATGTTGTTAAAAATAGTTTGTAACTTTCGATATTATGATGTTCCGGGCACATAGAACGATTTTAATGTTGTTTATAGCTTTAATTATTATATTTACACTAACAAGTTTATGTTTTATAAAGATATTGAACCGCAGAGAAGAGGCCGACGCTTTTAAAATTAAAGTGCACGATTATATTTTAAGTGAATTGCCCTTTGTGCAAGACAAATTTAGGCAGAGGCACAATTTTAACGATACCTTATGGGATAGTTTTCTTAAAAATACCAAAACTCTCACGCCAAACTTAAAACCAGAACATGTATGGAATAAGGTTAGATCATGGGTGTCCAAAACTCAACTGTACGATCCCGAAAGTCCAGACTTGGGTAACGCTTTGGGCTTGCTGAGATCTGCTAAGATCCTTAAGGCCGACGTCGATTCCAGGGGAACGCAATTGAAATTGCTGTTAACTTTGGAGGTATGTGAAATTGTGAACCGTGCGTTTTCAGCTGTAGGTACGATTTCAGGGCGGCCAACAAGCCGTGTTTAAGCCGAAGTGGTACCCCATCGATAAAGTCATCGACGGGCACGTATACGCGGGGAAAGATAGGTACGGCTCGGAAATTTTAGCTCTGTATTTATCGGCAATTTTGCATAAACCACTTACGCCGCTCGTGACCGAACGTAATATTTCTCTAGGCCGAGAAATTGTCCCTGTTGCAACGAAGAGATTACTGTCGACAATTTTCAGTTATAAGTCGCTTTTATGTGTTTACGGGAAATGTTTTTATTGTAAACGAGAGGATCCCGTCTGCGAAGATGGGAGTAATCTGCTTTCGGGCGCAATCTTGGTGAATGTCAATGTGACATTTGTAAACAATCGATCACCGTGGCAACGGACGTACAAAAAGGGAAAATTGGCACTTTGGGAAACTCTGGATGATTATTGTCAGTAGGTTTTCGTTTGGTTTTGCATTTCCACGTCATAAAATCCCATTTTAGATTGGTTAAGCCGAAGATATCGACTCACAGACTGTTGGACTTGGTGGATGTGTCCATTTTTGATTTTTTACTTCAAAATGGAGATCGTCACCATTATGAAACGTTAGATGGTAATGTTGTCTTATTAGATAATGGTAAAGGCTTGGGAAATCCTTACACTCATCATTTGGATATTTTAGCCCCTTTGTATCAGTGTTGCATGTTAGTTTACAGCACAATTGCATGTTACGTTTATTATCTGAGAAGTTTCAGATTAAGAAATGCAACATGGTCAAGGTTGCAACAACTTGGGGGTGGTATGTTGAAAAGGCATCTAGAATCTGTCCCTAACATATCGAATTTTGTCACTAAGGAACACATAAATGCTATAGAACATAGACTGAATATTATTTATGCAGCTGTTGAATTTTGCAGGAAGAATAGAGGAATGCCATAAGGTATTATTTTTACAAATATTAATTTATTACGAATAAAAGTATATTTGATAATAATTTTTGTTTGAAATACCTAATGCACCTCAATGGCGATGAAACCAATCGTGGGAATACATGTACCATGTGTTCTATTTCGGTAGTATCTCAGCTGTTTTTGTTATACTCATCCATGATAGAAAAAAGGTAAAAACGGTCAATTTTAGATATTTGTATGTAAAATCCAATGGTGCAATCAAAAAAAATTTTTGGACCACAGTTTCTGAAATTTAACCCAAAGTTAATATTTTTTAAATGCAACACCCTGTATATATTAACATTAATTGATTGCATTCTTTTTCCTGATTACGTTGATGTATCACAACCTATATTTTTTTATTTTTGCCATGAACCAAAAATAAAAACTTGATTTTTTACGGTTTGTAAATAGTAGGCCATGGATTCATGGAGATTTTGTTTTGCTTATTGTATCCATGGTAACTACAGCAGCCGATACTAATCAATAAAAATGTCTGACGGTAGTTCAAATATTTGAAAAATATGAATTACTGTGTCGAGGGGGTAACATCTTCCTGCAATACTGTCATAAATTGTCTGCAATCGCTTGCAATCCCTCTGATTGCTGTGGCAATCTCCCTCACAGTCTCACAATCGCCTAAAACAATCCTGCAATCAGATTCGCAATCGCTGCAACAATCTACCAATCAGATTGGCAATCGTGCACGCCCCGACCTGTTTTGAGGTACAATCACACACCTCACGGGGTTAGGCAAAGAAGTTATAGGACCTTACCTTATTTTTTTTAATGGAACATCCTGTATTATTTAATAATCTGAAAATATAGCGTAGTAACTTTTAAAAAATATAATACACTAAGGATAATATTCAAAAAGGGCTCAGAAAGGATTTAAAAAAATGTCGAATGATTTGATAAATACAACAAAATTTTAAAAAATTGTTTGGATCTTTCGGTTTTTAAATCTTTTGAATCTATTTAAATCAATATGGAACTTTTGTAGTGTTATATTTTGAAAAGAGATTTTTAATATGATAGTTTTTGATTAAAATATTTCAATTTAAAAGGTACGTAGGAGAATCAAAAAATTGTCAATCTCGGAAAGGAGATATAGAAAGAGAAATAGATATAGAAGATTGTTGAATAATCTGCCGTTTTAAAATAAGCGTAAAAAGCAGGTAAAAAAGTTATAGGACCTAACGTCATTTTTTTTAGTTGAACGCTCTGTATATTTTATTCAAAAAATAGCATATTAAATTCGCTTTCCAAAAATATAACACTAAAGAAATTTAAAAAATGCAATATTAGATTTTTCAAAAAATTAAAAAATTTCAGTGTGTTTTAATTCTTTTTTAATCATTTTGAATTTTTTTTAATGACTTATATTTTCCCTATTTATTGCGATTGCTTTATATATTAAAAAAGAAAATGTTAATATGCAATTTTTTAGATTATACAGGGGTTCCTATTTAAAAATGAGGTTAAGTCCAGGAACTTTTTTGTTGACATCGTATATATGTACTTATTTTGAAAACGGCAGACTACTCTGCAAGTAATTTCGTAATAAGCATTTTTTCGTGTCTCTTTTCATTCTGATATTAACAATTTTTGATTTTCCCTTGTATCTCTTTAGCGAGCGAATATTTTCAAATTTGATTTTGCTATTTTTTAAGATTGGTACAAAATGTCACTTATATTAGAAGCTTTTTGAATAGCAGTAAAAATTACCAAATTCTTGCTTTATATCATTTTTGAATAGTTTGTCATTCGGTATGTATGATTTGAGTGGGCCACTTCCCTATTAGATTTATCGGACTGCATAGAACTTGAAACACTCTTCTTTTTAGCATATTTCCACAAAAATAATAAAATTCACTATTGTGGCCACTTTGTCCGTCCGTCTGCCCGTCCCTAGTTCTACTTTTTTCGCTATTTGGTCTGTCTGTCCGTCCGTGTGCACGATAGCTTTTGTATTTACGCAATCCAATTTTTTATTTGTTAAATACTTAAATGAAATTTTGTATGTAAGCTTTAGATATAGGTGTAAACCTCGAATAAAAGTAAAACTAGTAGTCGAAATCGATAATCAATATCTCCTTGAAGCATGTCCATCATTCACCGATCAGTAAAAAGAGCCTCCGCTCAACGATGACTGAGACGTAGATCTCAAGAATGCCCGATAATCATATCTCAGTCCCCAAAATCGCTTTAGTTCAGAAATCACGGGACCTTCAGCGGGTTTTTAGTTTATACAACAACCACGATGACCTTCAGTGTCATTAGTTCAGGCAAGAACCCTAGTTAGTTTTAACAACAATCACCATGACCTTCAGTGAGTTTAGACAATGACCTTCAGTGACTTGGTGCATGCGCACTAGGCAAATCTGTCGCTGTCACCATGTGTTATTTATCGCGGTCCGCGAGCGCGTCACTCGATTTGTCTTCGGTCCTCGCTCCGGTTCATCTGTCTTTATCTGCATCATGCCAATATTTGTTCAAAGATCAGCATGTATATAGTATAATACTGTTTTGATCAAAGTCACTTCAAATCAAAATGTTGTTTGTGTAGTTAGTAATTACATTTAATTATGACAATTTTATATTTTACTTATTTATTTATAATCCTATTTACTGAAGCTATTGCTGCACAAGAGTTTAGGTAACGTTTCGTTTTAGATTACAAACTCGGTCTTAAAATCGTTTTGCAATGGAGACGATAATGAAATATTCATATCACCCGAAGACGGGAGTTGCTTCCAAACTCGGCACAATCGTATACTTGCTTCTGGTCCTTCGATGATGAGTGATATGCAAGGATTTCATTATCGTCTCGTCTTATGGGATCTGATTATAAGAAAATGTACCAATAGGTTAAGAAAACGAGACTATGGTGCTCAGGCGAGGGAACCTTTTGGACTTGTTTATAGCAAAGGGCGGCTTGTAGGTGTACTCGAAGTAAGTTACCTTTAAAAGTTGACTGGATATCTCCCACAATGCTTGATTCCAGCCGTACACTGATCTTTATAAGTTAGCCCCAATTTCAAACGTCCGTCAGAATATTGAAGAGATACCACTGCAATCAGTGAGCGAAAGTAGATCTCTTACCGACCCTAGCGAGGACTCGGAAAAAGACGAAAGCGGCCAAAATGATTACACACGCTACACAGACGAGAAATATCCTATGGTTTTGACAGATTTCAAAATTAACAGTAAACTTAGCGCGATGAAAGCCAATAAGCAGGATAATTGGCAGTCTTCGAGAGTTGAGGGGAAAAGCCATCATGCAACGGAAGCGGATGGCTATGGTGGGCCTGGCGCCGCCCACCTAAAATCAAAAAAAGCGATATCTAACGAACAAATATCTGAGCTGAGTTCTGCACTCGGTTCTGCATTACATCGAATTAAAGAATCTGATTCTTCAGAAAAAGTTGAAGCCATAGAGGAAGATCTGCGTGGATTGTTAAGTGATGTGGGTTTAATCGACTCGGAAACATTACAAAATAAAAGAGAAGCGATTAAAAGGGACTCGAATGTCGAAGACGAAAACCTAGAAGAAGGGCAAAATAATATTCAGATTGTAAAAACCACCGATATCGAAAGAAACAAACGGTACGAAGCCACACCTGGCGTCGATGTCACTCTCGACACTAAAGCAGAGGAAGATCTAAAGGCGACCGAGCCCACTGAGAACGAGGAAAACAAAAGAGAGGCGACTACTGTTAATATAAAAAATTATCAGAGTGAGGGGGATGTTTATATACGAAATAAGAGGCACGAAGTAACCACGGAAAACAGTGATATAATGAAAAATCTCGAAAAATCCGGCGAATTAACTGTGAGTGGGAACAAATCGCCGTTGGCGAGTTCTGAAACTTCCGCCGTGAATACCGAAAAACGCAAAGAGGGTGGTGACAGCACCTCGTCCACGGGAGCAGCGATTGATGACTATGAAAAACGACTAGAACAAAATTTACAACAGAAAATAGAAGCGATAAAAGAAGAAGTAAAAAGAGAAATAGCGTCACTGCATGCAAGAAACGCGCCTAATGTAGACGAGTCGCAGCGAAGGAAACGCGGAACTTCCAATACTCTACAGGAAAAAGAATCCAAAGAAATCAACCCTTTGGATCATCCCGAAGAACCATTAGTATCTTATATACGCACAAAGAGGAATGTGGGTGGACGTAACAAACGGGAGGCGTATGAACTCGATGAAACTCCGATGGACGAGGGTGATGATCTAGAAATTCTTGAAACCGAAGAAGAAATTGAAAACGATGAGGATCGTCTTCCCAACAACGATTTCATAAACAACCCAAACACCACAATCACTGTCTTAGAAAGTACGACAAGGTTGATTAACACGACGTCCTCAACTCCCGCAATTAAGTCAAGTTTGCCTGACCCGGTGAGCCTTGCTTTAGCATCGCACACCGAAAGCCCAGTAGTTGACCTGTCGAAGCGCCAGCGGCTTAATGGTGTAACACACGCGCGTAGAAAACGCGCAGAAACCCTAGTGCCAGATGGCTACGCAGCTTACCGTGCCGAGGATCAGGAAAGCGACGAAGAGGGCGACGAATCCGAAGACGACGGTTTTGATGACCGTACAGCCAATCTTCGGGAACTCAACCGATATTTGCTAGATTACCGGAATCCGTTGCAATACGACGAACCCTATGGCGAAAGTGACTACCCCGTTAGGCGATACGTTTCCAACCTAAACTCCGACCTTGCTCCCAGGTTTTTGCACGACCCTTCCGCCTACATCCGGAGAAAGCGACACAATTTTGATCGAATGGTGGCGTTGCACGGAGAAGCGCCGATGATTCGCCACTTGGCAGCCGCGAGGGAAAGAAATATGAGACAATTCGAAGATAGAGCACGACAGAAACGCAATTTCGGACGTAAGTCGCAACCTGTCGAAGACGAGCAGCAGCGCATAGCCGATTTGTCCGATACCGACCTATTTGGTGCGCTTCCACAAAGTTACGAAGGCGAATTGTCGCGGTTTAAAAGAGTGAAAAGAAAAGTCGGCGCTGTAAAGGGGGCGAGTTGAGTATTTTGTGCTCATATTAAATGTATTAGGCACACAGAATTATTCGAAGTGATATCTAAAAACTATTAAGCACTGTTTTTCATTGTTGCAAAATTGTATACATAACAGGTACGGATTGTGTACACCCTCGTAGGCTATAAGTCATATGCTCATGCTCTTTTCTTGTAAAGCTAGGAAATGTGCTTTCTCGATGACATAAATAGATTCTATAAAAAAATGTCATCATAATAAGGAACAGAACTGTTACGATCACTCGTGCTTTTGCGATCGAGGCTTAAATAAGAGCGCCGACTTTTCTGCTTCGTTGCCTATTTGTAGATGCCCCACTTAAAATCCGAAACGGAACCTCTTTAAGCCCTTGAGTTCAAGCGTTTGTTTCCACACACACCTTCACACATTTTAAATCCCCCCCCCCCCCCCCAACTCTCCGTTTAATAGAACTGGCAACACGCCTGGGCCAGCGCTTCGCCTATCGACCCAACCCAAGGATACTATATATAATGACCCAACCCACATTTAATTCTAAACGCGCTTCGCTTATCCCCAGACTTACTTACGTTCACGTTTCCTATGAAGCGGTATAAATGTAAATTTCCCTATGTTGAACTAAATGTAAGTTCGATCAATGCAAAAAGGTGACCCGTTACTCTATGTACTCCCAAACGAGTGTAGAATGCTTTGGAGCGTTTTTGGTGACTAACTTTTGGAAGGCTTGTATATAACCGTTTAAGTTTTTTTCATGGAACCCTTATGGATTATCAATGTCCTCCATAGAAGCCCCTAGATAGCACTTAAAATCATTTACAATTTAAAAACCTTTCTCTCCATAACAACAATGTAGGGGTATGTGCATGGTTTTAGAGGTCAGGCGCCTGCCATTTTGGTCAGGTCATAATATGTATAATACAGGGGTATAATATTTGCATACAGAGTATGTTTACGAGGCTTATCACATTTGGCATTTATGCAAAATAAGATTGTGGCAAATAAACTTCAAACGAAAAGGAGAGTAACATGATAATAAAATATTATTAGCATAATTTGTACTCCATCATAAAAGAAAGAGAGGGGAAAGGAGTGGAAATAGTTCCGGGCCGAGGGAAGGACTGACTTCCCTAGTCAATTGCATATCATTTACAATTACAATTGAATCATATAAACATGGTCTTGAGGTGTTAATTCTATGGATCTCAATAGATCATTTGAAGCTCCTTGCGAGGCTTTCTTTCGACTGGCCAAAAAAAATCGTACTTAATTCAATTCAAAATTGCACTTCGGTTATCGATAAGTTAAATGTAAAATGCTACAACGACAACTACAAGATACTCCTTTTTATATCAACTCCCAGGACATTAATCTTAAATAAAATTGCCCTACTTAACCTACTTATTTCATTATAAATTTAAAAAGAGAAGTAAACTTTACCTAAGTGTCTTGATCAAACGCACGCGCTTAGATCTACCTACGTTAATAATTCTGCTGCGTCGACTAAAAACAACGCTAGCTGAAAAGCTTGACGCACTCCTGTCAAATTTGAATTGTAAAAAATGCGCGGTAAAAACATTTCCAGTGCCGTAGCTCGCGTTTTTCTCCATAAATGAAATGCATAAAAGCGGGAATGATTCAAATTTAAAATTGCCAGATACTGTTAGCATCACAAGATTTTGATCCAGATGTTTTTTAAAGCAGTTTTCTTAATAATATTGAAGAGTTGCCCGAAAAACCGAATAATAAGGAAGAACTTACTCGGTTCACTGACAAAAACCATAACAAACACCAATCGAAAATATATAGCGACCTCGGAGGTAATCCCCATATTTTCCAGGAAATTTGTCCGACATATTTTCGCATGATTAAGGCGTTATGCGCGCCTGTGCACAATCCTGTTGGAACCAACAGTTTCCAACTTTTATTTTTGTGTGCTTTTGTTACGGGCCATATGAAAATAAAGTTGATGATGATTTCTCCGAAACGAAACATTGTATTGAAAATCTCTCAACGGCGTCTTGTAGAGCTCAGTGACAATGAAAAAGAGTTTTTTTTAAATTGAAACTATCCAAATAACAGAAAAAAATAAAAGCTAAATCGGAAATTTTCGGTTTTTCTGGCATATCTTCGGAAGTAATCCGAATTTTCTGGGTTTCTTTAAAGCATGATATTAACTGCTTAATTGCGCATCTTTTCTCTATCGTATTTTCTATTGCTTCGGAGATCCCCATGATAGACATCCTTATACCTTGGACACAGTGTATAAAAATCTCATGTGACGGTGTTTGCGATCGCATTCCTCCGAAATGGCTCGATCGATTTTTACGAAATTTTTTTTAGATAGATGTGTACATATGTTTCATACCACTAGGTGATTATGTATGTAGTTCGCCGGGTACTGTGGGAGGTGAGGCGGCGCAGCCACCGAAACCAAACGTATGTCTCATCCAAGAAAACATTGACTGATAGTCGTATCCCTCGAAGACGCGCGCCTTGCAAAATGCGCTTGATTTCGCCCCTAGGGAAATACAATCGGATGAAAACTGTAGAAGCTCACATCATGTAGGTACATGCGTTGTTCTACGGGCCCGCAATAGGACCGTCTCTGACAGCTGGGATCACTAGTGCGACTTTTCAAAACTTAAACAGGTACTAAAATTGTCATATTTAAATAAATCCATCGACATATAGAGATGGACTGCGCGTGCGAATGCTAAACGCGAATATTGCAGGTGAGAGAAGGGAAAACTAAGAGGCCATAATCTATCGCGTTTCTGTTAATCGCATTTTAGTTATTTATGCATCAAGGGCATTAAGGTGATATTTATGCCTAGGACGACAGAGCCCGAGGGCCTCCGGCCCGAGGGATTGTAAGTCGCCCCAGGGGTTAAATATTGAGTAATGCCTGAGGTGCATACAACATTTTATTTTTCATCGTTGAATACATTTCCAATATACAATGTCATGATTATTGTTTGCCCAACATTAAAGTGCTCCATACGAATCAAGTTGCATCTTTTTTATGACATAATATAACTCCGTCAATCAATTTGACAGGCCGTTTGAAGGCATAATGAGATGACAATCCATTATGCCCTTGGGCGTAATAGACTGCTTCATATATCACATATGACAGATATAATTGGCATATAATAGGCAAATGAAGAATAAAATATTAAATAGACATTGCTGTGGTAGTGCTTGCATGTCGTTGGTATGAGAGAGAGCAGTATTCGTACTATAGCGCGTTCGCACCTCCAAATTTAGTATGGTGCTTATGGACATACAGTACATGCTTGCTTGACACTGACAGCACAAGGAGATTATGTTCAATTTAATCATATGTCAATTTGACATCAATGCGGTTAGAAACAAGGATAGTATTATCGAAGAATGAGGCAAACTAGTAAGAGAGGCAATTAGTCCATAAGACCCCATCAGTGGCGTAACTAGGTATTTTTCGAAGCGGTGCCGGATCAGGTTTTTGCGCCCTACCAGATTTTGGCGCCTAATCAGTTACCATTGCGCTCTAATTAATAAAACACGGTACATTTTTGAGAGAAACTTTGCACACAAATTTTGCATACTTAAATTTTAGAAAGATGCTTTGAATAACGAAATCTTTCACTGAATGAAGAATAGAAATACATTTATTTATAGTGTTTCCAATTCTCATGTCAAATTTAACTATGGCATGGGGTACAAGTCGTAGAAATGATTGCGTGCAAATGCTGGTTACACTAATACAGACCATTGTATAGATCACAAATAAAGTATTATTATTATTTTAAATCTGCAGCCTTTTCCTACCGCTGTAACTTTGTACTACAAGGGCCACCCAGAAAGTAACAGACGTTTTGAAATAAAAAATTAAGAAAGTGTATGAAACAACTTTTATTATATACATTTGGAAGCTACACTCTTAGGCTATTTTTCAACACAGTCGCCATTCATATTGAGGCACTTAAGATAGCGTGGTACAAGTGTTTTGATTCAAACTGTGTATACATCCGCCGTCTGTGGGGGCGTCGGAAGCGGGTAGGTACCGACAAAGGGAGTGTGGTAGCTCTCGACAAGATCTTACTAACGGTGGAGTCAAAACTTCAAACGCGAATTCCAGGCGAACGGGATGTCGGAGGTGGGTACCGACAAAGGGAATATTGTAGCCCCCGACAAAATCTTATTGATTGTGGTTAATATGCCTGCCACACAAAATGCGCTGAAATCCCTTACATCTCACACAAAGACTTTGATCATTTTTTTACTTTTTAACAATGTTCGGTTCATCCTAAAGGAGCTAAAATTTAGTTTTAATTATATTTCAGTGCACCCTATAGTCGACTTTAGCAAAGTATTAGAATTTAACTGCCGTTCTTGTCTTTTATAACTGGCCTATACGGTACACCACGTACTGCCCATCCCGACTTAGTGCTCTAGGTGCTTCAGCGCCTCTGGCGCGCCCTCCCTCGTTCAGAGCGCGGTGCCGCGGCACCTTTGGCACCTACCTAGTTACGCCACTGGACCCCATACTGAATCTGGAGGTGCGAGCGCGCTATAGCATTGGCACGCGCAGTCCATCTCTATATGTCTACGATTGGATCCTATAAATTTTCCATAGCTAGGATTTCTGGGGATTTTTTCCCTGTTAAAAACATTGTCTGAAGAACCATCAATTGTCAGATGTTATGAATTACTTTTTTTTGATCCGAGGAGCTAAAGTTTTATAAGTATTTTATTTATGTATTTTGATTTTTGCCTTTATTTTTGAGTGGGCGGTGTTTGAGCCAAGGCTGTTCTACCAACCCAACCCACTATACATTCACAAATATCCATGCCTGAAATTGGATTCCAACCAGGGACCCTTATTTGTACCGCAGTCGAGCTTCAACTGAACTGCGCCACACGGGCCGGCGGCTTCTGTAGGTACTATTTTGGTCCTTAAAAGTGGCCGATAATTGGGACATTTATCTAATAAATGTAGGGGGTTCCGCACAGATGCGAAGGCACAAAGTGACGTCTCTTGTGGTGGTGAAGACGCCATCGGATTCGCAGCGACGCATTTTGTAGGGAAAAGACGCGGAGATACCCAGCGACGCCTCTTACGACTGCGACGCCTTCAAGTTCAGATCGACGCACCTTATAGATGGAGAGAAGCCAACATGATCGGAGCACCTCCGCACAAAAGCGAAGGGCGCCTTCTCTATGGCTGCAAAAGCCACATTGATAACTAACGACCTGATTACGCACTTAGATTGTGCCTTCGGCACAGCAAATTCGGTTGTATATTTTTTAAATCGTAGGGGGCGTGCGCTTTTTGACCGCGGCAATGTAGTTACTATCTATGTTCGATAGATGGAACCCGAAATAAAATTCTGTCGTCGATGACAACTTCTGCGCAACGCAGATGGAAAACCAGCTGTTTACCTCAATCACAAATGAATGAGAAACAGTGCAGCGAAGGTAAAAGTCGAAGCCTTTGTTGTGACGACCGTTAAAATTTCGTTTAGCATACGCATCAATTTAGTAAAATATTACACTAAAAACCCGTTACTTCGAACAGTTCGCGTTTTCACAGTGCAATTGCGGTAATATCGTCGTATAAATGGCGTCTTAGGTTATTGTTGTGTTTGTGTGGTTTGTGAATTAACACTCGAGATCGTAGAAAAATGATGGCAAATCCAAGAACCAGTGGTGCTCTACGCGCTTTGGCCGTCGAATATAAATCCCTACAGGAGGAGCCGGTCGAGGGATTCTGTGTTAAACTTGTTAACGAAGACAATCTCTTCGAATGGGAAGTTGCAATTTTCGGACCACCAGATACCCTCTACATGGGTGGATATTTTAAGGTTTGCAATTACATTTTCATTATCGGCGACCTACATAATCATTACTTAATTAATAAAACAATTTCGCTTTTGAAATTTCCGTAAGTGAAATTGGGTCGCAATTTTACTTTTAAATATTAACTTTCTTCGGTGCTAATAATAGACAATTTCGCAAATTTGTTCCCGATTGCATTTGTTTATTTGCGCCAGTGATGAGGAACACAAAAGATAAATATCGAGCATATAAAATTGTGCAATTCAGATAACCTCGTTTCTATAGCAACGTATTAGCAGATTTATTTACAGCTGTTATTTATATGTACCTACCTACGCTTTCATAGAGATAGCTTTCCATTTGTAATGAATCACTTCCCTTGAACTTAACTCTTTTTAGTGAAATGAACTTTCCTCGCAGCTCCTTTTAATTTCAGGGGAGATACTGTGACTCATTTGTACAATATTTTAGTTACATTTTTACATGCTCATAAGGACGTGTCAAGTCTACGGTCAATGAATCTACAACGTCCGCATGAGGATCGTGCTAAGGTTAACTAGGGTGTATCAACCTTTTTTTTTCTTGTGATTTTGTAGCAATATTTATTATGAAGGTCTAAGGTTATTTGATACAGTCCCACCCCTCAGCAATGCAAAAATAATAATGATTCACTGTTGTTGGATTTTAGGACGAATTTGGATTTGTCATAACGTGCAAAAACAAAGAAGGCTGTGATTTATCAATTTTGATTCATTGGATTGTATTGGAACACAGTAGGTACGCTCAAGGGCCGAATAGTCAAGGTCAATTTCTGGAGGGACGTTTGGCAACACTGTTTCCAGGATCACCCATATTTTGTGCTGTTATCATCCTGGTTCCTATGGCAGCTTAGCTACATCGTTTTCTTGTATATAAAAGTTTGGATTTAGGCTCTCTTACCTTCTTCATCAAAGTTGCTCCTGTACCAAGGGTTTTACCAACTCTGGAAGTGGGTGCCACCCTTTCTCGGTGGTGAGAAGTGTTTAATTGAAAATAAGCCCGGAAATAGGTATACATATTGACGAATTTCGAGGAGGATGGTAATTCCTGTGTACAGTTCACTAGAATTAGTGGAATGAGTATTGAAATTAGTGGAATTGGCGATGATACTGGAAATAATGCTGGAATGGGAGATATTGTCATCGGAATTAGTGTAGTATGCAAAAGGAAATTGGCCAGGAGAGAGGATTTTCTCTACATAATCCATTGTTCGTCTTAAAACTGCATTTCTAAAATGCTCCATATTTGCTTTTTTTAAATTATTTATTGTAAGCAGTGGCGGTCCCAGGCTCCCATTGTCCATTTTTTTCATAAATTTTGTGTCTATCTCATTCCCATTATGCGAGATGTCTTTTATTTTTTTCCGTGTTGGGACAAAGTTCGGATTTGGGCCCCTCCCTTTACCAAATCCTGGGACCGCCACTGATTGTAAGCAAGCGGGTTCATTATTGTTTCAATTGTAGGCCACCTTACCTTATTAAAGACTCCCAAATACCACAACGATTATTGAGACAATGGTTGCCATAGATTGTAAGCTGCGCTTAGAGCGCCGCGTAAATTTTTCGGTGAAAACGGCCATTAGGGGCGTAAATTTAACGAACATTTCCCAGCAACATGACGTCATCATCGGTATGCGTATAACCAAAACGGACCCTCCTAAAAAAGTTAGCAACGAACGATGATACGAAAAAAATATCATGGACACAGGCGATTGAAACTGTTGCGAATATCCCCTTTCGTCTGTTATACGGGATTCAATTTGCATTGATATCGATCAATAAAATCGTTAAGACGTGTATTTTTATAAGGAAAGGCGATTTAAATATGATGTTTTATATATATTTTTAACATTTGACATGCCAACATTGCAAATGTTTATGTTTTCGTTTATGGGTACAAAGTTAGACAGTTTCGTTCAAGGTCAAAAGACAACGATGTCGCATCAAGTCACGATTGTACTTAGTACTCAATTGTTTTGTTACTTCTGATCCGCTTTCCTACAATTTAAGACACCTTAAATATTCTTATAATATGGTGATACTTACTGTCACCTTGATATTTACCAAGTATGTTAATACATAATACATTTTTTTTAGAATGACGAGCTTTTTCAAAATAAAACTCCTCACGCCCATTGATTTCTTCAGAGAATATCTTGGAAGTTTTGAAGGTTCTTATATGTACTTAAAAAAAGTTCTGTGAGAACGTTGAAGACGATCTTCAAGCAATCATTAAATATTTTTCAGGTAAGTGTTGTTCAGACCGAGGGGTATTTCACTGGTAGTTGATGTAATGTAACACTGTCGGGTACTACTAGGTACACTACTGCTAACTCCTCCCGATGTACTGCAGTGTACTACCTGGTCCTACAGCCATCTTTTTAATTTTTTTCCGAATAATTCCCAATAAGCAAGCCTCACTTTGATGAATCGTAGCTACTTTCAGGGTCGTAGTCAGAGGACTTCCTTAATTCGAGTATGACGCAATATAGCACGCTCATAGATGATCAAATATAAAGAAACGTCGAGAGAAACGTGGTTGGTATTCGGAATTGTGTCAACTATTAAAATTGGACAATTTCACGTCGAGATATAAATTATGTTCTCTATACAGGGTGACCAAATTTGGTCGTTAATATTGGGTAACCTCGTCTTAAACTATAAGTGATTGACCTCGCAGTGTCGATGGGTTTTTTTGAGATAAACTGGACGCTGAAACTAAACTGGCCTACAGTCTTTTGTTTTTGAGTTATGGGCAAAAGTTGCCTTTTCGGTTTTTAGATAAAAGCATATAATTTCTATGTTTATTAAGTTATCGGAAATGTGTATTAAAAATGATTATTGTACAATCTACAGTTTTCAAAATAAGTGCACAGGGTCAAGTAAAAAATTTATCGGATCTAAACCTCATTTTTTAATGGAACACTTTGCATATTTTAATTTAAATAGACAGCATATTAAATTCTCTTTTCAAAACTGTAGCACATCAGGGGCGATATTAAAAAAGATTCAAATACCCAAATAAGTAAATCCGAGAGTAAATCTAAAATTTTTAATTTATTCTTAATCTTTTTGAATTTGCCCCATTTAAAAAATGAGGTTGAGTCCGATAACTTTTTTACCTGACCCCCGAGCTGACCCCCTTTATTTTGAAAACGGCAGATTATGCAACAATCATTACAAAGAAACTTTTGTAATAAACACATTTCCGATAACGTAATAAAAAAGAAGTTATAGGCTTCGGGCTTTTATCTAAAAAACTAAAACTGCAAACTTTGCCCTCGCTTTTGCCCATAACTCAAAAACAAAAGACTGTAGGCCAGTTTCGTTTTCGAGTTTATCTATAGAAAATTTCCTAGAAAATGAAAAATATGTTAGATTTCTCACACGAGTAGGGGTTGTGCGCAGGTGCACCATCCTGTTGAAACCAGCAGTTTCCAACTTTTTTTATGTGCTGTACATCGTTGTATTTGCAATTAAAAATGTCAGTCAATACAGTATGTACCTTTTTTACGGGCCATGTAAAAAATAACCTCAACCGAAAGTAACTAAAATTTGGACATACTTATGCGTTCTTAGGCGAAGGCGATGGCGAAGGTTAACAGATGAAAATCTTCTACAGCGACGTGGTATTTGACATGGAACACTGCAGATCTCGCTGCAAATTATTATTTCTTCCGCTCTCCCTGTAGATTTGTACCTCGATTTATACAGAGGATGTCCCTTATAAAAATTGAAGAGAACACAAAAGACTATCGAATAGCGAAATAAAATTGTGGTAATTCTATTTGAAAAAAAAAGTTATGGCACTTTGAAGTTCGGAAAATTTACCATTTCATTGTGAACACCCCGTAGGTGTCACTAAATCGCGAGCTAAATCCACGTTTCTCATTATCAAAATGTTGTCTTGGGATTCACAATATTGCTCAAAAATATTTCTTAACTTCAAGAAACAAGGTCGCTACGATTCATCAAAGTTAGGCTTCCTTATAGATAGGGAATTACCCGGAGAAAAATTTATAAGATAGCAACATTGACAAAAAAACCGAAAAGTGAATAGGTTTCAATGTAAATGTTAATCGTCTATAGGGATCAAAACGAGGATCTAAAGGATTTTTTACCAGGTATAAACTAGGAAAAATCGACACACTGTTGTAGCACTCTGTATAAATCAATATTCTATTTATGTGTTATATACAAGGCGATTCATTTATTTTGAGACGATTTAATAACTTGTGGGATCATATTTTTTTGGAAAAAAGCTTCATACAAAAGTTTTACAATTCTAATGGGGGTAATTGGCGGTCACTTTGAGGATGACCTTGATCTCGACCTTAAGGCTACTATTCCAACTTCAACATTTTGAATGAGACCCTTTAATTTTGACCTTGGTAACGAAAATTGCAAAATTATACTATAGGATTTTAAACAAAATTACTGTGGCTGTGGGGGTCGTTTTTTACCCCCAATGCAATACCTCCCTTAAGTACTGACGTGCGGGTGGTAAAAAAAGCCGACATCATAATTGTGTCATTTGGTACACTTGTGCAAAATGATATACAAAATTATGAAGTCGCCCTCTTTTTGTAAAAAAAAATGTTTTTTAACCCCTCCCGCCTTATACATGCTCGTAGGGGGTTGAAATTTTGCATGTGACATGTTTGGGACATATCTGATCATCCCTACCATTCTAGATCCAAGAGTCCTGTACTGTACTGTAACCTATTTTTACAGTACCTAATTGATAGATCTAAGCAATTCATGAAGAAGGAACTGTTGGGTAGTAAAATTTCCCTCTGTATATTTTATTCTAAGAAGATAGTATACTAAATTCCCGTTCCAAAAATATAACTACAGAAATATAAGACTGGTTCAAAAAGAATTAAAAAAAATTTTTTGTTGTTGTTTTTTAAATCATCTGAACCTTTTTTTTTCTCTTTTTTAATCTTCTTCTAATCGCTTGTATTTTTTTTTAAATAGTATCCTTAGTGTGTTTCTATATTTTTAGATTAAAATGTACAGGGTGGTCTATTAAAAAGTTAGGTTAGGTTTGGTAACCTTTTTAGCTGAGCTCGTATAGTTGAAAACGGCAGATTATTCCACAAGTACTTTTGGAATAAACAATTTCTTTTAACTAAGAACATAAGGGGTCTTTCTGAAATTGCCAATTTTGTGATTTTCCCTTATATCTCTTAAGCGAGTGAAGATTGTCCAATTTTGATCGTGTCATTTAAAGTTTGACCCAAAGAGAGCACATGACCCTTTTATTAGAAACATTTTTATAACACTAAAAACTACGGAGATACCTTATAAAAGTTTCTAGAGCACTCTGTACATTAATATTTATTTTTGTTAACTGTGTACACAGTAGGATAACTTAAATATTATACGTATTCTAGAATGTATGCTTGTACACTCGCTTGTACGTCTGGATGTATTTGCAAAACCAAAACTAAGGATTTAAACCTCGATTTAAACATTTTATCTCGCATTTTATTTATGTACAGTACGTATTGCGGTTGCCGATGTCTTGAGTCATATAATTTTTGACTCTCTGAAAGATCTGTAGATATTTCGGTAGGAAAATAGAGGCCAATACTAGCGACCAAAATTTCCGAATATACCCGAAGTGAAAATATACCTTGCAACGCATCGCATTTTTTTTTGCTTTTATTCATCTTATATCCAACTATCAACAATAATAAAACTGTTTAAAAAAATGTGCCACTAGCTCTCCTACTAATATAAGTGTCTAAAATACGTCGAGCCGATATTTCGGAAAATTGCCAACATACATACACAGATACATATGTACAGGGTGGCCAAATAAGAATGCGAGGTACTGTGTCTGGGAACCTGTCCATCGTAGAGGCTTGCGGTAAAAAAGTTATTACTAAAACGCCCACGAGAAAAACTGGAAAATACGAGGGAAAATATTTGTAAGTTTCTGAAATAGCCGCTAGGGGGTGTAACTGCAATCTGGAATCTAAAAAAGCGATGTTTTTGTGAATTCTGCTATATTAACCTAACAAAAAATGTCCGGTCTTTGGAGACGACGATAATATGAACCTTTTTTGTTTGACAATTTTTCCTGTATCTCTAAAAATGAAGTGGGGGGGGGGGAATTCAAAGGATTCCGTAAAGAACACCCTGTATCTTCGAAACGGCTGAACCGATTTTAACAAACTCGGGTTAATTGAAAAGAGTGATTCTTCTAATAGGTATTTTAAGTGTTGCTAGTTTCACATATCGCCGCTTGAGGGCTTTTTTCGACATTCCGACAGAAATGGTTAATTTTCTCAAAAAAATTAAATGGGTTTTCATGAAAAAGTAACTGATGCCTAAACAAGCTCGCGAAAACCGCATCTCGATATGACATTTCTGATACAATTCCGTTGAGAAATGATACTTCCCAATTAAAGACCGTGACAGCACATCGTCACAGCTCTTCATTAGAAATTAGAAACACCAACTCAATCATATGGCAACATCCAACAAAAGAGCGACTACTTTAAACAATTTAAAACGATTTATTTTCTTCTACAATGTAAGTAGGCGACAGGCGTCTTAAATGTGAAACTCTCAATTAAGTTATAAAACTGTTATTTGTCATGATTGCGCAATTTTAATTAACCAACAAAAAAGGACGATAGAGTTGACCTTTCGTGAATAATGAGAATTAAAATTTAATTGTTGCAAAAGATTTTTTCTACTTGCTCATAGGGTGCAAATCACTCTCACTAAAAATGGCCCGTAAAAAATACACACTGTATTGAATAGCATTTTTTATTACGAATACAACGATGTACGGCACACAAAAAAAGGAAACTGTTGGTTTCAACCTCGGTTTCAACAGAATGGAGGACCCGCGCACAAGTGCAAGAATACCTATCTGACAAATTTTCTGGAAAATGGGAAATATGTCCGAAAATCGACTGAAAAATGGCCAAAAATCGGAATTACCTTCATAACATTCAACTGTTTTTGTTTATTGAACTGAGGAAGGATGAGGGTACTTTTCCAAGGAACCACAATTAGCAGGTAGTTGATATTTTTACACTACACACTCTGACCCTTCCTCTGTTGAACGCAAAAAATCGTCTGTATCTCATACAGGGACAGTTATGGTACTATTTGCGGTGGGTGCTTAACGACACTGATTATTTAAACCCTGGGTACCAACAGAAAAACATTTACATGAAAACTCTTAGCGAGGTCATAATTTGGGCTCGATTTACAGATGAAACAAATCAATCTATAAGGCTGAAATAAAAATGGGGCCAGAGTACAGGAGAAGCATCTAACTGATGAATTTTACAACACTTTTACAAGGTGTTTCAAATTAAATTACTAAGTTGCCAGTCTTGATTTTACTTACATTAGCAGCCTATAAAATTGTTCTGAAATGTATTTAAACGTTCCAAAAATGAAAACCTCAAAATTTTATTTAAGAGACAAAGATTTTAAATAATTTTGTTTATCGAACTTGAAAACTTTTTACAATAGTGCCGTAGTGAATGCCTAAATCATTTAAAAAAAAACCCGGACCATTGTTTTATCATTTATTCGAGCATTTCACGGGTATGTGGAAATTTTTTTATATTTGATCACGTGACTGGAATATTTTCGCCGGGGAAATCCCAAGCTTGCACGATTAACCATTGGTTCGCGTAGACCCTAGATACAAACCACGCGAATCTAGGACTAGAACCTTCCCGAAGGCCACGAGTTTGCATTACAAAACAAGGTCACTCATTTGTTACGTCTTTGTTTTTTTCCTAATTGCGCTGTAATAGAAATACTTTATAATTCCCGTTAGTATTCGGCTGTCTACAGACGCGTTAACACGTATTATTGTTTTTTGTTTTGCTGGAACGCTTTGAAAAATAACTTAGGTTTGCAATATGGAATCCCAACGATATCTCCTAAAGAATGCATAAAATTTGAGATATAATGAATTGGAATTAAGAAATAAATCGAGTCCAAATTTCACGAAATTATTCAAAATTCCCAGAAATAATCCAATCACCTAAACCGGAATTTACGACGAACAGTCTCGAGTTATTGTATTGTCGATCCAGCCATTTATTTCTTATTAGTAGTAAATATGTGTGTATGGGGTATTAGTATATTGAAGAAAACTAATTGAATGTTTTGTTTCAGGCTCGGATGAAATTTCCACCAGATTATCCATATTCACCACCCTCAATACGATTTCTAACAAAAGTGTGGCATCCAAATGTGTATGAGGTAAGTGCTTAATGTTATAATAATCAACTTGAACTCGGCATGTGGCGAACTTTAGAAAAAAAGCATCACATGTTTTCGATCCTGCACCGCTAGTGTTTTATTGGCTAAAATTAGAAGGGAGATAAACAACGTGCGCCGTTCGCGATGAAAATTAAGTAGGTACCTTTTACTTTTGTATTTTGACCGCGTGGTAAATTTAGAAATTTCGTTTTAACCACACGCAAAGTTCGTTTCCACCTGCTCCTACGCTGGCGATGTTTTCGTATCCCAGGTGCAGTCTGGATACATGCATTGCGTTAGATTTTACCAGCCCCCGGTAATGGCAATGACCGACGCAGTCGATAAACTACCCCTTCGAAGCAGCGCCATGCGAAGGGGAAACGATGGCTCGTTTTATTTTTCAAAAATTTGAGTTATTTATTTTGCGCAGACGGGAGTAAGCGAATTCGCACCGGGTTTAACAAACCGTAATTATTTCCCCTTTTGTTCCTGCGGGATTTTATTGTAGTTAGTCGCACAGAAAATCCGTTTGTGCTCTTTTGACGATTTCTCACTCATTTTCATACAAACGCCCTTTTCGTAATATTTACTGTCGTTAACATTGTCGCGCCACTAGTCTGGCCCTTTTTTATTTATCTTATTTTCTAATGGGAAAAGTTTGCGTCTCTAACTAGTCTAGACGATGTCCGTCCGTCCGTGTTAATGTACATTTACTGCTTTAATTGAAAGTTTTTATGCGGGCGTTTGCACTTCTGTCGTAAATGTAGTAGTAAAATTAATTATTGTAATTTACAGGAACGAACACTATTAACCATAAATTAAAGTTCAAACGGTCCTTAAATACTGTATCAAATATTTTAGATATCAAAGCGCCATGAAAGATAAACTAAAGCGGATGTAACGCATTATTTCCGGAAAATAAGACGTGATTCTTCTAGAACATTCGGAAGCGTTCGGGAGCACCCGAGAATATTCGGTAAAGATTGTCGTTTTTTTATAGATCTGATGGCGCCCCGATGTCGCTCTAGATTTCTAGAATGTTCGCTACAGTATTCTCTCGTGATCGTTTACAGTCGGATTTCCCAAAAAACGGCAGGGATTCAAATAATACATCGATAAAATATAGTGAAGTCGGTTCTTTAGCGAACTTTAATTCAGATTATTCTTATCGATACTATAAATCAAAATGAGGCGATGTCATTTTTGTAAAAAGCGACAATTTTTTGCTTGGCCGACGAGATACTTTCACACTCGGTGGTTTCCTCGTAAGCAGGATAAATGGGCAGGCTACTACATCCTTCCTGAATATCTTATAATAGAAACACGGGCGAGTATTATAATAGGTCTAATTATGGAAAATGTGAGTGTGTTAGAAGACGACCTCGCCTTTGTTATCAACCTCGTGTTGACGACTTGTACACTGTCGATACCGAATAAGGTCACGATGTTTATTTTTAAGGAAAAACCTTCACAACGCGAGCGAGATAAAATTACGGCGAAAAGCAAGGGCACTCTCTGTCGTCATCGTCTTTACAAACTGTTCTTGTAACGTCACGTTGAATTCTATGATTGATTTACGTCGCATGACACACTGTTAAGTTCACGGACAGGAGAGGACAATGGGGGGAAAATCTTCTAGGAAAACTTCTAGTTGTTGACTCATTTCGCGTACGCCCACGTTTGGTTTTTGGAATGGGAATGGACCGCGATTAAAATGATTTCTAATTTGAATTTCGGCGCTGTTTCTTTGTGGTTCTGCATTTTCTGGCGAATGATCTCGCAGTTAACAAAGAGCTCGTCAAGGGCAACGTACTAGCAAGGTTGGAAATGCCAAGAGATGAAATTGAAAAAGCTATTGTGACTCATGTTTTTCGTGCGTGCTATTTTTACGTTGAAATGTTTACATGGGAATATTGAAAAATGGTGTGTGCGTTATCGTCACTAATCAATTAAGTTGGGGGGGACGGCACGCGTTGTGGTACCTAATCTTCGAGAGGCCCTATAATGAATGGAGCTGCCGAGTAAAGACATTTCGAGAAAATGCGGTTGTTTGCTGTCGCTAAGATCCTCCGCCTTGTCGCCTGGTATCGATTGTATCGTTACCGCAAACACCCTCAGATAAAATGTCTTGCACTTCCGCATTTTTCTACGTCCCAAAGTTCATCTCGCCATGTTTTTATTTGCCACTTCCTTTCGTTGTTTATTGCTACGCCTAAATATGGCGATGGCGAATTCAACTTGGCACACGGTACATTAATAAATTACTGCCAGTCACAAATTTTCACCTGTAATGTATTCGGTTAGTTTCTACTTAGTTTTGGCACAAAATGACGTTATCTCAAAATCAAATTTTCCTTGCATGCTTCATATCTACGCTGACATTTCATTTTTTCCGTTGGTACATCCGAAAAATGACACATTACTGGCGAGGCGAGGAAAATTCGAGGCCCCTTTAGGGCAGAGTACTTTAATTTCCGAGTGAATGATGAAAATGAAGGTTACAGGACGATTTTGGGTAAATGGTTTTATTGTTTCAAAATTGTCTGTTTACAAATAAACTGTTCGTGGATGATTTCTAACCGCCATAGTTATACAGGGTGTTACATTTGAGTAGTGTCAAAAACTCTGATAGGGCAGACTAACATTTTTTTTTTTCAAATAAACCGAGTGAAACCACCGGAAATAAAAACTAGATTCGAACATCTAGCGCAAGAAGACCAAGAAACTAATAAAAATTTGGGCACAGAAAGAAAACAGAAACACAAATGAACCGAAACCTCCTTCAGTAACTATATTCTGCGAGGGGTTGAGTTTGCTGGGAATTCGGTGTATAAATTTGGGGAATTCTCTGGGAAGTCTTAGGAATTTCCAGGAATGGTTTGGAAAGTCTTGGGAATTCACAGGAATTCTTTGGGAAGTCTCGGAAATTCCAAGGAATTCTTTGGGAATTCCAAGGAATTCTTTGGGAATTTCCAGGAAGTCTCTAGGAATTCCCCTGAAGTCTTTGGGAATTCCCGGAGAAATCAGTTGTTTGGGAATTCTGGTGTATGCGATTTTTGAGGCAGATTTAACTCTTCGATATTCTGTGTGCGAGAGAAGGTAAGAGATACAAATTTGGTTAGATGAATCCCTGAAAAATTTTTTAGATTTTGAAAAATTTTTGCAATAATCGAATTTTTCGACTTTACGAACTACATATTCTGACGTTAATATTTGACCTAGAGCAAAACCAATTACGTTTCTTCACAGCAAACTTTTAATGCTTTATAAGGTGGAGATGTTAATTTTTTAATCCGCCGTTTTGTCTTTGCAATTGCAATTTCATTCTTTTAAATACGGCCCTGATATATTTTTTATTTTGAATTCAATGATGTATAGCACTTTACGGTTTAATTGTAGTTTCGCGATCACCGTCTTTGGGGAATGTCAAAATTTCAATAAAATGTCAACGTTTTAGATCATTTAAACCGAGATTTAAACGTATGTTGGAAATTTTCTAAGATAACGGCTCGACGGATTTTGATCAAATTTTGGATATGTATCGCTGTGTGCAATGGTATGCGGTCTCTACACCACCCACGAAACACCTGTCCAGCTAGCTCCAAAATAAAGTCTCTCATAATAACCAAATTTGCATGAAACTCTTAAAATCCTAGGTCGTAATTTGGACTCATTCTGATACCAAACTGATCATTTTGAACACATCACAAGTTTATTTGATAATTGCTGTAAGGGAAATAGGCGGCAATGCCAGCGACCAAAAACCACACATGCAAGCGATCGATCAAAACGGGATTTTATAAAGTCTTAAATTGACTTGATACCCTCTGTTCCATTTATTTAGAAATTATGAAAATACGCACAATTCTCTTAACTAAACGCGCACCTGCGATAAGAACTGTTTACAAACATTGTCCATGCTATATTAATTTTACACAACAGTATCTTAGGCACATGGAAAAAAAATTTGAGCGCCGCAACGGCACCGAACCTTTTTTTTTTCAAATAGTAGCGCAACATTTTAATTAAATTATTCGAAACACTTTCTTTTTCTGTGTACAACTTACACAAATTATGTTAGATTTTATTACAAAAAAAATGGGAGAAAAAATGTCCTCTAGTTCATTTTGTAAAAATCCAATATGGCGCCCATAAGAAAGAAGTAGCCTGTAGCTTCTATATCTAGCGTGTTATGGAAATTCTGCAGAAGAAGGGATCGAAAGGGGGCGCCCTCGAGGTCCAAAAAGACGACGAAGATGCCCACGGAAAAGCCAAAGGCCGCCAAACCGAAGGAGGCGAAGCAGGCCAAGAAATAATTTCGCAGCGAACATAAGAAATTCTGATAGCAAATTCCGAAATTCTCCGAAATATTGCATTTTCCCTTTTACCTTCCTTCCATAGTCCATGTTTGAACTGAAAGTGTTGACGTCACGTTCAAGTTTCACTTGTCCTTTATGACTACTCTTTTCTGACGCGTCGTTTTCGAAATATTCGTATCGACCTCATCAATAGCCATGTCTCGTCCGATTCATTTGACATCACCAATGGATATATTCCTTCCAGACGTACTAATCGCTCTTTGCGAGTACGCTTCTCCGACACTCTGCTGTTTAGGTATGTGGAATTATAACCAATCATGATACGGAGTCGGGGAGGAGGACTGTGGTTCGTAAAAATTATTTTCTCCCCCCCCCCAACCTTCCATTTAGATAAGGGGTACGGGTGAATGGCGGTAGTTGATAGAGGGATGGATACTCCTGTCATCTTTTAATTAGAATACCACGATAGGTAAAACCAATTTCTAATCCCCCTCCCCCCAAGTGATCTCGAAAATGAGTCGCGGAAGAAAGTTATAGATTGTAGAGACCAATTCCTTTCAGTGAGACTTTTCGTTAGAATCCCATGGAGGGTAAATGGTGTTTTTAACGAGCGGAAAATCACCAAACATCCATTTAGTGTGTAAATTCATGGATATCCACTAGCCATCCTCGGATTTTTCGTGAATAGGTATCCTTGGATTTCTTTCCTTCACTCTGAAGATATAAGGAATTATAACCGATCACGACAAGGGATCGAGGAGGAAGACTATGGTTAGTATAAATTAATTCCTTTCGTTGAGACCTTTCATTAGAGTACCATGTTCCACTCCCCCCCTCTGCCCGTACTTTGATAAGAGGACAAAAAGAAGGGCAGTAGTTTGTAGAAAACTGTTCCTTTCGTTGAGACCTTTAATTAGAATACAATGAGAGATAAAATTAATTTTTAACCCCCTCCCTCAGGCCCCGTCGCTCACTGATCTCGAAAAGAGTCGCACGGGAAAAGTTGTACAAACCAATTTATTTCGATGAGACCTTTCATTAGAATACCATGAAGGGTAGAACATGTGTCCCCCCCTCCCCATATTCGAAAGTTTAACTTGGCACCACTAAAGGCGTATGCAAAATCTGAGACCAATTGGTTGTCGTATGTAAAAATTATGCACGTTTTACTTTCAAATCTCGGGAAATAATTCGTGGGGGGGGGTCCTCCCTTTTAGATGGCGAAATTTGATGGCCGTTTGGCACACCTTCAAGGTATAGTCTACCTACTGCAAAAATTCAAGGACTCTAGGACCATTCCCCTAGAAGTAGTTCAAAACGGTAGAAGTGGGTCCGGACGGACGGACGGACAGAACGCAAACAATAACACATTTTTTTAATTCTTGAAAAATGCGCTAAAAATTATAGATTGTCACCAGCTAATTAGAATTATTATTAATTTAATAAAGGCTATTATACTATAGTTTTGAAGCAATCATTTTTGCCTAGAAAAGATATCAGCTTCAGGGTATGATTTATGGGAGTTTTCCTTCATGTGGAGGGCCCATTTAATGATTTTTACATAATTGTCCCTTAAGGCTCAAGTGAAGGGTAACTTAATGTTTTCAAATAGAAGCCGAATTAAATATTCTTATTCTACAATCGGAAAATAATAAACTTCGTGGGAAACGTTTTTTCTCTACACTTGCCATTTTTTGAAGACTCTTCCAAAAGGTTCTAGCTAGGAAGCTGTTCTGTCAAGAATTGTATGGCGAAGAGATTCGTGTTAGGATCACGTCAAAGGTTTTGCTAGTGTAACATCATAATTTTTTTTGTTAACTCTTGCTGGAATTTGTAATTAAATCGAAATTTGGAACGGTCACAATTCTGAGTAAAATTTTAAATTTTATTTTCACTTTAACGCACACAGTGTAATTAAACATTTTCGCAGCCGTCATTCAATTAATTATGCAACCAATGGTGTCCTTAGTTCCTGCCAAATTAATTTCACAAAAATCATTATCTTAACAACAAAGGACATAACTTTTTGACGACCAGAAGTATACCTTGGAATATTCCAGGTGACTTGCCAGTTTTTTAATATTCATATACAGGGTGTAGCACCTAAGATCCCCCGGATCACAACTCCTTTACCATAAAAGATACCGAAAAAGTCTTAGAGCAAAACTGTCGCCATATTTCTAAAATATATACCATGGGCGTGCTGTGTTCCAGTGGCGTATCAAAATTGCATTTTTTTTAATGGAACATCTCATATTTTATTACTGATTTGGAGAGTACTTGAAAAGTACTTATTTTTTTATGTAACATGTCATACCCCTAACCGAGCCCCTAACTTTAATGATTTTGTGAGGGGACAAAGGCGTCCGGGGATTGTTTACTACTCCCAGTCGAGGAACTCCTAGTGGGTACGGCAGCCGTACGATTTCGTGATCGGAGGTTGTAAGGAACAAGAGGCAAATCTTCGTCATCCGTAGCGAATTATTTTCTCGTATATAAACGAAGTAAATCTCGATGGCTGATTTCTTTGGCCCCACGTTGGGCGCCAGTTATAAGGATCGTTTGTTGAAGGAGGTTCATTTTCATATTTAATTACGAGGACTTGTTATACAACACTCATGGACAAATTAAGCCAGAATATTCGAGAGAAAAGACGTGGGAAATTAAATGCCAATAAAACTCATTTCCTTTCCACTATTATAGCCACGTGACTTTTCCTCTTGCACAACATCGAGAATGGTTAACAATCACATCAAGTTTTCCACAACGTGATCGAATAAATGAGGAAGTAGATCAAGGTACAGATTCGTAAATAACCAACAATCGAGATTGGAGTAATTAGACCACTTATATAGACGATTGAAATTAGTAATAGTAGCAAGTGGAAGGTCAAAGTACGTTTGCTTTTGGACGTGTCCGGTGTCTTGACTCTATAGGGGGCGTTTGAGAATCGATGGGTAGCCAAAAGCCGAATTAGTTTGGGTTCAATAGTTTTTCATAGACGATAATTATCGACGGCTAAGTTGGTGAACTTCACAGTCAAACAATGACCTTCGCAACCAATTTTTTTTAATTGGAAAAAAAGTAATTATGGCAGATGGGTTTAATTGAAAGTTTAGTAAATGGCGTACATGTAAATACGTGCCTTGGTGTAGGTCGCGCTATTTTTATTAATAAAATTAACGCCTTACATCTTCTCTATTTTTTTTAATGACGAATTATCCTTTTAGATGTGAAGTATTGAGTTGACTGATTTTTTTCTTTGTGTTATTTCAGAATGGCGACCTATGCATCAGTATATTACACCCTCCAGTAGACGACCCTCAATCCGGCGAGCTACCCTGCGAACGTTGGAATCCAACGCAAAATGTTAGAACAATCCTATTGAGCGTTATATCGTTGCTCAACGAGCCAAATACGTTTAGTCCTGCCAACGTCGATGCGTCGGTTATGTATCGCCGTTGGAGGGATTCGAAAGGACGGGACAAGGAATATGAAAATATCATAAGGTACTGTCACTACCCATGATCCCAGTGAGATGTATCTTGGGTAGTAAGGAAGGTGAGCCCACGAAAGTGGAAGGACTGTTTTCATTTCTTGATCAGTCCACTCTATTGGGAAAAATGCAAATCCTGCTCCAAGTCAGAATTAAATTTCACTTCAATTTCGCCTAATGTAGAAATAAAACGTTCTTCTAAACAAACATGATATGAACGGAGTGTCTGTAGAAGTCTACATACTGTAACGGCTTAGCGACCTTTACAAGAGTTGAAATTCTCTTGTATTAAATAAAATCGAACCTCTACGGCACTGGCACTGGAGAATTTTTTATTCTCATGGGTCAATTCCTTTAGGAATATTAAAATTACTTCAAACAAATTTAATATGCAAGTTCCTAAAAACCGACCACTACTTTATACAAATTATCTCTCCTTTGAAAATGTCGCTTCCTTTAGAAATATGGAAACGGACCCCGGTACAGTTGTCTTTTTGCACCACATTGGTAGCGTGATGAATGTAAAGTTTGGTGGATGAACCTCGAATCCAAGCAAACCGGCGGCAATTTCGCAAAAGTAACACCCGACATCGTGAGGATTTTGAATAAAAATGCCAATGTTTCGCTGTATTGATATTAGTTTCGCCCCATTTATTCAGAAGGTTTTATTGTACAGGGTGAGTCAACGATTGCGGAGAGTAACTTAATGCCTTGAAGATAGAGTGCTTTTGTATTATGATATGGTTGAATATTCTCCACATTTTAAAAATATTTGGAATTATACAGGGTGCGCCCACAAAGTAGGGCGCCCAAATGGTACATTTTTTTTAAATAGAACCCCCTGTATTTGAATGCATTTTTGAATTCGACGTGTAATTGTACGTCTTTTTTATTATATGGTTAATATCCGAAAAGCTAGTAGTTTTAAAGATAATTCGATTTTTAAGTGAAATTGGGCATTTGCAAGCGACAGTATATTGTCAAAATTATTACTTAAATTTTGATTCCAGGTTTTATATCTTTTCTCCTGGGTTAAGTAAAAGTCGAATAAATACATCTACTATGAAACATTAAAAAAATAGTTTACAGGGTGTTTTTTTTGGTAGCTGAAACCATCAAAAAAAGGCAATTTTTATTTGCCTCGTTCCTGCCTCGCCAGACTTTTGTTCACGTTCGCTATGAAGCGGTATGTGTGTAAAATTTCCCATGTCGAACAAAATACAAATTGAGAACCAAATTTTTGAATCGGCAAAGCAGTCATTTTTTCTCCCTTTTCTCTATCGCTTTGCTCTGCCGCTTAATAAAGTCTACGTGATGTAGTTTACACAACAATATTGACGTATTATTTAATAGGGTCACCAAATCCATTTTAATAATCACAACGTCTATGTGGAAATGGATTATGTTAAATGAACTATGATAATAAATCGGTAATTAATTGCTATTAATTCGATCGATTTAATTATTTCGGGGATAATGTTCTTTAAACCGTTCAGCTTCTGGTATCTTGAATTCAAATTAATTTACTGATTCGATTGGTGTTTTGTTGAAATCGGGATTATTTGCTGTACGTAACCCTAAGTCATCTGAAGGTTCGCCAACTGATTTGAATGTTTATTTCGAGCTACCTTTTTAAGTCGTTCAGATTTCAATTTCTATGATAATGGGCCACTTAGATAAATATTAATTGGAACGAATTTATGCGTGTTTGTGACCGATTCAGAATACGGAACCTTCGTACATATGGAAATTTTCGAAAGAAAGAAAAATAAAGGAGTGTTTTTCAACGAGGCCGTGTGTGACTTGTTTTAATTAGTGTTATATGCATCCTACAGTGGTAGCTGCAGTGGAACGTCGAGTGGCTCAGTTCTTTTTTAAATGTTAACGGGACTTACTTTCTCATTTCAGAAGCAGAATAATATTTGTAAGTGTTTTCTTTTTGTGTATCATACTGATAAGTGAAAATGCATTTTGTGTTCGCTTTTTTTAGCCCATTTTTACAAATTGTGGCCACTTTGTTCATCCGTTTATCCGTGTTACTATCAGGTTTTATATCTTAATTATGTTCGTAACGGAGGCCCTACTCTTCTCAGACTTGGATTTCTTGAAATTCTTACAGTCCCCCCTTATAATGGCCTAACTCGCCTCATTTGCAACATTTCGGGACTTCTTTGACTGTTCGCCACTCCCGACGCCCTTATCATGGCCATTCTTCTGCTTGTGTTTGACCTTAAAGTGTCAATAATTCAAAATCTTTACTTCTCAACTTCAATTATAGCACTCGAATCTTGATTTAGACGACACTGACTTCGTTGTAATTGCAATTATAGAATTGGCTCTTTGATGGTGGCATAACTTTGGCGACAAACGCTAGATAACCACAGCACTCCGACTAATCTTCTTCGTAAACGGGAAAAACACGCTTCTACTTAACTCTACTTATAAACTTCACTTTTCTCGGTGTAACGTAACACACACTTGAGTTCTAAGACTGTATTCTACAAATTTTATAATTGACTGCACGGACTATCTTACCGACAAAACTGATTGTTAAACGCCCTCCAAACAAAAAGCGGCTACGTTTCAGCGTCCACCAAAACAAACAAGCTTTCGCCAAAGAGCCTCGACTAACGTCTTCCTCTCCTATTTAAAACAAATTCCGTTTCCTTTCAACTTCCTTAACAAAATACTCTATTTTTCAATAATCTGACCCTGTGTTTACTTTACGCGCAAAACATCTGCTTAACTCGCCGATAACACGTGGTCCATCTTGAGACTAATTAGCTTTCTCAACGATAAGAACTCTTATCGGAAACGACCAGAATAAACTTTTACAAGAAAACGAGCTTAATCTTTTAACACGCAATAAAATTGGACAAATAAATAAAATGCAAGGCGATTATTTAAAAAAATTAGCAACAATAATTCTGATACAAAACAAAATGACCTCGAATTCGACTGATATGATTGAAGCCAATCTCAAATTACAACCAACTTTTAACGTTAAAAATAATTGACATGCACATACAGAGTGACCTATCACAACCACAACCAAGTGTATCATCCGCTTGACGTAGTTTACAGAATAGTATACAGGGTGTCTTAAATCGAGTAGGGTAACATAGCTATCTTTGTTATTATTATACTTACAGATTCGGCTAAATTGGTAAAGTTGTGTACTTTTTGATGCTGATGGATATTCCGATGCGATATTTTGAACTAAATAATCCGTTTCGTAGATAATTGGAAAAAAGTAAAAATAGCCATTTTAAGTTCAAATATTTTAGTAACAAAGAGAGCTCTCCAAAAAAACTTTCAAATAAAAGTTGCAAGATTCGATGAGACAAATTCAATGGGTGTAAACCATTTTTTTTTTCAAAATGACGGTTTTTTTCGGATAATGACATCAACTTCCTTATTTTAAATGGACGCCATATTGGATTTTTACGTCACTCGATAGACATTTGGGAATCAATCTTTCGTTCGTTTATTGTCTCTCATAGTCACCCTCGACACGGCCATGGAATTATTGCCATAAGAAGTACATTGTGTCTTCACGTGTCTTATGAAGAACAGACATCACACTGATTGGGCGATAAGCTTCAGGTGCAGATAAAAGACATTTGTCAGGTGTGGCGATAACAGTTTTTATCTCCCTCCATTGTTTAGATATCTGAAAGCTATACATATACATTCTATATATTCTGATTAGTTAGATCAGTGTTTCTCAAACTTTTTTGTCTGGCGACACAGGATGAGAAGTCTTTACAAAATAAATTTTCTAAACACAAAAGCATTTAAAACTAGTTGTCAGGTAAACTCCTGACTTGACTTTCCGACTACTTTTAATAGTCATTGCAATTATCTTTGGTCATAGTATAACATTTAGAAAATGCCCTCTAGCGCCTTTATTTTGAACACACATCTTTTTTGTAATTGACATTTTTCACTCTGATGCTTACTTTTAGAGAAAAATAAAATAAATAGTTGAACTTTTCAATTCAAAACTTCTCAAAAACAAAGGAACTCACAACCAAATTGTAATGAACTTTTTAGTAGAGTTTTTTAAGCCATTTTGGCCAGTGTATGCGAAAAAATTTTAAAAAATTTTTTCAAGCCGTTATGACTTAAAATTTTGACACCTTCAACAACCTTGAAGATGGTTACGGATCAAAACCAAAATAGGACGTTTTCGATTCCCCATACCACCCTATATGCACCCCAAATATAAGTTATAAGATTGAGAAAGTCTGATGTAATGCAATACCAGCATATGATTGATTAATGAATTATGAACCATAGAAATAAATAAAATAGAAAGCAAAAAACAGAATTGTAATAAAAAACGAATATTCATTTTTTATACTTATTTTAATTCCTTTTTTAATTTATGTAATTTTAAGCTTATTAAGTAAATATTCCAAAAAATTTCGCGGCACCCTTATGAAGTGCTTGTGGTACCCACTTTGAGAATCACTGAGTTAGATGACAATAACATCTAGTCCCCATAGCAGGAGGGCTGGAATTATGCCGTCTAATCCTGGTGATTAGAACGATTTCACCCCCAGGCTACCCTCGCCACATTTACCATCTCACTGACAACCGCCCAGACATTTTCCATGGGATTGACCTCTGATCTTAGGATTGCGAATAACCCTTTTGGACAGCTCCCAGGTTCCCCTGGGACTTAGACGGCAGCCTTGCGGAGCCTAGAAAGGCAGTCTTCTCACACCATTGTGGAAGGTTGGTTGGCAACCACCTTCAACCACTCACCACTCGCACGATATCCTTATTAGATCGCGCTCGAGTTTTTTTTCCGCCTACCCGTTTGCCCGATTCTAGGAATCTGCCTCTGGGTCAGGGTTGGGTCACGGGAGGTTTGGAGCCGTTTGACCATTTGGGCCAGTCTGGCCTTCTTTCTCATTTTCTGCTCAGCGCCGGAGATGCGCTTGCGTGGTTTAGTGTGTTGTGGAAACTCGGTGACCGGTAACATAGGGTCAGGGGTATCCTAGGACGCTCCCTCTGGTTTATTATTTTGATCAGTCTCCATGTCAGAAGAGTGTAATTTCGCCCTTTTAGCTCCTTACCGACCACGGAGCCCAACAAGGGGACGTCTATCCAGATGTGTTACTAGAAGAATAGCTTCTAAAGGGCAGCTCAGAGAAGAGAGGGCGTCATACGCGGGTTGGAGCGCCTGCCGATACACGCCTTTTGACTAGGGGGAAACAACTTTGAATAATTCGCTCTTCAACCAAAATGTAGGAGTACATAGCAGCGACTCTCAAAAGTCTTCAGGGTTCCTTTGAACTGACTTTATTTTATACTTTATTAGCTTGAAGTATGTTATGGTTAAATGAAAGCGTTGACGCAGAGGGCATACAAATCGTGAACTAACAAGAATTCCAAAAGTTTAGAAAACTTGAACTCCTTATTGAAACTTGCGGTCGTACGCGTTTACTTGACGTTTTTTTTAATAAGCAATTATTTCAATGATCGATTAGTATTATTCAAGTTCCATTAGTGGTGGCACGTAGGCACCAGCAGCAACGGTAGCAATGAATAAATAAAGACCAATCTTTTATTAATGGTGAGCTAATGGTGACGCAATTAATCAATACAGTTTAAATGAGAGTGCATTTGAACAGTCTGATTAGATTCTTCACAGGAAAACCCTGTATATCTATTTCAGTTGCTAGGCAGTCATAGTGAAGGTAACCAGATTTAGTAGGTGCTATGTAACATAGCATCCTGAGGTGTAATCAATTTCTGTATAATATAACGTCATTAATCTCGTCATTAATTATTATGCGATGTAGGCGAGTTGAGTGTATTGCAAAGGGAAAAAGAAAGGAGAAGTGGAAAGGTTAGAAAACTCCCGCAACTGCCTCAAACGATTCTTTGACCTTGGTATTTTGGGAGTGGCCGCGGATTGAGGAGGAGGGGGTGTAGGTAAACGGAATGGCTTTCTGCAAAAATGGAAAGATTGAAGGTAACTTAAATGTACCCTTTTCTAAATTAAACAGGTATTCTGTTATAATCCTAAGACGAGATTATCTGAGGCAAACTAATCTTGATCCCAGATTCCCCCCCACCCATTAAACGTCAACCTGCTTCTACTACCTCAAAATTTGATCATTTGTTTTTTTTTCCAGAAAACAAGCTATGGCAGCTCGCGCAGAAGCAGAAAGGGAGGGTATTCAGGTTCCGCTAACGCTAGAAGACTACTGTATTAAAACGCAAGTGAAGCCAAATAACGACAACCAAGTCGAGATGACCGACTTTTACGACGACGATTACGACGAAGACTACGACGACCCCTCAGACGGTTCGGATTGTGCAGAGGACGACGAAAACGATAGCGGTAACGGGGAATCGTGATCCCAATAGGAGATTATGCACAGATCTAACCTGCTAAATTGTATTCTTATCTAATTGTAGGCGTTTTGATAAGTACCCCTTATTTTCTCATCGGTTTGTTGTAGCTTCGTTACGAATAGATTTCGGTGTGGTAGGAGGTTGCAGCTGCCAACTTGACAATTAGAAAGTTGCCCACTATCGCTAGCTCATACTATCTGCATAGATAGCGTATATTTTTTTAATTACACACTATTTTTGTACCGTTAATTTGCAAGACTGCCACAATAGATCAGTTTGGGGTTACTATCAAACCTACCTTGATCACATGTACATACTAGAAAATAGTTTAAGACGATTTCTTGTTTCAATACAAGGTGATGCTACGATGTTTGTGATATCGTCAGTCCATAATGAGGATCTCTCATAAGCACTGTTACAATTCACACTTTTCACATTATTTTTATTCGGAAAGGGACTATGTTAATACTCCAGATCACGACGTGGGTTCTTGCACGAATTATCCACAGGCAGTATTAACCATCCTACTTCGTTTTCCTAAACCTCCTACTTGTACATATATATCGTAAATTGGAGAGTTTACAACGCGCTATTTAGGTGTAACAAAAAAGTTATGAGATTTTCATTTCGATAGTAGGGCCTTTAGCAAAAAGATTTGTAAATAAGTTAGATTATACTATTATTTATTAAGTCCAATTCAATTTTTTTACTTGATTTTCACATGTTCGGTTAATTGATAAATCGGTTGTGGAATTTAAGAGTCAAATTGTAGAGCAACTACTGTACTAAATATCGGTTATTCGTAGATTTAAATTTTATTTTATTTACCTACTTTGTTGACTTGTGAAAATTGCAAAAGGTGTGATTTTTGTTATAATTTATGATACAGTGTGCGCACTGGTATTCCATAAATAAATGGCTATCCTAATATTGGGTATTTCTTAGTCATTTCATTGTTTATGTTAATATATTTCCGATCATACCATCCAGGTATTTATTTATTTTCATTTTTTCAAGTATAAAATGTATAAGTTTTCCTAAATTATCATATATGAATACTTATACTAAACGATTTTGGGGAAGAACGTGGGGGGGGGGAGTCTTCTTGGGGAATTCCATATACCCACCAGTAAGTGAGGATTCTTGTCTCTAATAAAAGAGTGCTCGGCTTTCAAAATTATCATAATAATTTTCGGGAAAGGACAGTTAAATTCTCTGTTCCAGTGGGCTCTTGAGGATCATGTTGCTTAGTTCGATGACACCTGGGAAGAGGAGTGTCCATTTTGTTGGTTGTGTGGAGTGGGCGGATTATGGTTGGCAATTGACTTTGTTGTACTGTGGTGGTGGTGGTGGTGTAGGTGATTTTTGTAGGGTAACGGAATACGTCGCCAGACCGTTGTGATGGTGAAGCAGTGGGAGTTTGAGGAAGGGGTTATTGTGCAGGTTTGTGTTGTGAGACGCTGGACAGGCAAAGAGTGGGCGGTCACGGTCCTGAAGGGTTGATTCCGGGGTGGTGTGGGCTATATTACTCCGGTGCAAGACTTACCAATTCATCGTTTAGTGACGCCGTATACCCAAAAGTTCCTTTCCCACACAATTTTCCCTATATTTTCCCAATGGGATTTAGTTATTGCCGTTCTGTTTCCTCTGCTCCTAAGTGGCCTGCTGTGGGAGTGTTGTGGTAGGTTTCCAGTACCGTTGGTTGAAGATTATTGGAGACTACCAGGAGGTTGCCTCGTGAAGATTGGCGGTACCGTATAAGCTCGGTTGAACCATAGACAGAATTGTGAATATCTAGAATTTTACCTGTTCACTAAATTTGATATAGAACAGGTAGTTCTAGAGGTAGGAAAAAGCTGCAAATTTAAAGTCTGTACTAGCGTGACAAGCACTTGCGCCTCTATTTCAGACTGAATCATTTCTTCAACCCCATGCCATAGCAAAATTTGACGCGCGGAATGAAAGAATTATAAATAAATGTATTTAAATCTTAGAACATGCAGCTGTATTGTATGGTCTAAGATAGATTGTACGATTCGGAATTTCGGAACGGATTACGACCGGCCGGAAATTTGAGTCATATCACTCCCAGGCGGACGATAAAGTAGAACGCCTCCATCGGACGCTAAAATTCTTACACAAAAATGAGTCGAAATTCCTAAATTAATCTTTTTGCAAATCTACGAATTAAATACTTTTGTAATAGGCCCACTGGTCTTTGTATATTTCTGAGAATAGGCTTCGTATTCGCCATTCAGATTAACAATGAGGCCTCTGGTGGCAGCACATTGTAATTAATATTGGTGGGATAATACCGTCATTTTGTGTATGTACAACGGCCAAAAATAATTAATTAACTGTAGTTTTGCATTTGCAATCAGTGTCTTTAGAATTTACACCTTAAAGAGCAAGGATAGTTTAAAACGTCACCTTTTATCACATTACTTTCAAGAATTTTAAATGTGTCAGTGCAATTATGCAATCAGCAATAAGGATAAATTCAATTTACTCCCAAATTAGTACAATTTCCACTTGTAAATTACACCAGCGCTTGTACCTATGTGCATACCTCTAGTGTTAAATCTGAATGGCGAATAGAGATAATTGTCTTGTATAAAAATTATCACTATGTATAGATTTGAGTGCGTATGAATAATAAAGTTCAATACAGGAAGTGCCAACCATCAATTTTATAAATCGTTGGCCGGAAATTGCTGGCCGCCGTATTTTGACGTATGCATTTGACATATAACAATTGTCACTTTTGAACTTTAGTTTATAACTGTTACCTTTAATTTTTTTAATTTTAATTTAATAATAATTTAATATAATGTCGAGTCAGTGGCAAGTTGTTGGAAAGAAGAAGAGCAAGGAGGCCGTTCCAGTAAAAAAATCGGAGGAGAAGAAAAAGCTGTTTGCCAGTACGCCGAAGATTGAAGAAGTTCGTGAGTCAACAATTTCTCTGCAGTTAGCGAGTTAAATGGGAAAAACGTGTTTTTAAATTTTCAGTTCCCTTACAACAAGTCAAGAATTTGTATAACGCGAGTAAGAATAACGAAAATCCGAAACAGCAGGCGAAACCGAAAACTCAGGAGAATGGCGTTAAGAAACCCCAAAAGAAACCGGACAAACCGCAAAGCTCTCCCAAACCGAAACCTCCAAAGTCTATCGAAAGTGCCCTTAATTCCGTAAGTTATTACTTTCTCGTTCCAGTTTCCTAATGAAACAGTTTAGATTGACATCGAAGAATTGAAAGTATTAATAAATGAAAGGCAACGACTTTTTCCTGATGCACCTCTGGTCTGTTTGAAGGATGTTGTGAAGTTTTTAAGTCAACAAATTCCCGTTGAAGTTTCTGATCACACATTTTCGTCACATCCAGATGGTTATCCATGCTCAATTGTAAGTGGAACACCTTGGTTTGAATGCGCTATTTATTCTGATTGTAGATTCCAAACCCGTTGAAACTCATGCTTGAAACACCACTGAAGGGCATAGGGAGAAGTAACTTGCAAGTATTTTTTGACTTACTACTTACATCGATGACAAATGATATGAGTAAAAATGTACATACGTTAGGAACTAAGATTTATATTCAACTTGTTGCGTTAATGGAACCGAGTCTTGTTCTCGCTAGCTTAAACAAACATGCCAGTTTAAGAACGTCGTATCAGAATCGGCCGCCTATCGGTCTTTCAATTCTGTGGGGACTTGGTCAGGCTGGTATTAAAGACTTACATGCAGGTTTAAAAGGTATGTCGAAACTTTTGTGAATGGTAGGTAGTAAACGAATTATTTTGTAGTATTTCAAGAGATCATGTTACCAATTATAGAAATGAAAAGCTTCTCACGATACATAGTGAAGTATCTAATTTCCTTAATCAATCGTCATGGCTCAGGTGATATTAACATAGATCAGTATCTGCTAATATTAGATGTCGCGTTTGCAAACTATAAAAATGTTCCAAATGATCTCAAGAGTGATTTACAAAAGGTAGTGCCGAAGTTAGAGTCCATGCTGCTCGGCAACAAAGAGAAGCTTCACACGTTTGTTGATCCTTTAATCAAAAAACTGCTTAGCAATGGCACTAAAGCGTACCGAGATGAAATTTGCAAGATTTTAATTAGGTGTTTTACTCAGGATCAAAATGCCATCAGTTCGTGGAGTAAAATGTATTCTAAATATCTGCCACAAAGTGCCATTTTGTTAAACTACTTAAGTAAGTAGACGTAGATGGTGTTGCTTTTAAGTGTAACACTGTCGGTGCTTTTGCAGGTGAGAAATGGAGTTCGCTCTCAGGTAAATTTAATAAAACCGCTCTCGTCAATTTATTAAACACTTTTGCTGCCACAAACGAGGAGCTTTTGACCAAGAAACGGAAGGAACCTGGTCTTTCCGATTCTATTGCAGTTATTAAGGTAAGCAGTATTTAAATTGGGAAATTAATCCGTAATTAAAATTCAGGGTAAATATGTGCGTGCCTGTTTAAATATAATTTTGACGTCAATAGTAAACGAGAAAAAAAACGCCCTGTATATTGAAACTACACGTGACAACGTTGCATTCGTTTTCCACCTCGACCTTGAACAAATTATGACAGCCCCCCCAATTTTAAATTATCGATTAGAAACGGAAGTTAACAATTTTTGTGTTAATATTACGAAAAAAATTCGTAACATACAAATTGTCCAAATAACTGGCGCTTCAGGAACAATAAACGACTCTTACAACAGTTGATTTTAATGGTGTTGTGTTGTTGATATGCAACTGAGTCAGTTGTGTTGATGTGGTCTTCTTTCTGAAAGATATCAATAATCCCCTTTAGACCTTCTTATCTTATTACCACAGTGCCCAATCAGTAAGTGTTGTCATGCTACACTTTGGTTAGCATTGTCGAGCAAAATGGTCAGTAGTGTCACAATGGCAATATGTCAATTTATCTTTACGGGATTTTTACAGTTTCTATATCCTTTTTACAGAGATTGAAAAACAAGATGACACCCAAAAAGCGTTCGAAAGGCTTTCCGTACAGATTTTGGACAATTATTTTAATAGGAGCGATCGCGGGTGTTCTCTACTATGACATAAATCAGCACGGATCGTGGCCAAGTAAGTATCTAATAATGTTTGCGATTAGTGTTAATTTGTTTCGTAGAATCGCGAACGTTTAACTGTCTTAAGGACTTTGGTGTTATTCAGTACTATCACAAAGCACTCCATCGCACATCGGACGGCTTGTATTGGTTGCACTTGCGGGTTAACGAGCAAATTCCAGGATATTATGAGACAGTGTCAGAACATGTCGCTCCCTACGGGCAGTTGGCGAAGGAACTTTCGGTCATCGTTTGCAACCTGCTCAAAAATTTTAAAGACGCCATTATTAAAAAATACCCAGACGTACTTGCTTCGGTAAATTCGATCAAAATGCAAACTGACTGTTAAAATAATTTGTTGCAGATTGAAGCATATGCACCTGGATTGGTGGAGCATTCTCAAGAAGCGCTTCGCAATGCTTGGTCAGCATCGGTTTTCTACGCACATCGAAGTGTCGACTACTTAAAAACCGAAGTTTTTGTGTATGTTGAATTTTCCCGGTTTCTAATTAATTAGTATTGTTTTTCGCAGTGGCCAATTGGCACCCGAAAATATGCAGAGGGTGGTTTTTGAAGCTTTTAACAATACCCAACACAAGGCGGCTGAATACTACTCTTGGATTTATGAGAAAGTTCAGTCGAGCATTAAATAAAGGTTACCCTTAATTGGTTCTTATTTGTGATTGTAGTACTATTTAAACCCTTTTTTTATATTACAGTTGGATTAAACGTGTTGTTATTAATTATTCGTGGTGCACTGATCGGTTGTTTTATATTTAATTCGTATACTTTTAAATGTACATTCCTATGACATGTTTTGCATGTGTTTATAATTAAAGTACACTTTGTTAGATGAAAACATTCTTTCATGTTATCTTCTAGAAGTTAAACAAAAACAATTGCAACACATTAATCGCATGGAAAGGTTATTCAGTGTGACATTCTTTGCATATTTTACGTGCCATTGTTGGGAATATGTCAAAATGGATGGGTGGGGGAGGGCTATTAGTTTCAAATTTTTTACAGGATGGAAGTAGAAAAGGTGTGAAATAATTAGTTTAAATGCAGTATTGCATACAATAAAGAAATATTAAAAGTATAACGCTAACATTTAGATTAAAAATAATTCAACATCTCAAATATATTTTAAATGTTGCTGATCATTTGGTCGTCAAGAAGATAAAGGGATGTTTTAAAGTGTGTGAACACAATTTTATTTTATAGCCATATATTGTTTTATGTTCTGAACCTCATTTTATTTCGTGCTCCGCGTCCCATTTTTAATATGATTCAACATGTCTGTAAGATGAACAATCGTTTGTTTCATCTTATCTACCCTTGTGGTTAACAAATTACTTTTATCTGTGACGGGAAAAACGTTTGACATTTTATCTCTGTTGACAGGCAACATAATGTCACTTTTTATGAAATTAATTTTGTCCCCGGGAAAAACGTACTCACTTTTTTATACTCGCATATACACATAAGTGAAGATAGATATTCAATTTTTGAGACGCTACTTCCACTGCTTCTACTAACTCGGGTGAAGTCAGAGAAAATTCAGAATTGTTATTTCATGTATTTGTGGGGGCTGTGCCAGGGTTTTTGTCCCGAAGAAGGTTTCTGATTATGTTCCACGTTCCAACACATAAAAGAACCGATTACACAAGTAAGAGTTTCAACTTGAAAGTTAGATGGGTTTGCCCAGAGTTGCCAACTGTAAGTATAGGGTAAGTCACGTTGCAGTCCCGGCTTTGGAGGCCCCCCCCCAGTAACATTACAGTAGCTTGTGCGACTTTAGAATTATATTTTGATGTTAGTGTTCTCAAAACCCCTAGTCTACAGCGGCAGCTGTTTATTTAAAAAAATTTAAATTAAGATTTGTGGAAAGATACCGATTTCGCGCTGATGCGCGTTTTATCGCTCTGACTTATTTTCACACACAATTAAACAACTTTAAAAAAAGCAACCTAACCTACTTTCTTTTCCAAAATCTTTTCAATATGCGTGTCCATTTCAAATAAGGATTAAAGGGGGAAACATGACCTAGAAAACCGAGGAGCAATGATAGTTGAACCAATTCCAATGAGATGTCGCCACGTACGAAACTACATTCAAAATAACATTTTAATTTATGCACTTAATAGCCACGTCCGACTCAATTTTCCTTAAAAAGCAGTTGAAAATGTGCAATTTCATGTAGGATTTGTAGAGCAATTGTACTTCAATGATCCAGTATCTGGAATTGCCTTTTGTGTATGCAATTGGTACATTTGCGCCATCTCTTTGGTAATCCCTATACTTTTCCAAATTAATAGATAGACTAGAAACCAATTTCGAAAGAAAATTGAAAAGGCTGTAACTATTGATCTAGCAGCTCAATCTTGGAACTGTTTGAAATTGTGGATTCTACAGGCCACATTCTATAAGAAAATGTTTTTTCCCGCTCGATCTGAGACAATTTTTTTTTCGTGGCAAAAAAAAGGCAGTGTACAACCTTCCTTTTTTACCAAAAATCGACTACACCAAAATTTCTCGGGAAAACACTTTTTCTTATTTATTTTGGGGCGTAGAATCCAAATCAATTCGTACTTTTTCGATTAAACCTCTCAATCAAAAGTTATAGACTAGAAACCAATTTCGAAAGAAAATTCAAAAGGCTGTAACTTTTGATCTAGCAGCCCAATCTTGGAACTGTTTGAAATTATGGATTCTACAGGCCACATTCTATAAGAAAATGTTTTTTCCCGGTCGATCTGAGACAATTTAGTTTTTTTTTTAATTTACATTTTAGAGCATCCTGTATAATGGAAAATAACCTAATATATTGGCAACATCGCCTTTATGTGTCGAAAAATTGTAGGGTTGCAAAAGTAATTTATTAAAAAAATATTTTTTAGCAAATTAAGAATGATTAGAAATGTCGCACGATGTGTACCAAACTCTCGAAAGGATACCTTCGTTATTTTTAAAAAGCAGCAGACAGCAATGAGGACCATTTCAAACTTCAACATAACCTCAAACTATTCTACTAAGTCAAACAAAAATCACAGGAACGCCAGCGTTTATGAAGTCTGTAAACGTCTTTTAAGCTCAGAGGGTGAAAAACCGCGTAGAAAATTGCCGCAGCTAATGAATTTTCCCGAGATCGTGTGGCCGTCACTACTGAAGTCTATGAGGAACTTTATTCTGTCGACTTTCATCATAAAGCCTTACATGGATGGTGATTTTAGCATACCCCAGTTTGTGAAAGGCTCGAAGAAAGCTGTGGAGGTGTATAACATGTATATTATTGCTTGCATACAGTGTAGGTTTTAACACATACAGTTCAATTTATAGGTGGTGTCTAACAAACTGTCGGAAGGAGATCTAAAATCACTCGAGGGCTTGGTAACAAACGACGTAATTCCCGATTTACAAAAGTCTGTTTCTTTAATGTCCCTCGCCGAACGAGAACAATTGGCCATTAATATTGACGATATTTACTTTTCATTTCCGTATCAAGTATGTGCAAATGGTCTAAATATTCGACATAAAAAAAAACATTTTTAGCTTGGAATTATATTTGATGACTCGAACAATCAGAAACGTTTCGTAGAAATAACAATGGTCTACCATAGCCTAAAGGGACTGTCTATGATGCGATCTAGAGGGGAGGAACCTCCCTTAAATATGGGCATGATGCCTGAATACCAAGGAAAAATATCCGTTTGTAATTATAGGTTTATTAGAGAGTTTACGAAAGGTGTTGAAAGTCAGTGGACTGTAAATCTTTTAAATCACTTCAAGCCGGCCGATTATTTAGATTAGGTTTTTGCGAGGGTTTTTGTACATCCTTGTTTGCTTATTCTTTATTGTATTATCGGCAGGTTGGTACAATCACAATTTTTTCTTATACTTTAAGTAGTGTAAATAAAAAGAGTATTGGGGACTGGAGTAGTGTAAATTGTAATCCTTTAATACTTTTATCACAGCTTACTTACTATAGTAAGTAAGCTGTGCTTTTATTTTTATATAGGGTGTCCTACAAGCTGAGTCAATCTAAATGCAATATCTAAAATATTTTCAAGTTAGTGGCAGGTCTATCTGAAGTTGATACTAACTTGCTTATTATATATGAAACACCCTATACATTATTTCCCTATCATGGTAGCCTTTGGAAAAAGATAATCGAATTTTTTGGGGATGGGATATCCCATATCCACCTATATTATGTCCCACACAGGCAGGCTCAGCTTTCACAGGTTTTTGGGAAAGGAAAGTTCAATTCTCCTTTCATTAGGGCTATTCTGTACTACAGGATCGTGTTGCGATGGCCTTTTCTCGCAAATCATACGGATTATTTTTGAGGAGGTTAGGTACAAATTTGAAGCTGTGGCAACAATGCAATGCAGTCATTTCATTTAAATTTGAAAAGAACATTCGTATTCCCGATAAATGATGGCAAATAAATTCGGCGTTGACTAATTTGAAAGGTTATCCATTAATCGTTTAACGGGCACGTCGATAAGATTGATATCGCGTTTTACGTTCGCAGCTGATAAGAGTGATTTTAGTATGTAAACAAAAACAGAGCCGCTTGCTTTGTTTGACTGTAAACAATTTCCGGGGAAAATTGCGTTAGTATCTGACGTTGTGATTGGACGAAGACGTTGACTGCGTTTTTGTTTTGTGAGGAAATTTTTGTGTTTGGATTTTTGTTTTTGGTACAGTAGTTTGGTAGGAAAGACAGCGAGCGTAGATATCGACTGAACGCGACCCTGAAACAGCGCGTGTAGTCGCTGCTATACTCGCGCAGTGCAGTGAGCAAGTGTTAGTGGCCATAATCATGGCGAATCCTAGAAAATTTAGTGAAAAAATAGCGCTACATACGCATAGGCAGGCCGAGGAAACGGCTCGTTTCGAACAAATAATGAAAGAAGTCTCCGATGCGACTGCTAGGGTATGTAAACCACAAGAGGCCATTTTTGTAGTGTACAAATAACTGTCAGATGACGACGTAAACAACAGTCGCTTTTATGCTATGCTGCAATCAATTGAGCGCGTTTTACAATAAAATAAACAATTGCCAGCGAATTTTTTTTACGCAGTGCGTAAAAGGGGGATCCTGGTCATACCATGGCAAATCGTACCGACCTGTTGACCAAATTTTTATGTGCATTTATTGTAATCAATAATTCTGTTTTAGGTTTTTGACAGAACAAAACAAGCATAAACAAAAATACTGCATGAGTTGCATATTGTTTACCTTGTAAATTGCCGAAGATCATTTATCAATGGAAATTCTTTTCTTCAATTACAGGATGCTTGTAATTGGAATTAATGTAAACAATGCATTTGTTTATGGCACTTTGCATAGACCACTAACTGAATATTAATATTATTACCTTTTGTTGTCCCTTATGATCAATTTGTATTAAATTTGCCTGTATTGAAAAAGGTGAAAGGGTCAAATAGGTTCGACTGCGTATTTGATTAATTGAAATTGGAATTTCCAGAATCTATGTAAGGTAAAGGTCTATGACTGAACTTTCATCTTATTCTAAATTGGAAATTCCTACACTGAATTACTTTAGTTTATTGTACGTGTGAAACTTGGCCCCTGATTTTGCAATTGTAATAATTGGAGCTCTGGAGACCCCCTCACCCCCCATAAATCTTGGGGAGTTCGGACAAGTCATAAAAAATTGAAATAGTTCCCCAAAAGATCAACCAATGTAAATGTTCTAATTTTAATATAAAAGCTCCCAATATTGACCATAGTTAACGATTTAAAAATTGGTGTTTCTACAATTGGTCCAATATTTTTCAAGAAACTCAATACCAATACTCGCCCATACTGAGTTTTTTTGCTCAGTTAACTCTAAACGGGAAATCTTATGCTCATTTTCAACAAGATGGGGCAACTTGTCATACGTCGAATCTGTCATTAACCAGCACACATTCTGACTTTACAGAAGAAAGGACCGTCAGCAAGGGCTTGTGGCCGTCTCACTCTTCCGACTTAATTACCTACTGACAATTGCTTTCCATAACATGATTCCTGGTGTAGACATTTCTTCGAATGTTGGAGGGGAACCGAGAGGGGAACCGTTCGGACACGGTCTTCAAATCCCTCGTTCTATAAAACTGTATTTTGTAAACCGATACTATAAACTGTGAATGAATTAAACTTTTTGTGGTTTTGAGAAGTTTTTGACTTTTTATTTTTTTTTTTTTGGTTACACCAGATTTTCATTTCCAAAACAATTGACATAGGTACTGAAGTATTTTCCAAACTTTCTCCAAATATCTTGTACATTTCCAAAATTTCTTATATATTTCGGGTTTCTAAACTATTTTTGACATTTGTTTCATATTTTCATTAATTTGGTCTTTTCTACGCATTCTCAAAATCTTATGCAAATTTTAATTTTTTCCAAGTATATATTTTCTGTTCTCTCCGTCTGCCCATAATTTCAAAAAATTAAATATTTTTGAAAAAAATAAATGAAAATCATCTCCAAATTTCAATTGTTTATCAATTCTCATTTTGTTTATATCCAATATATGCAGAATGAATGTCTTAATTGTGCGAGGTGTCTATTCACTTTGTCCACACACACATTATGTTAGTCACTACCTATGAAAAAAAAAAATGATTCTGTGTGTGATCAGAGTGCATTGTTGTACGTATTCTTAGTGAACGGCAGACTAATATTGTGTGGGATGATTTTTAGGTTCACCCTGATCGTGGCTCCAATAAAAATGCTCTACGAGTTAACAGCAGTCAAGCACTGGGGTCATTTCGAGGGGGATCCCTGCCAAACGTATCAGCAGGGACCCCCACCGTCAAGACTACGTCGCATATCACTGATTCTAAGGTGATCGTTTTGACAGATGTCTTATTATTATGAGTTTTTTTTTTTGGTCGCAAATTTGACCTGGATACTTCATGATTTTCGACTGCAATTAATTGAGGGACCTTTGTCCAGGTCAAATTGATCAGGTCTTTGCATTCAGATTTATTTTGCATGTCTACTTAATGTGCTTGAACTGTTTGTCGTGAGTAGTTGTGTGCATGTTAATGACGGCCCTTTTGTCGTTATGACCCAACAATTTGTTTGCCACTTTTATGTATTTTATGTAGTGGAGTTATGATGTTTATGAACATGAAAGTAGCAAGATTGAACTTGACAATATATAACGTCACGTTACACTGTCCCCGCCTTAAATTGTGTAGCGTCTTAGAGCTTCGTACTTTCTGCCAACCACAGTCCTCCTCGACCCCTTATAGTGATCGGTTTAATTCCTCAGTAACTATCTGAAGAGGGTACTCATAAAGGGCAAGACATATTTACTGGCGACACCCTGTACATTGTTAAATATTTTAATTCTTCTAGTAAAATTTGTAAAAAGCATAAAGTATCTGCATTCAATCGTTTGCGGGTTATCGACTTTTGAAATAAAGAGAAGATTTGAAATATCAAAAAAGAAACATACAGGGTGTTCCATTTAAAATGCAATTTTGGTGTGCCACGCCTTTATGACCAACCCTGTACAATTAAAACATTTAATGCCTAATAGAAATTGTAGAACTTTGAAACTAAGTATTGTATACAACTTTTTTCGTTACCTTGTATGTTTTTCGTGATTTCCCGACTTACCAGCGACCCTGTATATTTCCTGTTCGTGTTCATTAGGAATGTTTGACTATCAAGTTAAAATTGAAAGCTGGGAAAATCTTCCAAGAAATTTTGTTTCCAGATTTCTTGTACAGTTTTTGATCTGTACCTCAATTTTGTTGTAGAATTGTATTATTCTAAATCTTGACAACTTTTAAGTTAAAATTGAGTGAAAGTTGGCGACTATTTTCTAAACTTTAAATTTAAAAATTTTTATGGCTTTTGAATAGCTTTCCTGGTCCCAGCTTAAAAATTTTGATGTTCAAATTGAAATTCAGAGGAGAGTGTTTCTAGGTTTGAAATTTGATTACAAGGTCTCTGCGAGAAATAGGTACCCCCACAAATGTATGGATTCACATTAGAAGTTAGGTCTTGGATAAATTTAATCGAAATTATTTAAAAACTTATTCTATTCGATTTAAGAATTCTACAATTTATTTAAAAGATTGTAAAAAACCCAAATTAAAATAGGAATTACTTCAAGATTTAAAATCAGTGAATCTTGCATCAAAAATTGTCTGAAATTCCAATACGAGAATCTTAAAATTTTAAAAAAGTTTGCATTTCAAGATTCTGATTTTCAAAAAAACTAACTTGGGGATGAGAGCGGGTAGTTAGAAATCAGGCACTTTGGTGTGAACGGATATTCCTTCCTCTGCCAAAAACCCGCAAGAAAATATCTCTACAAATAAGCGAGTTGCGAATTTTTTACTGGGATCATGTTTATGTCGGATTTTTGGAAATTTTAAGGGTCAAAATTGGCGCCGCCGTTCAAAATTGACTTCATTTTTAGATTCTACGCGCTCGATTTAGTAAAGAAACAAGTTTTTGTCAATTTCTTTTTGGTTCATTATCCCATAAAAACACCTTATGAATAAGATTGTTAAAAAATGTCAATACAATGTTTCGTTTCATGGAAATCATCATCAGCTTTATTTTTTATATGGGCCACAAAAAATACGAACTGTATTGAGCAATTTTTTTTTATTACAAATACGATATACATACTTACGGCACACAAAAAAAAACAAAGGTTTCAACAGGACGGTGCACCTGCGCACAACGCACTAACCATGGGAGAATACCTATCGGAAACATTTTCCAGGAAATTTGTGCGATAGGTATTCTTGCATGATTAGAGCGTTGTGTGGGGGTGCACCATTCTGTTGAAACCAACAGTTTTAAGCTTTTGTTTTTTTGTGTGCCGTATATCGTAATAAAAAATGGTACTTAATAGAGTATGTACTTTTTTATGGGCAAAATAAAAAATAAAGTTGCACGATGATTTTTCCGAAACGAAACGTTGCATTGAAAATCCCTTAACGGTGCCTTGTAGAGCTCAAAAAGTGGCAATGTGAAGTGTTTTAAAATCTCTCAAATAAGAAAGTGTTTATTTTTTATTTTTTAGTATCTGTTCAAATAACATCAGAAATATTTTATTTTTTTTGTATCTGTTCAAATAACATCAGAAAAAATAAAAACGAAATCGGCAAATTTCGGTTTTTCTGGCATATCTATCAGAAGTAATCTGAATTTTCTGGTTGCAGGCCATATCCATGGAACCGTTATATGCACAGCTTAGGCAAAAAGAAAAGTTTTTTGGGTATATTTTAGCCATGAATCGTACGCCCTCTAGCGGCAAACCTAGAAACTTGAAAATAATGTCCAGCGATTTCTCTTGGCTCCTTTTGTTAACAAAATCTTTTTCCCCATGCTCTGCAATAAAGGGTTCTATAGATATGGACCTTTATTAATAGGACACCCTGTACTACTTTTCCCTAATTTGATCATTTTCGCCCTCTAGCGGTAGACATAGAAACTTTAAAATAATGTCCAGCGATTTTTTTGGCTTCTTTCTTGAAACTTGAAACTTTGACATATGCCTGGCGAAATCTTTTTTCCCATGCTATGCAATAAAGGGTTCTATAGATGTGTACCTTTATTAATAGGACACCCTGTACCTTTGACCATCTTCGTATTAAAGTCACTAGGTATAGAAAGTACCGCAATCATCCGCCATTTTTGTGCAAATTTGTTGCCAACTTAAAAAAATTGACAAATAAAATCTGAATAGCTGTAATTTTTTATAACCTAACTTCATAGTACTGTCATGTTTTATAAAAATATATACAGATATCTCCAAACAGGTGGAACAATCCCTAACATTAAAGTTACTAGAATCTGGTAACTTCCGCCATTTTTGGGCAAAAATCATGCGTTCTCTCTCTAACACACGAGCCCAATGGATTGCGGTACTTTCTATATTTAGTGACTTTACTTCGTATCTTCTATGTACGCCCTCTAGCGGTAGACCTAGAAACTTGAAAATAATGTCTAGCGATTTCTCTTGGCTCCTTTTGTTAACAAAATCTTTTTCCCCAAGCTGTGCAATAAAGGGTTCTATAGATATGGACCTTTATTAATAGGATACCCTGTACAACTTTTCCCTAATTTGACCATTTTCGTATCTTCTGTGGTTTCTGCCATCCCCATGATAGACCTCCTAATCTTGGACACAGTGTATGTTGTGATTCTTATATACAGTGTGTCCCCAAGAATTGAGTCCATAATTATAAGGTGTACATATATGAACAATTTTTTTAGAGTTGGATCTTCATGTTCTGAGGATCGCTCCTGCTTAGCCTCAAACTGAGATATGAAAAAATGAGCCAAATCAATTAATATACAGGATGTTTTTTGCCGAATTCTAAAAGTCAAGAGTAAACTGTTTTTATTTTAGCAAACAACAAAAATGCATTTAATAGAATTAAAAGGTATGGAAGATTCAATTTTTATAGGAATCAGCCTACTTTGATTTTTTCATCGCCATCCAATACTTTTGAACTCATGTTTGCGAGTATGTTTGTAATGAAAATCAAAGCAAGCTGATTTGTATGAAAATTGAAAGTCTACAATAATAATTTTAAACAACTTTTGTTTTCGTTATAAGTACATATCTGCTAAAGAAATAAAGATAGTTTACAGTTTTTAAATTAGGCAAAAAAACACCCTGTATCGCGATAGATTCGTATTCGGGTCCTTTCGTAGAGCTAAATAAAGGCAGGCAAACAAACAAATGACAAGTGATCTCAAATTTTAAAATTTTTGATTTCAAAATGAACCTCAAAAGGTTTCAAGCTTGATTTTTTGAAATTCTTTGGCTAGAAAGTCTATAAAACATACTCGTTTGAAGTTGGAGAGCCCAATACTTCTGGGAGAGCTCCTCTTTGGTTCTTTATCCCATAAGATTTGCTAGTACCACCTTTCCAATAAGATTGTTAACAAATGTCCTAAAACATTTTGTACTACTACTAATTTAAAAAACAAAAAAGTTTTGAAAATTTCAATAATACTGGGGGGTAATTGTTACTTTCAAGCTACAACCTACTGCTACAAATCACTATGGGACACCCACATTGCATATGTGTACAAATGTTTATTGTTGTTAACTGATAAGTAATGGAATTTCGCAGTCCATAAATCATAATTGACTGGCAATATAGTGGAGGTCATTTCTTTATTATCCAGTTTCTAACTGTTCGCGATTTAATCGTGAGAGTGCGAAACAATAACCAATTTTTCCCAAAGAGGTATGGTGCATGCAAGAATTTTAGCGAGATACCCATACTTTTAGGTGAAAAGAATGGGAATTTGAATTTTTGGTTAAATTTACAAACCTTGGAATATTATAAATTTTAATTTGCAGAATAAGTTTTGGTGTTAACACAGTTTGTATATTATTTTAATACAATATGCATAAACACTAGACAAGTGTAACATATGAAGGACGCTAAATGATTTAAAAATTAGATGGAACTTGCGATTATTTTAATTGGACAGGTTTCGCGGGCACAATTTTTTTTGTTTCTTGTTGAAAAAATTATTTGAATATTTGCTTAATTCTCGGCTTAATTTCATGATGCGTCTTCGACAAAGTACATTTTTGGGATAATTTTTAATACTAGTTCAATATCTTATTGGCTCTAATTGTTGTAGCTCGAATCTCGAGATTTTAAACAAATGCTTATACTAATTATGAGTAACTTGTAAACATAAATTAGAATGTAGTAATTAATAAACCGTACTAAAACAGGTTGTCTTTAGATATAATTATTTCAACTAGTTTCTTATTCATCCACCTTTGCCTTGATTTCTACTCGAAGTTATTTCAATTCGAAATATGAATAAATATTAATTTTTATGGTTTATGGTTCCACAATTTTTTGGGGGACAAATTTCACGTAAACAAATGATTCAAGAATTATTTATTACTATTTCCTGCGACAGTAATACTTTGCAATAAGTTCTGTTACTTTTAAGATGCTGTAACGACAAGGGTCGAAGACCTCATTTGCATAAAATAAAATTGAACCTCTACAGCATTGGTAAACATTTTTCTGTTTTTTTATTTACCCTTGGCTAGCTCAGTAATAAAATTGTTTTACCCTTAATTTAACCCTTAGTTTGTGGAAGTTTGGCCTCCTCTTAAGACCTGAAATTCAAAATCTAACCCTCTGGTTTCATTGAACTCGAATAAATATGTATATGATTTTAGTTGATTGAATATACAGCGTGGCCCAACGAGACGTATACAGAGGACTTAGGGTATTAAATTTAGAAATTTCGAAAAATCCTCGAACACGTCAATTTTGTATTCGAGGGGGACCACTTTTGGAAGACAAATCACGAACCCAAGTCTTCACCCCTCTACGTAGGGAGCTTAATCCTTAAAATTTTAAATGGAATCCTATGGCAAATGGCACTTGTCAATGTTGCCATTTTTCCCAAATAATTCCTTATGGGCAGGCCTCACTTTTATGAATCATAGCGACTTTGTTTTTTGAAGTTAAGAAATAAATTTGAGTAATAATCTCTTCACTTTGATAATGAGAAAGTTGAATGTAGTGATACAGGGTGTTCACAGTGAAATGGTAAATTTTCCGAATTTCAAAGTGTCATAACTATTTTTCCCCCCGCGAGTTAGTAAGAGAGGTATTGCATTGGGGTTAAAAATGACTCCCCGCCCACTTTTTCTACGAAATGTTGACCTGTCTGTCTGTCTGTACTCTCATTTCCAGCTAAACAGCTGAATCATTTTTGAACCAAATTTTGTACATATATTCTTAGATATAAAAGGAAGAGCTGAAAAGCTTTTGGTCAGAATTGCGCATGCGCTGGTGGACGAGTGTTATCAAATTTTTTTCAAATGGAAGTACCACTATTTTAATTCGCTATTCGATCGATAGTCTTGTGTGTACTCTTCAATTTTTATAAGGACTGTTCTGTTTCTAACCTCGTAGTTTTTAGGTTATTCAATAATTTTCACTAAAGTACCTACCTATTAATTAATTACTTACGTCATGTTTATACACCGAAGTAGGCCATGATAATAAAAAACAAGAAAATGTGTCACAAATTAATTATTTACTGCAAGTCTACTCCCTATTTCATAGTAAAATAAGATTAATTAAAAGGACTAATTCATCTTTATTGAAATTCATCATTTTAATTAATCTTATTTTACACTTGCAGCAAATAATTTGCAACCCTTATTTACTTTCGGGCATTCTTTTGTTTTTTGTATTGTATTTCGGAAATTTTACCATTTCATTGGAAACACCCTGTATCTCTAAATCAAACTTCCTCATTATCAAAGTGTTACCCGGTACTCGGATTGGCACTATTACTCAAATTTATTTCATAACTTAAAAAAAACGTGATAGCTACGATTGATCAAAGTCAGGTTTGCTTATGTGGAATTATTCAGAAAAAAATTAATAGAATGGCAACATTGACAAAAAATCAAAAGGTTTCAATGTAGAGGTTAACAAATGACATTAAAACAACTAAAAATATACAGGGTGTTCTATTTCAAAAATCAGTTATTTATTTACATGGTAAAAATGGGACACTCTGTACATTCAAAAATAATTTGTATAGATGCGCAACCATCTAAAGTTGACATTTGCACAAATTTATATTTTTTACAATGTATGAGCTAGCATCCAGTATAAGCTAACTGGACATCCCAGGGGATAATACAGGGTATTTCATAATTGTCTTGGGAGTTACGAGAATCAGTACAAAAAAACTATTACGTTTTTTTGGATGAGAGAGCTATATAATCACCTAACGGTATGAAATATACGTTACAACATATTCTCATAAATACCAAATATACAAAAAAAATTCATAAAAATCGGTCAAGACGTTTCGTTCTCTCTATACAGGGACAAATGTCCCCGATCTATATCTCGAAAAGAACGCCTCGGAATATTTGAAAAATTTAACAGTACAGGGTGGCCAACTAAGAATGCGAGGTACTGTATCTGGGAATCTGTCCATCGTAGAGGCTTGCGGTAAAAAAAATTATTACTAAAACGGCCACGAGAAAAACCTGGAAAATATTTTTAAGTTTGTGCAATGGCCGCTAGGGGGCGTAACTGCAATCTGGAATCTAAAAAAGTGATTTTTCTGTCAATTCCGCCATATTACCCTAACAAAAAATGTCCGGTCTTTGAAGTTGACAATAATCTCAACCTTATTCAAAGGTTTCCGTAAAGAACACCCTGTATCTTCGAAACGGCTGAGCCGATTTAAACAAACTCGGGTTAGTTCAAAAGATCTATTCTTCAGCTACAAATATTATACTATTTGAAGTTTTGTTAGTTTCACATATCACCGCTTGAGGGCTTTTTTCGATATTCCGACAGAAATAGTCAATTTTCTCAAAAAAATTAAATGCATTGGTTCGATTTTTTTTCATGAAAAGGTATTGTAGCTAAATGATGCCTAAACAAGCTCGCGAAAACAGCATCTCGATATCTTGAGATATATACAGAGTGGCCCAACGAGAAGTATACAGAGGGCTTTTAGGGTATTAAATTTAGAAATTTCGAAAAATCCTCGAACACGTCAATTTTGTATTCGAGGGGGACCACTTTTGGAAGACAAATCACGAACCCAAGTCTTCACCCCTCTACGTAGGGAGCTTAACCCCTAAAATTTTAAATGGAATCCTATGGCAAATGGCACATTATTTGAAAGCCAATTTAATCGTGATTACTAATCTGCTTTGTTTTTTAAATTCCATTGATTCGTTTCGGAGATATTCGCATTTGAAATGGTTTAATACCCTAAAAGCCCTCTGTATACTTCTCGTTGGGCCACTCTGTATATATATTTTTTTTTTATCGTGATGGCCAGCATTTCGAGCATTTACGGCGGCATTAAAAGCTTCATTTTTTAAATCGACCCACCTTAGGGGCACAAATTATATATATAAAAATAATTTCGGAAAAATTAGCTTAAAAAAATAAAACTTTGAGGGTATAAAATTTTCTTTGACCTAAATTTTAGGTTAGGAACAAGATATCGAGATGCTGTTTTCGCGAGCTTGTTTAGGCATCATTTAGCTACCTTTTCATGAAAAAAAAATCAAATCAATGCATTTAATTTTTTTGAGAAAATTAACCATTTCTGTCGGAATGTCGAAAAAAGCCCTCAAGCGGTGATATGTGAAACTAACAAAACTTCAAATAGTATAATATTTGTAGCTGAAGAATAGAATAGAACCCAAGTTTGTTTAAATCGGCTCAGCCGTTTCGAAGATACAGGTTGTTCTTTACGAAAATCTTTGAATACCCCCCACCACTTCATTTTGAGAGATACAAGAAAAATTTTCAAACAGAAAAGGTTCAGATTATTGTCAACTTCAATGACCGGACATTTTTTTGTTAGGTTAATATAGCGGAATTCATAGAAACATCACTTTTTTAGATTCCAGATTGCAGTTACGCCCCCTAGCGGCCATTGCACAAACTTAACAATATTTTCCAGGTGGCCGTTTTAGTAATAATTTTTTTTTACCGCAAGCCTCTACGATGGACAGGTTCCCAGATACAGTACATCGCATTCTTATTTGGCCACCCTGTACATATAATGATGTCGATAATAGGAAATCATCTGAAATATTTTGTGAGATCTGTGGTTATACCGGTTGTTGCCAACTTGCTTATTTTATAGTTACAATTTGCACACTTTTAATAATTTTTTTTGTCTTTATTTACAGCCTGAAGATCCGATACAAATGAAAATCCAATATAACAGAGAAGGTAGATCGTCACGTCCACAGGGCGGTCCGATGCGAAGGCCGCCCGATAGAAAACACGATACCTCGCCCTACTCAATTAGCCCTTTTTTAAGTCCTCCGTCAGATACAGGCTGGAGACGCACAAATAGCGATTCAGCTTTGCACCAAAGTGCCATGCAGGTTATACCGGCGAGTGTTTGGTTTACCAATTGATTTGCGTGTTTTTAGGGTGGAATGGGTGGTGAACGAAAGGAGAACTCGAGTAGTAGGTGGATGTTGCAAACGTTAAACGGTCCAGAGCAACACGACGGACGGCCAAGATCGTGCGAGGTGCCTAGGGTACCTGGAATAAAGTAATTATTTGATTTTTACTCAATGGCACAATCAAATACATTTCTAGCGTTCGGTAGTTAAAGTAATTGTTTCTTTCAGCATATACCCTTCGGCGCATGAACCAGGTACTGTACAAATACCAATAGGTAACAATACAGGTTCATTGCCTGATCTTACTAGTGTTCATTTTCCATCACCTATTCATACCCCTCTTGACCAAGATCAGGACCAGGGTAGTTCACCTTACAGCTCTGTACGTAATCTTAATTTTATCGCGCCCACTAACCCGTCACATTTCAGAGTCCTGTCAATACAAGTCCATCATCGACGTTATCACCAACTAGTGTTCCAGCAGGTGTCCGGCAACAGCAAGGGCGCTTTCCGTTTTCAGGTCCTCCAATCTCACATCATCAAGTAAGCACTAGTTGATTAGTGAGCTCAAGATCACTTGGTAGCATGCCGTTTTGCTTTATCGTTTTTTTTTCTTACATTTCTTTTGCATGTTTTCTGTTATTTTTTTGTTACAGAATCATTTGTCAGTTCCAGTTAATTCTAGGTATCTTCATCATAATAAGGTAGGCTTTCGAGTATCGCTATAGAATTATAAATGTTGTTATTTCCACAAAGAAATCATGTTTAAGTTCATCTTTGTAAATGAAGAGCTGCTTACTTGAAGTATTTGCGTACCTAAACTCAATTTGTGTTGTGTTGTGTTTTTTATGCTCAGGTATGTAGATTATTAATGTGTATTAGGAGAAGGGCATGATGACCCCAAGTGCATAAAATAAAATTGAACCTCTACCAGGTTGGAAAAAGGTGGGAAGCTAATGAAACTTTGTGATGTTGTTGAGGGACTTCGTGCGAAAAGACATTTTCGACCAAGGACCAGTTGTTAATTGTTAGCGATCCGAAAAACTTCTTTGCCTATAACATTTAATGGCAGTTCTTAATCTCGTTTTTTATTTGAAAAGCGTTTCTCCGACTCGAAAATGTTCCTTTGCGTATATTTTACCACTAGTAAATAAAAGGCCTTGCAACAAATCAGGCTTGTAAAAAGTTATTTTTGTTCCAGAATTTAATGTAATTCATTTATTCGTACATATAAAATTGCAGGTAACTCGTAATTTGGCACAAGCCCGAATTTGTTTAATGTTCCTCCACGGCGCACTCGCAATTTAGAGGACCTCGCTACTTAATACGCTTATACCCAAAGATAAACTGCTAATTCTTTACTACTGTTCGAATAGATTTCACTCACTAATTGCACATTCTGGTTCCCGAATTCCAACTGGAAATTCTCACACATACGCCAGAATATTTCTTGCAACGTAGCTAAAAGTGTCAGTTACGAACCAATTTTTTCACACACTGTGGTCTTGAAGTTACACGAAAACCTTCCATTTTGTACTTGAAATAAACCAAGAATAATAATTTTTTGTTCACGTTCGCTATGAAGCGGTATTTGTGTCAATTTTCCTATGTTGAACAAAATACAAATCCAAAATTTTTGAAATTGCAAAGCTGTCACCCGTTATAGGATTTGGTAATGGAAGAGTGATCCATTATACTTATAACAATTGTTCAACAAAAAATGTAGTATTTAATTGTGTTAAAATGGAAATTTGGTAATTACAGCCCTATATCGAAAATAAATTCATGTGTCTTCCCCGAGGGGTCTCTCACTGCCCCCAATATGTGTACACATTTTGTTTTTGCACTGTACAGTGTCTAGCAGTGTTCTGCAGTGTGTCACAGTGCGCCACAGTGCATTGCAGTATCCCATATTTCCGTCCACAGTGCAGTTCCGAATGCTGCAGTGTGACGCCATAAATTTATTTTATGATTGTGGGCAATGTGCTGATTTTTGCTTAATCGACCGTTATCGACGTGTTTATCCTTGCGGTTGCCTTTGAAAGGCCAGGTGTATATAATTCAGTTTCGTTTTTTTTAGTGCACATCTTGAGGAAGGTCGGTGAATCTTAATTTATAATTAATGTTTCTAAATCAATAATAATTTAAAAAAATAAAGCTGGGGATCAAAGGGGCAAAGTGTCGCATTATTAGTGATCCTAGAGATCGTTTATAATTTTGTATTGCTGTATGTCTGTCTTCGTGTCTGTCCGTGCGTATGACAGCTTTGTTTAGAAACGCCCGATCGCTTTGAAAATTGGTACACATATTCTTAAGGATATAAGAGAGGTCGCTATTGTTACAAAGAACATATGAATGTCTCGTTTTTTGTCTTGGTACACATTCTTTAAACCTCGAGCAACTATGCAAATGAAAACAAAAATTACGCATGCGCAACCCAATTTTTGTATTTGCGCATGCAATGTTTTAAAAGCGATGCTGATCTGGTGGGACAGAATCAACCCCTTAAGGTGTATTGTAAAATTTATGGATGCGTGAAGATCTCGAAGATCGTTCGGTATACAGTTGTATCAGATTTTTATCCTCGTTTTTATCAATACATTTCTTTGTGCGACATGGTAACCCTTTACATATGGAATATCTTAACAGAGATTAACTATTTATTTTAAACTGATTTTACATCAACAATAAATTGATCAATTTCTTGTTCAAGTCGCTTTGACAAGAAAACTTGTCGAGTGTAAACACACAATTGGATGGAATAACTTGATCAATTTCTTGACCTCAAGTTCTATTTTTCTGACAATTTCAATTAAAATGAATAACAAATGATACACTGACTGATGCTGATATAGAACAAGAAGAAATAAGTAAAAAGGTTTTCGTCCTAAGGCACGTGACTTTAGCGCATTTTCCATGCACGGACCAGTACCCCCCAAAAGCCCATACCTATCTCTTTATGTTTCTATTTACGAGAAGTATATATGGTTAAAATTTCAAAGAAGTGTCTCCATAGATAAGGAAGTTGGCATTGCGCACTGATTTTTGCAATAATATGCGATAGATACCATTACTAGCAGCATCTATGGTTAAAATTTCAAAGACATCTTTATAAACATGGTTGTTGGCACTGCGCATGCGCACATCCAATGTTTACAATATGACATAATATGTTGCCTTTAAGAGAAGCAGCTGTGATCAAAATTTCAAGAAGATACATACCTCGATAAATAAGAGAAGAAGTTGATATTGCGCATCTTGCGCATGCGCTAATTATTTCGATGTTTACAATATGCGATACGTTTACTTTTACTAAAATCATTTTTGATGTGCTACTTCAATTTCACAAGAATCCTGCCCTAAGATTTTAGAAGGATTGGTTCACAAATAACGAATGTGGGGCTGGGCATGCGCAATAATTGTTTTACGTGTTTTTAGTCGCATCGGGTTATGCATGCGCAAAACACATTTAATGTATTTGGCCTTAGTTTTATCTTTATTCGAGGTGCCTACATACAAAATTTCATTTCAAGTATTTTAATAAATTGAACTGCGCAAATACAAAAGTTATTGAGCACAACTGCACATAGAAAGACAGACTGACGGAGGCAGACAGACAGACAGTTCAAAATTATAGACGGTCTCGAGCATCTTTAATAAACGGCAAAACTGTAAAATTATGGTAGGTTCATGAAAAAAATTGAGGTTTTACAATAACTTTTCGTAAGAGACGCAGAAAAAATTCCTTCCTTGGCCCTTGGTGCTTATCTGGACACCATAACGAACAATTGTAAATAGCAAAAAAAGTAGAAGAATAGCTCTTAATATAAAGAACTAGTAGCGATCGAACACCGGTAGGAACAGACGGACAGTAGCCACAATAGCACTTTTTTTTAAAATAAAAGGTAAAATACAATAATGAAATATAGTGTTTGAGTAGTCTTATTTATTTATTATTATCTTCATTTCTTTTAACAAAAATACCAAAATATGCACTGCATCGCAGTGTCTTGCAGTGTTCCCATTTTTAAGAACACTGCAGAGCATGTGTACAAATTTTTTCGAGTGAGAGACCCCTCGGTCTTCCCTTAATCTTAATGTAATAGTAGTTCTCACAGGGAAGATCCGCCTAAACATTCACTCCCAACGAAAATTCACGTTCAGGAAAGTTGAATTCTAATGGATTAATCTCACCTTTGCATAGTCTGTGTCAAATTGTTGGGTACATTCCCATAATGACACCCAAAACCAAAAGCAAGCAGTGAAATTGTATCTAAGGGCATGTAATATAGTTATGGTATATAGTGGGTTCGCTGTACAAAAGATGCAAATTGCAGTAGTCCGTGGTAATTTCAGGCGCCACCAGGGTATAATAAAAAAAAAACTTGCTCTTGGTCCAGCGGTGTCAGAAAGGTCTCCGAAGCCACGGGCAAGTCAACTGGCCGAAAGTTTAGCGCAACACATGCGTGCTTATCTCGCACATGGCATTGTTATCACAGAACAGACTGCTATTTCCAATACTTAAACCGAAATTACGTTCACAGCACGTATTTTTTTCACTACAGGGTGGCTCGCTCTCATCTTCAGAATTGTTTCGACCAAAACTACACCACCCTGTAGTTCACACATCAATATAGATGAGTTATGGCCCATCATCTTTTATTTTACTGTATTTTTTACGGTGTTTTTATGTTTATATTATGAAATACGGCGCCTATGTACCCAGTACGCAATTGGACAAGTCAAATTAAATTTAATTATGGAAGAATATTTGGGAGAAAAGGCGTTGAAAATTGATCAGGGTGGTGTATTTGCTGCAAATTGTTGGGGGCGGGAGGGGGAGCATATTGAAAAATAAAATTATTAGTCTATGCTACGCCGTTTTTCCTCATTTAGCTCCAAGACGACGATCCGTTTGCTTAAGGTTAGTGCATTATTTATTGGCCTTTGACACAGTTAGTAATTTGTTTATGTTTTTCATAATAAAAAAGTGTGTGTTTTTATAATTTGCATTTTTTAAACCAACTCCTGCTAAGTTGTGAGCTAGGGTGATGTATTTCAAGTAAGTGTCTCAGACTGTGCTTTTAAACAATTGGAAAACAACAATATACTTCATTTGGGCTTGTTACCAGTGAATAATATAGGCCACTATTTTAGGGTGTAGCATTAGAAAACAACCTCATAACGTTATTAGAAAAGACAGATTACACGCAACTTAGCGGAATGGGATCAATATATCAACAAATACCCCCTCAATCGCCATCACCGACGGTAAGTCAACGTACTACCGTCAAACCTCGCTATATCTTGCGTTCTAGTTACAACAGCCGGGTTATAGAAGTCCTAGACCGAGTCCGCAGTCGTCTCCCGGCGTCGGCCACCATTCCGCACCGTGTAGCCCGGGTGCACCTAGTCCGCTATCGAACGACTATTTGTTAAATCAACACCAAGCAAATCAGCTGCAGCAACATTTTGAACAATTCTCGATGGTAAGTATCGACTTCGTCGCGGATTATTCTTCATTTCACATAAACATAACATTTGTATTGTTTTGCGCTAACAGGGCGTGGTAAGTAACGGTTTCACCCGTGTTGCGATTTAACTATACCATTACCTATCGTGTCATTAACATTTCATTAGCATAAGCCGTTGGAAACGCACTCATCAATTAGGTAACAGTTTAGACAGGTCACTATGTACTAGCATATTAACTCGCCGAGAGTTGTTGTTGTGCTGTTTAATAGAAACAAACTTGTGACAGACAATCATGTTCGTTAACACATTTAAATAAGGAGGCCACGCCCATATTGAGTGTGTTAACGTGGACTAATCAAGAGAAAGTAGGACGTTACATTTACCTTGTGTCTGTGTATTTTAGTTAGTTACATGTTATAATTGTTGCTAGGATTGGGCACAACTGGTTGCCAGCCTTGTCGAGTCAGGCTGCACATGGACTGCTCAAGTGCAGGTGACTAATTTAATGAAAGTCAGTTCATGTTCGTAGTCCTGTCAGTTTTTATCGCTTAGCTTTCATTATTTTTGCACATCGTTATCGTTTCACCCATTAATTGTCTTTGGAACGGTCTACGATACGTTATTTTTATTACTCCCCAGTATCTTCCAGATTAATTTTATTTATCTTTGTAGTGAATATTTTACTATAACAATTTCTATCAAAAGTTATAATAAAATATTCGAACAGTTTCATTAAACAGCTCAACTTTTCTTAGCATGTACTTAGTTTCTATTTATTTAACAGTAGTTTTGACTATTTGTCGTGCAATCGATTTAATTAATATAAGGCTTACACCATCTGAAATTAGTTTCTTATCCATATTGTAGTAGTTCTGCATGAGTTTCTTACACCATCTTGCAGTACAAGATGATTTTTGGACTATCGCATCGATCGTGGTGGATGTTTTGTTTAGTACCATTTCGATTTCTAGGTGGACCAACCTCTTAGTCCAGTTAGCAATATGTCGTACGTCGATCAACCGGGGACAATTCACCTTACGCAGACGCAATCGCAAACGCTGTCTGATATTACCGGCGTCGGGACCGCGGAACTGTCCGGCGATGCAGGTTACTACAGCACATCTCCGTCGCAAATGGTCTACCCCACAGCTCCAGCTAGTCTACATACAACACCAAATACTCCAACTAGCATACCTGATATTATACTAACAGGTACAGACAAAGAAATTCTCAGTTTCACATTTGTTGAGGGTGGAATAAACATTGTGTGTCAGGTTGTACAGGGTTGCCAAATAAGAATGCGAGGTACTGTATCTTGGAACCTGTCCATCGTAGAGGCTTGCGGTAAAAAGAGTTATTACTAAAATGGCAACGAGAAAAACCTGGAAAATATTTTTAAGTTTCTGGAATGGCCGCTAGGGGGCGTAACTGCAATCTGGAATCTAAAGTCACTAAATATAGAAAGTACCGCCATCCATTGGGCCCGTGTGTTAGAGAGGGAACGCATGATTTTTGCCCAAAAACCAGATTCTAGTAACTTTAATGTTAGGGATTGTTTGTTCCACCTGTTTGGAGATATCTGTATATATTTTTATAAAACATGACAGTACTATGAAGTTAGGTTATAAAAAATTACAGCTATTCAGATTTTATTTGTCAATTTTTTTAAGTTGGCAGCAAATTTGCGGTACTTTCTATATCTAGGGACTTTACTGGAATCTAAAAAAGTAATGTTTCTGTGAATTCCGCTATATTAACCTAACAAAAAAAATGCCCGGTCTTTGAAGTCGACAATAATCTGAACCTTTTTTGTTTGACAATTATTGCTGTATCTCTAAAAATGAAGTAGTGGGGGGTATTCAAAGGTTTCTGTAAAGAACACCCTGTATCTTCGAAATGGCTGAGTCGATTTTAACAAACTCGGGTTAATAAAAGAGTTATTCTTCGGCTACAAATATTATAATATTTGAAGTTTTGTTAGTTTCACATTTTGCCGCTTGAGGGCTTTTTTCGACATTCCGACAGAAATTGTTAATTTTCTCAAACAAATTAAATGCGTTGGTTTGATTTTTTTCAAGAAAAAGTAGCTAAATTATACCTAAACAAGCTCGCGAAAACCGCATCTCGATATAAACCAACCAATTTAATTTTTTTGAGAAAATTAACCATTTCTGTCATAAAGCCCTCAAGCGGTGATATGTGAAACTAACAAAACTTACAAATATTATAATATTTGTAGCTGAAGAATAGCTCTTTTGAACTAACCCGAGTTTGTTTAAATCGGATCAGCCGTTTTGAAGATACAGGGTGTTCTTTACGGAAACCTTTGAATACACCCCCACCACTTCATTTTTAGAGGTACAGCAAAAATTGTCAAACAAAATAGGTTCAGATTATCGTCGACTACAAAGGCCGGACATTTTTTTTGTTAGGTTAATATAGCGAAATTCAGAGAAACATCACTTTTTTAAATTTCAGATTGCAGTTACGCCCCCTAGCGGCCATTTCAAAAATTTAAAAATATTTTCCAGGTTTTTCTCGTGGCCGTTTTAGTAATAACTTTTTTTTCCGCAAGCCTCTACGATGGATAGGTTCTCAGATACAGTACCCCTCATTCTTAGTTGGCCCCCCTGTACATAAAAGACCAGGTCAGTTAGTTATCAAAATCCATATATGTAGTCCAATCAATGATCGTTACCGATTTTCATACAAATCTGGATTTAAGTTTTACTTACCCTCTTCTTCCGAGTTGACCGGTACCGAGGGTTGCTTTTACCCTGGAAGTGGATGCCACTCTATCTCGGAGAGGAAAAATTGAAAGTTGACTAATTTTAACCAACTTGTGTTTTATAAAGTTTTATAAAGCATGTAGAAGCAACATGGAAAATTGCATGACCTTATGTATACCATAGAGGTGTTTATGTTAGCACAGTGTCACCCCTCAGATGGGTAAAGATGGACTCTCCCAGCCTATAGTTGAGATTCGAGAACAGCCCCGGCATTAGGTGTCGTAACTAATGCGTAAACATAAATTTAGCAAACATTTACACCAAAAATGAACGTGACTACAAAACAATAAAAGTTAACGGTATCAAACACATGATTCAGTTCTGTTCTGAAATTTCAAAAACAATTTGGAAATTTATAAAAATATAAATAAACAACAAAGAAATGCAAAGTTTACTACTTGCATTAAATAACACAAAAATAACAACAAACTTTATGCTTTCATGACGCAAATTGACGCCAAGACGGCGTTTCTTAGCAAACATTGGTGGTCTCGAGGGGTTACAGACAGCTTTCCCCTTCTAATCAGTTGCCAGCTCTCAAGCAAAATGTGTGCATTATCGTAGGTAGTATATACAGCGTGGTCACCTTATTTTTTGTGGAACTTTTGTTTTATTTGGTAGCATTTAGTAATACTAAGCAAGTGTGATACCATACTCATATCCCCTAGACCCCCCTGTGTTGTAATTTCCCCCAAAACCGTCTGCCTGACTACTCTCATTCCAGTTTTCAGTAAGACGCTATTGAACGTAGCACTGGGAGTCTGGGGCATATGGAATACCCTCCACTATACGATAACTTTATTTATATGAGGTTTATTTATTTACTGGATGGTATCCCCCTTCCCCCCGACCTCCGGTGTTGCAACTTTCACCAAAATCATCTGTCTGACACCTCTGATAATTTTCCATCGTTCTATTTGGAAACATTTTCTTCTCTATCAAGTGTAAAAATCCAATATGGCGTCCATAAGAAAAGAGCAAGTTGTAGTGATTTACTCAAAACCCACAAATCATAATAATTTGATTTTTAAATCATCGGAAGGCCGAGGAAAGATCACTAAGGATTATTTTTGTTGTCTTTGGAAATAAATGAACGCCATTCTTGCAAAATTAAATTTTTCTAATTTTTTGCGATAACTTCCCTCTTTGTAGAGTTACAAGAAACGTTGAAAGGGAAAATTAATCAGGAAAAATTCCATGTATCATTGCCCAATGTCCATGTAAGCCACTTAGCACCTCATAGTGAAAATAAAAAAAAAACTCATCCTGTATATTAGCACAGAGAAGATGAAAGTAGTAAGTTGAATAAACTGAAATGAATTACATTTTTTTATTTTGTAGCGGATGTTAAATTGACATCTTAGTCTTAGTCTAATACCATTTGTCATTCCTATTAGAAATGGGACACGGAACACGAAGTAAAATGAAGTTCAGAACTCGCTTGATGCTGAAAACATCCCATTATCAACCTGTATAATACATAACTAGGAGTCACTCTATCATGTTAGTGTATCTACCTGCTTTAATGGTACAATAGAAAATACCTTAGTACATCGGCCATTTTATAGGGAATCAAACTGACTTGGTCTGTGTATTTTTTGGCGTATGTACCTGACAAAATCTCCAACCTTGACCTTTAAGAAACACTAAATTATTTAGCGATATTCACTGTCACTGATAGTATAATAACAACATGTTTATGAAAGATTATCTTCTAGACTTTTCAACGGCAGATGATATTACAAGACAGGAACTGACATTATCAAAACAGCTAGAAGCCGAACTGCTTTCCGAGGAAAGTTTGCGCGAGGGCCTAGGTCCAATCGATCTAGACGGATTGCAGATGCTATCCGACCCTACGATAAATCTCATTTCGGATGGTGTAGAAGACAACTTCCGACTCGATCGATCATAACAATGGTAAGCGGTCTCGTACGGATTCGATCGTTAACGTGTACGTTACAGAAATTTCCTCTTCTTGATATATTAAGAGGTAGTCTTAATTTATCATTTGAATAGCATCTCAAGCCCCCTCAACTTAGTTTCAGATATAAACTTATATTAAGTGTGATCGTAGACTTTTAGTGACTTCCTAACAGTGTGGCCAACATAGTGATTATAAGTTGTTTCGACTTGGTGATACTGGTTTGATTTTAATTATAAGAAACATCACATATTTAAACAAAATAGCAGTTAGAATTTGTTGTACCTGAAACGGGGAATTATGAAAATTCCTTATTGCTATAATTTTATTGAATTTTGTACACTGGTGGCTTTAAATGATTTTTCTCACACATTCATTTTATCACCAAGCATTCTTTGAGTGACGAAAAAGTAAATTAGAAAGACTGATTCTGATACAGCGTTGTGTCTGTAATTTATACAAACGAATATTCGAATTTTTCTAAGTTTAAATCCTTAAAAGACCTTGGGTTTTTCATATTGTACTATTTACGTAGGTATAAATTCAATTATACAATAAATTTTTATATATAAGACATTGTAGAGAATATGTTTTTGTAATATACATTGTGGCAATGTAGTTCAATTAGTTTCAGAGGTGTTTGTACAAAAGATTTTATTTGTATAGTTTAAGTGTTTCAGATTTTATTTTTGAGAAATGTGTGTATGCCGTAGGTAGATGTTTTTTTTTCATAGTCTCAAGTTTTTCTAATTTTGCTTAGGCTTACAAACTAAAAATTTTATCAAATGACAACAATTTATTTATATTTTAGCAATCTCCTATCTTGCCATTCGTTATATACTTCTGGATTTTATTGTGCAATATTAAATTGTTAGTTTTTATTTCAAATTTTACATGACTTTATTTATTTCTTTTTTTTTTGTAAAACACTCATATCAGCCATAATCACGAAGGCGCTCAGTATGATCTTGATGCATTTATACAAGATGAGAGTTTTTACAAACAAGCTACTTGATTTTATTCTTAGCGTAGTAATAGATAACTGGGGTGAGTGTCTTGCACAAATCATACAATGTGCACAGTCTTATTATTTTGTCAGTCTAGAATAGAACGCACAATTCCAATGAAATTGGAAAAAAAAATGTGGTACTTTGTACCAATAGGCGGCTCTCTTATACATTATTAGGTAATTGTAGGTTACCGAGACCATAGAAAGTCAAGTATGAATCTCAATAAATGCAGTCTATGTAATTTTTTTAACTTTCATATTAAATATCATGATCTTAAGAAAATATAGTCAGTCTTGTATAATATTCACTTAAACTAAGGGTATGCTAGCTTCTTGGTGCTAATTAATTATAAAATCGATTGTATTTCGTTGTGCGTTAAATTTTGTTATTACAGACAGTGAGCAAATATTTCATATTGTTTGTCTATGCGTCATTCTGGAACAAATAAGGGTCGCTCCCCACGTGCTGCTCTCTATATTAACGAATTTCTGTTCAAATTTTTGTGTCAAAAAAAGTGAGGCATAGATAAAAATTAGCTTAAGATGATATCGTTTATAAAGGTTGTTTATTTTGTGCCATTTACTTTGTTAATAGCCGCATGTGCACAAAGAAGTTGAAATTTAAATTGTTTATGGTGGCTTAAGTGCAATATATAAGTTAATTGTAACATGTTTTGTTGCTTCTTCGGATTGGTCGTTTAATTGCAATTGGACCTAAGTCGAAATTTAATTTGTGGATAAGACTGCAGGTTAATGTATTACGATTGAAAAATTCAAAAACTATAGTTCATTATGACAGCAATATGGATATATAGCTTTTTATAATTGAATTATTGGATAAGCTGTAATTAAGCGATATATAGGATACCCTTTATCAACAATATATATTACATATTGTCAAACGTGTATATAGAATTATGTATTATATTTATTACTCTTCGAAATTTTTACATTTACATGTATGTAAATTTATATATCAATTGTTTAGGTTGGAATTTGATTCATACACAAATGTCAATTGTTGCATGCTTCATTGTTATTTTTTTTTAATTTAAACGAACTCTTAACTATTGGATGAATTTTTATTTGCCTATAACCATAGATTTCACCATTCCAATATATATGTTATTTGTTTCATAATCGGTGATTTTTTGTATTAATTGCTTCTTTTGCAGTGAATTCTTCTACTTAGAGGAAAGGTAAGTGAACGACACTTGTTTCTTCTATTTTCTAATAAGTATTTTTTATTAAACACTTCCAGATTGGCGATAACTCACTAATGAATCAGAAGTGGGATAACATATACATAAGTATACACATTTTTAAGGTTTACAAAAGCATTGCACTGTAGACTACATTCACTAGAAAAGTCTTCATGATTACCTAGTGAATGTGTGATCAGCAGTCATTGATTTAGACTCCAGCCTGGTGTAATGTAGCGTGTGTCCCATTTTAGTTGAGACAGCAGTGTATCTCAGCTGCATTTAATGTTGGTTGCGGTTTTCGTAACTTTGTAACACTTAATACCGTAAACAGAATCCATCTAGCTACGTTGGTTTCTGAGATACAGGGTGAAAACGAAAAGTTTGGCTTTTTGAGATGTTATCATATCTTGCTACTCATGTAAGATAGAAAAAAGGTAAAAGCGGTTTATTTTAGATATTTTGACGTAGAATCTAGTGGCGAAAATAATAAAAAATTTGCCCACCGTTTCTGAGATTTGACCCAAATTTGGTATTTGTAAATTTGTAAATCCTGTATATTTGAAAGTAAATTTTTTGCATTATTTTTTCTGATTACGATGTATCTCATTTTAAATTTTAGCCATGAACCAAAAATAAAAATCTTATTGTTTCAAGATTTTAAATAGTACGCCATGGATTTATGGAGGTTTTGTTCTGTTTATTGTATCCATGGCAGCCGATAACAATCGATAAAAATGGTTGACTGTAGACACATGCCATTTCAAAATTTGAAAAATATGTAATATAATTATACAGTGTGTAAAGCGATAGGGTATACAACAGGGAATTTTTTTTAAAATATTTTTATGAGAAAAATTTATTCTTCATGATATTTTTTGCTTGCTTTGAAAGTACCAATAACGTTTCGATAATCTAAAATTTATTTATAGAAATCTGGAAAAATAATAAAATTAATTTTTTTTATTGAAAGTTACCATTCTACATTATAATTAAGATAGAGTATTGCTATCAATCCACAAACAATCGAAACGTTATTGGTACTTTCAAAGCAAGCAAAACAAAAAATTCCCTCTTGTATACCCCATCGCTTTACACACTATATAACCTTCCTTTTTTACCAAAAATCGACTGCACCAAAATTTCTCGGGAAAACATCTTCTCTTATTAATTTCGGTGCGTAGAATTCAAATCAATTCATACTTTTTCGATCAGACTTCTTAATCAAAAGTTATAGACTAGAAACCAATTTCGAAAGAAAATTCAAAGGGCTGTAACTTTTGAATTAGTAGCCCAATCTTGGAACTGTTTGAAATTATGGATTCTACAGGCCTCATTCTATAAGAAAATTTTTTTTCCGGGTCGATCTGAGAATTTTTTTTTCGTGGCTCAAAAAAAGGCATGTAGTATAAAAAACAAGTTGTAAATCAGCATATGCATGATTAAAGCGCATTTTTGGTAATGCAGGTCAGTATTTTATTAGCGAAGTTTAAAATTATCGATCTCACAAGTAATTTCGGCTGCATTAAATAATTAATTTTATTTAATTTCTATTGACGGTATGTACGTCGTCATTTTGTAAAACAAATCACAAAGTAAATAATAAGTTTTTATACTGGTAGCGCTATCTAACGGTAAAATTATAGCACCTCCGAAACCCATATCGAAATTATTTTCTTCAATTATGGATCTCACAAGTAATCTAACTCAAAATAGACTAGTGCCTGCACATCTACACTATAGCAGAAAGCTTTTAGTGAAAATTTGAAGTCTCTAGCTATTGTAGTTGTGGAGATCTAACGCGGACAGCCGGCCTGCCAGCAATGACGAATATAATAGCGTATTTTTTTCAAAAATGCGCTAAAAATATAGGTTGTGATACATCAATGTAATCAGAAAAACGAATGCAATTAGCGATAAGATACATAGGGTGTTATGCCTATTTAAAAAATACTAACGTCGGCCATAGTTAAGAAGTGGTGGTTTAACATTTCTATTAACTACGCCACTGGATTCTAGATAAAAATATCTAAAATAAACCGTTTTTACCTTTTTTTTACATGAATAGTAAGATATGGATAACACCCCAAAAAGTCAAACTTTTCGTTTTCACCCTGCTAAATTAATTCTGTTAGTGGTATTAAAACTTTCTCAAAAAAGTGGCACAGGGTCGCGAAAACCGCAAGTCTCTATCATCTATCACTTTATCTTTTTTTTTGCTAAAACTTTTCAATTAGATTGATAGGTATATTATTTATAGTATTTCTTAGTTTTACAGTTTTTATAATTTGTCTATCTTTTAATGTAAAAATCAGGGGCAGTTATTATCTGTTTTTTTTTTTGAAAATTCACATCTTTTTTTCTCAATTTTCTTTTGTTATTTAATGCACAATATGTTCTATATATATAAGTTGACCTGTAAATGGATGCGTTCTGTTGGTCAATAAATTATTATTATTAAAAACAGCCAAGATACACTGCAGTCTCAACCAAAATAGAACACACTGTACATTAATAAACTTGGCGTAGTGAAGTGGATGCTGGGCTACAACCAGGAGGATCAATGGTTTAAAATACAGATTTGGGCAAAGAATTTTTGTAAGTATGTAGTGGATGGGTTGGTAAAACGGCCGAAACTCTACCCTTTAATAATAATTTAAAAAATCAATAAGAGCCAGGTTTTCCATCTCAAACTTAGGTGATGGTTAAAACACTTCCTCTCTAGCTCTGTGAACAGACAGCCGGAGCAATATTCCACTAGACAGTTGGGCTCATTAAATCCGCGTCTAATACTGACAGGAGTTGACGCCGATTACAATGGTAATATGCTTGTAGAAACCCTCCTGACTCAAAATGACTGAGTATTTGAGGATGGGGCCAAAATAGCCGGTAAAAGGCCGTGTCGCAATCCCCAACTCGAAGTCTGGGTAATAGAGGTGAATCCCAGGGACTCTAAAAATATTTAAAAAAGCGGGTACGTTAATCTGGACTTTGTGAGAATAAGAGTAGAGGACCACGCCCACGTTAGGAGGTGTTTCAGATGTTACACTTTTGGGCACTTGACAACTAGTTGCCCCAAGAATGGGGACACGTGACCACGGTGTGTAAAAAAACATTGCCTAGCGAACTGTAAATCGGAAACCCTTACATGCATCAACTGTGTAAATGGCTGGGACTTTTTTATTATCCCTCTCTTGTTCTGGGCCCTCAACAGGCTTGCGCCCAATTACAGGGTGACCCGCATAATGCTTTTTAGAGGTACCTCTGCAGAATATATATAAATTATATTTAATTAATAAATATATAATAAATAAAAGGTAATGAACGATTTTAGCCCATAATTTACCACTTCGATTAAAAAATAATATTTAGGTAATAGATTTTTTAGCCATGAACCTCGTATAAATTACCGAAAATGATTCGACAGTGTATAAATGTATGAAAGATTAATTTTGCTCAAATGCATTGATATGTGAGTACAATATGATTCATTCATTAAGTGCGCGGGATTATATATTGATATTCATTCGCAGACAGACTTCGAATGCAAATTTGTGTTTTAAATAGCGAATAATCCTTAATCGCGAGGGCTGCATTAAAAGGGCACGTGTACGTAAGAAGAAGTGTATTGAAAAAGAACGAATTCCATAAGGTACTTCGACGAAATGCATGTTCCCATTTTGGGAATCTATAAAAGAAGCTTGGCAATTTATTTTCATCCGCCAGCGCCTTTTCTTTAAACAGCATGCGTTTATTTTGCACCGGTCAGCGTGAAGTGATATCCAGCCGAGATCGAGTAGAAACAGTGCAGATATCTCAGGATTTAAAATCACCACGCAAAAATCTTCACGAAAGCCGATCTTCGGAAATTATACGCGAGACGTTGAAAATTTCCATCCGCTTGGAGGTCAGCGCGACTTTTGCTTCAATTGGCGTAATTAAAAGGTACATTTTTTCCATTACTTTGCTTGCGTCATTTTAGACGTTTAGCAGATATAGATTTGTTCATTTTAGAATTTAAGATAGAAGCGGAAGAAAAGTGAATTAGAGACCCCCCTTCTCGTATTGATTACGGACCGTCCGTCGGCAGGCACGAGATAAGAGCGCAACATATACAGAATCGGAACGGTATGTGGTACTCTCTTCACGGAAATAAATTGCTAATAAAATCACATTGATTTTCTTGAATGCATAAATAAATACTTGATAAAATAATATAAAGGTAATACCTATATTTTTATTTTTGTATAGTCATCGCGCTTTATCAGAATAAATTCCTGCTCACGTATCCATAATCTTCTAATTGTGATAATGGACGTTTTAATGTAAATATTTGAAAAGTAATTGCTTAAAGTCTATTGTATAACATTCTGTTCGATCAGTAAAGCACCGAAAATGTTTATTCAAAGACCTCATCGCTACGTTTCATTAATATTATGTACTGCTTTTGCGGATTTGGAAGATACTCCAACCATTTTCAAAAATTATGCATTTTACATTCTACGAGCGGTAATATACAGCGTTGTTTTTGTAGTAGGAAATTTTTATGTAACTGAGGTATTGTACATGAAAACTTTGGATAAAATAGCATTCCTCGTGGGAAACGTGGTGTTAATCGCCTTGACGGTATACATTATGCTTTGGAGTGTTGTGTACAAACGTAAATACGTGAGTATACTCGTTCGGTTTAAAGGAGAAAATCTCCAACTGCAAGAGTGGATTGAGGTGCTATTACTTTTGGCATACCTCATGTTGACATGTGGAACGGTAGCATATGAAAGTAATAATGTATATCTTGTGCTGGAGTTTGGAATTTTATTTGTCTTACCCGACATGCTTACTTTCTCAGCAGTGTATCACTTCGCCAATTTAGTGACTGTCCTAAGAAGAAGGTTTATTCAGCTTAATCGTGACACTCTAAACGGAAGCGATTTAGCCAATAACATTATTGGGAGATATCAAGCTTTGTATAAAATTACTGTTGAGGTCAACAATTTGTATGGATTACTAATTCTGTGGACGATTGTGGCATTCTTTATATGGATGATGATCGATTTGTACAGATTTCTGAACGACATTATGAAAGATCAAGTTGAAGAAGATGGAATGATTTTCGGAAATTTAATTGCGACAGTTTACCATTACTTTACACTTTTCTACATTGTAATACTGTGCAGCTCTACCAAATTGCACTGTTATAATTTTAGAATTTTTTATTTAAGAACTCTTCTTCGCCAACAGCCAAAAATTGAAAATGTAAGATACGGTTTCTGATGATACATTGCTAAAGGGTGTTTTTTTTTTAGAAAAGAATCTGTCTGTCGCTGTTTCATCAAAATGCTCAATTTAGTGCTCTGGATTGGTTTGAGATTGATTATCCTTTATTATATGGGGTAAACGTACCTATGTTTTTAATTTATAGATAATTATGAGTTGCGTCTTTTAGGTCAGTGGAGCTATAGTAACGTATCTTGTACTACTTCAGCAATTACACTTATAAAATAGTGTGTTATTGGTGGTCCATAATTTGTTTTTTTTTGTTAATAAATTGTTTAGCGAATTTATAATAGCCAACAGTGACGTAACTAGGTATTTTTCGAAGCGGTCCCTGATCTGGTTTTGGCGCCCTACCATATTTGCGCGCCTTTCTCACTTACCATTGAGCTCTAATTAATAAAACACTGTACATTTTTGAGAGAAACTTACACGAAATTTTAAAAGCACTGCACTACTTAAATTTTAGAAAAATGCCTTGAATAACGAAGTCTTTCACTCAATGAAGAATAAAAATACATTTATAATGTTCTCAATTCTCGCGTCAAATTTAGCTATGACATAGGGTACAAGTCGTAGAAATGATTGCGTCTTAGAATAAGGGTGCAAATTCTGGCCACACTAATACAGACTATTGTATATATCACAAATAAAGTATTATTATATTAGCTTAAATCTGCAGCCTTTTCCTACCGCTGTAACTTTGTTCTACAAGGGCCATCCAGAAAGTAACAGACGTTTTGAAATAAAAAATTAAGACTTTATTATATAAGTACATTTTGAAGCTACACTCTTGGGCTATTTTTCAACATATTGAGGCGCTTATCATAGCGTGGTACAAGTGTTTTGATTCAAACTTTGTATACCTCCGCGTCTGTGGGGGCGTCAGAAGTGGGTACCGACAAAGGGAATGTGGTAGCCCCCTGACAAGGTCTTATTGATTGTGGAGTCACAACTGGCTAATAAAAGTACTGATCTGCCACACAAAATTGCGCTGAAATCCCTTGGATGTTCCGTTCATCCTAAAGGACCGTAAATTTAGTTTTAATTATATTTCACTGCACCCTGTATTCGTCTTTAGCAAACTATTAGAATTTAACCGCCGTTCTTGTCTTTTATGACTGGCCTATACGACACACCGCGATGCCCATCCCGACTTATTGCCCTCGGTGCTTCAGCGCCTCCGGCGCGCCCTCCCCTATTCAGAGCGCGATGCCGCGGCACCTTTGGCACCTACCTAGTTACGCCACTGATAGCCAAACTGTACATTTGATCAATCAAGAACAGTCCGAATAGCAAAATCAACCGCTGCAAGGACAGACAAGACAGACAGACAGACAAACTACAATATACTTATAGATGAATTGTGAAGGAGGACAAAATCAATTTTATTCAATAAAAGTAGTCTACTGATACCAAAATTCACACGATTCGTAAAATTTACTGGTAGTATGCAGCGAACCACGATAAGGGAAAGGGAAATGGGTTGTCTAGTGAAACGTTCACCGAGGCTTGACAAAGCTCATATAATTTTGGGCGCCGGGCGTGCATAAGTCACGTCAAAAAGTAAATAAGAATATAAACTAAAAATAAAACAAGAATACATTCTTTGTGAATACTCGGGCACCAGCACAACGTACAAAGAAAAATATATCCAAAAACTACAATGTCAGAATCAGATCTAATTCCAACTTACGTGCCCCATTCGTAAATGGGTTTCGGATTGCGATTAAGGTAAAACAAAGATCGGTAATTAATTTTTTAAAACATGGCATGATCAAATGGGGCGTATTAACAAAGAGGTATTATATGAATGAGGATTACACTCCTTTCATTCGCGCGATAAATAATTTAAACAATTTTAGCGTGATGACTGCAAATTTTCCACTTCAAAAATCACCCTCTTTCGCAAAAATCAGACCTGTCATTTCAACGATAAAGGCAAAAGTGATATTTTTAGATCATATATATTCCATAGATATAGCGTCCGGTCATTAAATCTGTGCTAACATACAGGGTGATTCCTATAGTACCTGCCACCGTTTGGGAGCGTGTAGGTGGTGCGTAGGGGAGTATTTTGATATAGGACACTTGGGGTCGGAAATCTAAAATAAGGGTGCCAGAGCCAAATTTACCTTCTGGAATTTCGCGCCTGTAGGTAGGCAACCCAACCGGCCGGCGGTGCACACGGAGCGATCTCAGGCGGCGATGTGTGGCTGACACTTGATCAGAATTTTGTTTAAACCCACGAAATCCCGTCTGCAACGACGCGTATCAAGTGAATAAACACTATGGCACGTTTTACTAACACGGAATACGCGGACATGCACTTCATGTACGGATTGGCAAATGGTAACGCACGAGCTGCGACGAGCGAGCGGTATCCAAACCGTCAGTTACCCTGCAGACAGGTCTTTCAAGAAGTTCACTTCCGACTGTGCGAGACAGGGCAATTGCAGGTAAGCTGACGGAGGCTTAACTTTACACACAGATTCGTGATGCACATCGATACTTGGGTCATTTAAGCACCCATATATCTATGCATATATGATCTACATTTGTACGGTATTATCTTTGTTGTACGTAATGATAACAGGAACCGCGTAGGCGCACACACTTTACGATGCACAGTTTTTTAATTGTATTTATTTATTTATTTTATTTTGCCCTTATTTTTGAGTGGGCGGGGTTTCAGCCAAGGCTGCTCTACCAACCCAACCCACTATACATTTACAAATATTCATGCCCTAACTCGAATTCGAACCATTCAGCTTTAACTGAACTGCGCCACACGCACATATAACAGTTTTTTATCCTTGTCGGCAAATTCTGTAGTGTTATAAGAACGATATTAACAATGTTATTGTCATCATATACTGTCAATCTCATGACATGACATTACAATCTCTGTTTCGACCGAGATATCTTGGTTTTAAGATATTTGACGCATCCTATATACATGACTACGCCACTGCCTGGTTGCGCGATTGGGCCACTTCACCTGCAGTATTTTTAAATTCAAAGTAAATTTTGGCGCCGTGATGAAAATTAGGTATTTTTAATTGATTTTTAAAAAGATAGTAATAAACGCCTTTTTTTTAGGGCAATTTTGGCTTTAGGCGTTGAAGTAATATGAGAATGCGTCTAGAAGTAATTAAATACAATGAATACACCATTTCAAGTACAAATTCCAAACGTGAATCATACGCATATCGAAATTGTTACACTTGCTTCCATCGCGTAGTTTAAATCACCTAATGTCAACAACAAGTGTAATTGACGAGAAAAAAACCAGGTAATTTGGAATGGGTAATTAGAAAAATAGAAATTGTTTAACATAACCTTTGCAACATTAATTCTTAAAAAGTAAACGATTTAAATGTTCAACTTCTTTGTATCTCTTTATACACAGTTCTTTGTATTGTTTGTTAGAATTTTCATCTACATTTTAAGGTATAAAGGAAAATTGCGCTTCATTTTAATTTGCATTATGTAACAAACATAACCTTAAAATTTGAATAATAAACATTTCTGTTTAGCTGGATTATTCCAAGCTGGTGTTCATGGAATAAATTTTCGGAGAGTATGCTGCGTGCCGTGGAGAAGAAAATACTGTCATGTGAGTAGTACTTGCTCTCATACACAATTTATCATTTAAATTGAAGATCTTAAAACCGCCTATCGAGGATGGTACGTTGACATTGGACCGACAATCGGTGCAGCTGACAAAATATGGACCATTTCGCTAAACGCAGACAATCAAAATACTCCCATAGTTTTGCTACACGGTCTAGGAGCGGGTGTCGCTTTGTGGTGTCTTAATTTGGACGCGTTTGCGGCGACGCGGCCTGTGTACGCGATAGACATGATAGGTTCGGTGAAGGCGTAATTCAAGGGGGTAGTCATTCTGGTAAAGCTGTACTCATAATGCACCAACAAGATAAACTTATTCCCAGAGTGGATACACCCTCGCCGTAATTTAACTGTCAAGTGTACATTTTCTAGGATTTGGGCGTAGTTCTCGACCGGCGTTTAGTACAAACGCAATGGAAGCGGAACAACAATTTGTACGGTCGATAGAAGAATGGAGGCACGAAATGAACCTCGACAAATTCATACTGCTCGGTCACAGCATGGGCGGCTTTTTGGCAGCATCTTACTCGCTCTCACATCCGCAACGCGTCCAGCATTTAATACTCGCCGATCCGTGGGGTTTTCCGGAGAAGCCTCCGGATTCGGAACGCAGACCTTTGCCTGTTTGGGTACGTGCCGTCGCTTACATGATGTCGCCTTTTAATCCACTTGCAGCTATTAGAGCGGCCGGACCATGGGGTAAATTTGTTCGTGCGATCTTAGTTTGTTTCTAAAATATACGTTGTGCAGGAGAGTGGATTATTGACAAGGCAAGACCAGATATTGCAAAAAAATTTACCCCCGTTGTCGAAGAATGTGGTTTAATAACGCAGTACCTTTATCAGTGTAACTCCCAGACGCCCAGGTAAGTTGAATTGTGTTACTTATTCTCATATCGGGAGTTTCGGTCTTATTTGTTACAGTGGGGAAAGTGCTTTTCACAGTATGACTTCTGGTTTCGGTTGGGCGAAAAATCCTATGGTGCAACGGATTGACAAGCTGGATAAAAATATTCCCATAACCCTCTTGTACGGCGCAAGATCATGGGTGGATAATTCAGCCGGTGAGATTATTAAAAGTAAACGAGTTGGCTCATACGTTCAACTACAGGTAATGTATTGACGATTATTAAACATAAATTATACATTTTATGTCTAGATCATATCCTCTGCGGGTCATCACGTTTACGCAGATAAACCGGACGTTTTTAATAAATATGTAATTGAAGCATGTAAATACGCCGATAGGGTAGGTAATAAATACGAGTATTTAAAACCTTCAAATGTTGATAAAACAGAATCGGATATTGAAGAAGACGTAGAACAAACATTTCCCGTAATTGAAAATTAACCAGGGTTTAGTTAGTGCACATTTTAGCTAATTGTAGCAGGTGGATGATATTTGTATTAACCAGTGATCATTTTTATTATTGACTTCCATCTTGTCTGTTATTTATAGAGGAAAGTTACTGTGAATATATCGGAATAGGTTCACTTCTTATTTATTTTATTATTGAGTAATTATGTTTTATTATAGTAAGGAGGTTACACAATTCTTGTGTAACGGATTTTTTCATAAGATACCTAGTTACAGCAGCTGCGGTTTTTTTAAGTAACTGAATACCACTTTATTTCAGTGGGCATTGAAATTATGAATGTATTTATTTGTGTTGTATTAAACATTCTTTTAGTTTGATTTTTTTGATTAAGAAAATATCTTCTAATCTCTAGTCTGTCACTCTCTCCAAGAGACCTGTGGAAAAAAATTGTAGCAAATATCTCGTCAAACAAAATTAATGCAGTGGAACTTTGTGTAATGGTTCTTTTTGAATCTAATTACTAAATATCATTTGACAGTGGCGACATCTATGAGAAATAAATAAAACCAAAACTGATAATAAAATATCTTCCAATGAGATGTCGCCACGTACGAAATTACATTCAAAATAACATTTTAATTTATGCACATAATAGCCACGTCCGACTCAATTTTCCTTAAAGGGCAATTAAAAATGTGCAATTTCATGTAGGATATGTGGAGCAATTGTACTTCAATGATCCAGTATCTGGAATTGTCTTTTGTGTATGCAATTGGTACATTTGCGCCATCTCTTTGGTAATCCCTACACTTTTCCTTATTATTTTCTTGTAATAGTTGAACCAGTTCCAATGAGATGTCGCCACGTACGAAACTACATTCAAAATAACATTTTAATTTATGCACTTAATAGCCACGTCCGACTCAATTTTCCTTAAAGGGCAGTTGAAAATGTGCAATTTCATGTAGGATTTGTAGCGCAATTGTACTGCAATGATCCAGTATTTGGAATTGTCTTTTGTGTATGCAATTGGTACATTTGCGCCATCTTTTTGGTAATCCCTATACTTTTCCTTATTATTTTCTTAATAGTTGAACCAGTTCCAATGAGATGTCGCCACGTACGAAACTACATTCAAAATAACATTTTAATATATGCACTTAATAGCCACGTCCGACTCAATTTTCCTTAAAGGGCAGTTGAAAATGTGCAATTTCATGTAGGATTTGTAGAGCAATTGTACTTCAATGATCCAGTATCTGGAATTGTCTTTTGTGTATGCAATTGGTACATTTGCGCCATCTCTTTGGTAATCCCTATACTTTTCCAAATTAATTTCTTGTAATAGTTGAACGAGTTCCCATGAGATGTAGCCACGTACGTAACTACATTTAAAAGAACATTTTAATTTATGCACTTAATAGCCACGTACGACTCAATTTTCCTTAAAGGGCAGTTGAAAATGTACAATTTCATGTAGGATTTGTAGAGCAATTGTACTTCAATGATCCAGTATCTGGAATTGTCTTTTGTGTATGCAATTGGTACATTTGCGCCATCTCTTTGGTAATCCCTATACTTTTCCTTATTATTTTCTTGTAATAGTTGAACCAGTTCCAATGAGATGTCGCCACGTACGTAAATACCTTCACAAGAACATTTTAATTTATGCACTTAATAGCCACGTCCGACTCAATTTTCCTTAAAGGGCAGTTGAAAATGTGCAATTTCATGTAGGATTTGTAGAGCAATTGTACTTCAATGATCCAGTATCTGGAATTGTCTTTTGTGTATGCAATTGGTACATTTGCGCCATCTCTTTGGTAATCCCTATACTTTTCCTTATTATTTTCTTGTAATAGTTGAACCAGTTCCAATGAGATGTCGCCACGTACGAAACTACATTCAAAATAACATTTTAATTTATGCACTTAATAGCCACGTCCGACTCAATTTTCCTTAAAGGGCAGTTGAAAATGTGCAATTTCATGTAGGATTTGTAGCGCAATTGTACTGCAATGATCCAGTATTTGGAATTGTCTTTTGTGTATGCAATTGGTACATTTGCGCCATCTTTTTGGTAATCCCTATACTTTTCCTTATTATTTTCTTAATAGTTGAACCAGTTCCAATGAGATGTCGCCACGTACGAAACTACATTCAAAATAACATTTTAATATATGCACTTAATAGCCACGTCCGACTCAATTTTCCTTAAAGGGCAGTTGAAAATGTGCAATTTCATGTAGGATTTGTAGAGCAATTGTACTTCAATGATCCAGTATCTGGAATTGTCTTTTGTGTATGCAATTGGTACATTTGCGCCATCTCTTTGGTAATCCCTATACTTTTCCAAATTAATTTCTTGTAATAGTTGAACGAGTTCCCATGAGATGTAGCCACGTACGTAACTACATTTAAAAGAACATTTTAATTTATGCACTTAATAGCCACGTACGACTCAATTGTCCTTAAAGGGCAGTTGAAAATGTACAATTTCATGTAGGATTTGTAGAGCAATTGTACTTCAATGATCCAGTATCTGGAATTGTCTTTTGTGTATGCAATTGGTACATTTGCGCCATCTCTTTGGTAATCCCTATACTTTTCCTAATTATTTTCTTGTAATAGTTGAACCAGTTCCAATGAGATGTTGCCACGTACGTAAATACCTTCACAAGAACATTTTAATTTAAGCACTTAATAGCCACGTCCGACTCAATTTTCCTTAAAGGGCAGTTGAAAATGTGCAATTTCATGTGGGATTTGTAGAGCAATTGTACGTCAATAATTCAGTATCTGGAATTGGGTTTGTGTATGCAATTCATGCAATTGGTACATTTGCGCCATCTCTTTGGTAATCGCTATACTTTTCCTTATTATTTTCTTGTAATAGTAGAACAAGTTCCACTGAGATGTCGCCACGTACGAAATTACCTTCACAAGAACATTTTAATTTATGCACTTAATAGCCACGTCCGACTCAATTTTCCTTAAAGGGCAGTTGAAAATGTGCAATTTCATGTAGGATTTGTAGAGCAATTGTACGTCAATAATTCAGTATCTGGAATTGGGTTTTGTGTATGCAATTGGTACATTTGCGCCATCTCTTTGGTAATCGCTATACTTTTCCTTATTATTTTCTTGTATTAGTAGAACCAGTTCCAATGAGATGTCGCCACGTACGAAATTACCTTCACAAGAACATTTTAATGTATGCACTTAATAGCCACGTCCGACTCAATTTTCCTTAAAGGGCAGTTGAAAATGTGCAATTTCATGTAGGATTTGTAGAGCAATTGTACTTCAATGATCCAGTATCTGGAATTGCCTTTTGTGTATGCAATTGGTACATTTGCGCCATCTCTTTGGTAATCCCTATACTTTTCCAAACTAAATTCTTGTAACAGTTGAACCAGTTCCAATGAGATGTCGCCACGTACGACACTTACTTCACAAGAACATTTTAATTTATGCACTTAATAGCCACGTCCGACTCAATTTTCCTTAAAGGGCAGTTGAAAATGTGCAATTTCATGTAGGATTTGTAGACCAATTGTACTTCAATGATCCAGTATCTGGAAATTGTCTTTTGTGTATGCAATTTGTACATTTGCGCCATCTCTTTTGTAATCCCTATACTTTTCCTTATTATTTTCTTGTAATAGTTGAACCAGTTCCAATGAGATGTCGCCACGTACGAAATTACTATCAAAAGAACATTTTAATTTATGCACTTAATAGCCACGTCAGACTCAATTTTCCTTAAAGGGCAGTTGAAAATGTGCAATTTCATGTTGGATTTGTAGAGCAATTGTACTTCAATGATCCAGTATCTGGAATTGTCTTTTGTGTATGCAATTGGTACATTTGCGCCATCTCTTTGATAATCCAAATACTTTTCCTTATTATTTTCTTGTAATAGTTGAACTAGTTCCAATGAGATGTCGCCACGTACGAAATTACCTTCAAAAGAACATTTTAATTTATGCACTTAATAGCCACGTCCGACTCAATTTTCCTTAAAGGGCAGTTGAAAATGTGCAATTACATGTAGGATCTGTGGAGCAATTGTACTTCAATGATCCAGTATCTGGAATTGTCTTTTGTGTATGCAATTGGTACGTTTGCGCCATCTCTTTGGTAATCGCTATACTTCTCCAAAATAATTTCTTGTAAGAGTTGAAACAGTTCCAATGAGATGTCGCCACGTACGTAACTACCTTCATAAGTACATTTTAATTTATGCCCTTAATAGCCACGTCCGACTCAATTTTCCTTAAAGAGCAGTTGAAAATGTGCAATTTCATGCAGGATTTGTAGAGCAATTGTACTTCAATGATCCAGTATCTGGAATTGTCTTTTGTGTATGCAATTGGTACATTTGCGCCATCTCTTTGGTAATCCCTATACTTTTCCTAATTATTTTCTTGTAATGAACCAGTTCCAATGAGATGTCGCCACGTACGTAAATACCATTCACAAGAACATTTTAATTTAAGCACTTAATAGCCACGTCCGACTCAATTTTCCTTAAAGGGCAGTTGAAAATGTGCAATTTGATGTAGGATTTGTAGAGCAATTGTACTTCAATGATCCAGTATCTGGAATTGCCTTTTGTGTATGCAATTGGTACATTTGCGCCATCTCTTTGGTAATCCCTACACTTTTCCTTATTATTTTCATGTAATAGTTGATCCAGTTCCAATGAGATGTCGCCACGTACGAAACTACATTCAAAATAACATTTTAATTTATGCACTTAATAGCCACGTCCGCCTCAATTTTCCTTAAAGGGCAGTTGAAAATGTGCAATTTGATGTAGGATTTGTAGAGCAATTGTACTTCAATGATCCAGTATCTGGAATTGTCTTTTGTGTATGCAATTGGTACATTTGCGCCATCTCTTTGGTAATCCCTATACTTTTCCTAATTATTTTCTTGTAATAGTTGAACCAGTTGCAATGAGATGTCGCCACGTACGTATATACCTTCACAAGAACATTTTAATTTAAGCACTTAATGGCCACGTCCGACTCAATTTTCCTTAAAGGGCAGTTGAAAATGTGCAATTTCATGTAGGATTTGTAGAGCAATTGTACTTCAATGATCCAGTATCTGGAATTGTCTTTTGTGTACGCAATTTGTACATTTGCGCCATCTCTTTGGTAATCCCTATACTTTTCTTTATTATTTTCTTGTAATAGTTGAACCAGTTCCAATGAGATGTCGCCATGTTCGAAACTACATTCAAAATAACATTTTAATTTATGCACTTAATAGCAACGACCGACTCAATTTTCCTTAAAGGGCAGTTGAAAATGTGCAATTTGATGTAGGATTTGTAGAGTAATTGTACTTCAGTGATCCAGTATCTGGAATTGTCTTTTGTGTACGCAATTTGTACATTTGCGCCATCTCTTTGGTAATCCCTACACTTTTCCTTATTATTTTCATTTAATAGTTGAACCAGTTCCAATGAGATGTCGCCATGTTCGAATCTACATTCAAAATAACATTTTAATTTATGCACTTAATAGCCACGTCCGACTCAATTTTCCTTAAAGGGCAATTAAAAATGTGAAATCAAAAGTTATAGACTAGAAACCAATTTCGAAAGAAAATTCAAAGGGCTGTAACTTTTGAACTAGTAGCCCAATCTTGGAACTGTTTGAAATTATGGATTCTACAGGCCACATTCTATAAGAAAATTTTTTCCGGGTCGATCTGAGACAATTTTTTTTTCGGGGCTCAAAAAAAGGCAGTGTATAACCTTCCTTTTTACCAAAAATCGACTACACCAAAATTTCTCGGGAAAACACTTTTTCTTATTAATTTTGGGGCGTAGAATCCAAAACAATTCGTACTTTTTCTATTAGACTTCTCAATCAAAAGTTATAGACTAGAAACCAATTTCGATAGAAAATTCAAAAGGCTGTAACTTTTGATCTAGCAGCCCAATCTTGGAACTGTTTGAAATTGTGGATTCCACAGGCCACATTCTATAAGAAAATGTTTTTTCCCGGTCGATCTGAGACAATTTTTTTTTGAGGCTCAAAAAAGGCATAGTATAACCTCCTTTTTTACCAAAAATCGACTACACCAAAATTTCTCGGGAAAACACTTTTTCTTATTAATTTTGGGGCGTAGAATCCAAAACAATTCGTACTTTTTCGATTAGGCTTCTCAATCAAAAGTTATAGACTAGAAACCAATTTCGAAAGAAAATTCAAAAGGCTGTAACTTTTGAACTAGTAGCCCAATCTTGGAACTGTTTGAAATTATGGATTCTACAGGCCACATTCTATAAGAAAATTTTTTTCCCGGGTCGATCTGAGACAATTTTTTTTTCGGGGCTCAAAAAAAGGCAGTGTATAACCTTCCTTTTTTACCAAAAATCGACTGCACCAAAATTTCTCGGGAAAAGACTTTTTCTTATTAATTTGGGTGCGTAGAATCCAAATCAATTCGTACTTTTTCGATCAGACTTCTCAATCAAAAGTAAAATAGACTGAAAACCAATTTCCAAAGAAAATTCAAAGGGCCGTAACTTTTGAACCAGTAGTCCAATCTTGGAACTGTTTGAAATTATAGATTCCACAGGCCACATTCTATAAGAAAATTTTTTTTCCGGGTCGATCTGAGCCAATTTTTTCTTCGGCCCAAAAAAAGGCATAGTATAACCTTCCTTTTTTATCAAAAATCCACTACACCAAAATCTATCGGGAAAACACTTTTTCTTATTAATTTTGGTGCGTAGAATCCAAAACAATTCGTACTTTTTCGATCAGACTTCTCAATCAAAAGTTATAGACTGAAAACCAATTTCCAAAGAAAATTCAAAGGGCCGTAACTTTTGAACCAGTAGTCCAATCTTGGAACTGTTTGAAATTATAGATTCCACAGGCCACATTCTATAAGAAAATTTTTTTTCCGGGGCGATCTGAGACAATTTTTTCTTCGGCCCAAAAAAAGGCATAGTATAACCTTCCTTTTTTATCAAAAATCCACTACACCAAAATCGTACTTTTTCGATCAGACTTCTCAATCAAAAGTTATAGACCAGATTCTCTAAGGATTAAAATCTATATCATGCCAAAGGGCCCCGAGGGTGGTTGCCACCTCATCTCTACTCTAAGCTCTTGTTCTTCAAAAGCTAAATTGGAAAGTAACTGCAAAACTTCGAGAAAAACATGTAGAATTGTAGTACTCTGAATTTAAATTCCAAAAATTTCGCGTTTCCCTGAATTGTCTCACGTTTAATTGCATAAAAATTAAATTTGGACAGCAATCCTGTATGACTTCTTCTTCGGTATTTGAATTTACACGCAACGGACTGTTACGCAGGCTAAGTCAAATAAGCCGAGATCGGCCCGCTAGATCGGTACGCCATCTTTTTTTTTAAGTCCCGACCATCCCCATCACAATTTTTCATCTTCGGTAAGGGTCGACGAAGTGCGATAACTTATTTATATCGCAACAACATACCTACAACTGTGCACCTGTGCCATCGCTTACTTAAATCAATTAAATTCTACTTTGATAAAGTCCCCTTATCAAACATCTGCTAAATAATTCTCAAATAGACCCAAAAATTCCTCTACCCACACTGCTGTGGAAATTTGGGGTTAGCAACAAATTTTTGTTGGACCAATTAAAGAACATACCAAAATTTGGGCCTAAAATTCGCACCTAATATCCTCCTTAACTCCTCGCTTGGACAAGAAGTTTTTCATACTGTTCCAAGACGTATCTTGAGTACCCATCAACCTCAAAACGCCTTCTAAAATATCACGGATTATGTCAGGTGGCGCTCGAAGCGAACGAATTTCTGAAAGCGATTCGGTCTTGATGTTTCCCACGGCTGTACGGGCGGCATCGATCAAAGGTTTCACTTCGGACAGTTCCTCCTCGATCTCCTCTTTTCTACAATTCGTTATTCAGACGCACGCTATTCAGAGTAGCTTACCTTTTAGCTAGAAAAACACTTTCCTTCTCGGTGTGCTGTTTCAGCTTCTCCATTTCGTGCTTTTGCGTGTTGGCGTTCTTCATCGTACTACTGATCATCTCAAGTGCCGCGTTTGCCTTCTCCTGTTTCTGCGACAACTTATCCTGCTGCTCTTTCGCCTTCAGCTTTAATTCGTCCACCACGTTCTTCGCGTCTGTCAGTTTGGTCACCCCGGCCTGAAAGCATCGCTCATCGTCAGCTGTCGGCAGAAATTGAAACTCACCTGCAACTTTCCCTGCCTTTCGGAGATCACGTTTACTTTATCCGAAAACACCTCGATGTAGGTTTTGACGAACGAAATGAACCGCGACGGAATCGCAATGCTTTGCTTGACCATGCCGTGAATCTCGAAGAAGCCGTCCACCAGGTCGACGGTGGCTTTCTTAATTTTACTCTTGTTTTCGCTGAAAAAATTGAAGTTGATTTTGAACGCTAATAATGTGGGCGCAACCTTTCAATTAGCATGCTTGGGATGCTCTCCAGTGTGTCTTTGCCCCATTCTGACGTCCAAATGACATTGCAATGGGTGTAGAGCGCCGGGCAGTTTGAAAGTAGCTCAGAAAACTTGGTGTTATTGCTTTCGATGCAGATCACCAGATGCAGCTTCTTCTTGATACCTAGAGTTTGGAAATTGGCGAAAGTTGCGCGACGAGATTCACTTACGCTCGGTAAAGAAATCGATTAGGCTTCCATCGTAACTAGCCCGTCCAGCTTCGTCTTTTAGACCTGCTGCTAGCGATTCCAATTCTGCGAAGGTGTACAGTCCGGGAACCTCTCCAGAGCACAGCATCGCGCTTACTGTGTCAACGACCCGCTTGTCGTTTAAATTGCTGTCTTCCAGCAGCAAGAAGGTCTCTTCGCCTTCGACGGCTGCGTGTTGAATTGCCTAGAAAACTGGTATTATTCTGGAAGCAATGCAAGGTACCAACCATTTTCAACTCGTTATTAAACTGGGGATAATTGGAAAAGATTGGCGCCACGAGCTTTACCGAAAGCAGCGCCGATATGATCTTCACTGAAGGCTTTCTACCTACACCAGCGACACCAATCAGTAAAACATTCCCACCTGGCTCCACTAAAGCTTTGGCGATCTTCGCGGTCAGTTGGACCAATTCCGGGATGACTAGCACCTCCAGGACGTCACCTTCGCGTTCTTTAAGCGAAGGAATCAGACGAATGCGTCTAAAAGCGGGACTCACTCACCGTACTGGACGATTCCTTTTTTGACAACGTCCGTCCACTCCTCAACACCTTGCTTGTGAAGCAGTGAGACGTGAGGAGAGGCGACCACCTTCGGAACTGGAACAAATACGTGCCGCTTACAGTCTTGCAACAAGCCCGCCTTATTCCATTGCATCTTTAATTGCTCCCTCAGGATGTCCTCGAATTGGGCGCGATGGTTTTCGTTCACTAATCTGTCTTGAAACAGTCGCAGGGCCTCGTAGACTACAATTTCGAGCAGATACTCCTCCGCGTCTTTGTCCCCCTCTTTATACATCAGAATCCCCCGACACCACCTTGTCAGCTCGTTTAAACTGAAATCGTAGTGACCTTCAACGAGATTAAACTGCTTGACGACCTGCAAAATTCCAAGGTTATGAGCCGTTAAGTGGGCCACCAAAGCGAACCTCGTTGTACACTGTGGTCATCATCATTACAATCTTCATCAGCTTATTGGTAGACCACTTTTGTTGCTTTACAATTAAGGGCAAGTACAGCGAGTATATGGCGTTGATACTTTCTTGCTCGGGTGGGCTGAAATAGCGTACTCAGAAGGCGCCAAAAGCAAAGCTCTTACCTAATATTAAAGACGTGTACCGATGAAGTGAATCTGATAGATAGATTATTGATGGCGGTTGCCGAGCAAGCAATGGTAATATTTCTCACACCGATCCACTCGAGACTGCCATCAAACAACCCGTTGTACTGAATAAACTAAAAAAAAGATCCAGTTAGCACGCGCCATATTTTTCAGTTTAGATTTCGAAAAGCAAAATGTCAATAATACGCGTAAGTATATTGCTTGATCTTCTGCAGGGCGACTAAGAGAGGGTTCCCGTAGATAATTCAAGAGTCAGATTTGATGAATAATAGGTCGATGTTTTCGCTAAAGACGGTTAATACCGAGTTGGGGAAAATGGACGAGATCATCAAAGAAAAGGATGTCATAATACAGAATAACTGCGAGAGAATTCAAGAGATGGAGGCCCATATCGTCGAGCTTGAGGGATCCCTCCAAAAATCGCTGCGGGAAAAACGGGACGATGAGATACTCGTGAAGTACAACAAATTTATACACGACATCATGACCAAGCACGAAACCGTTATGGCGCAGAGGAACGTTATATGCGACCACTTGGCCTGTCTCGAGACCGGATTTGCCGATTTGGTGACGAAGTACGAGCGACTCAAAACGATTCTGGCCGGGTACCAAGCGAACCAGGCCGTTTTGGTGGATAGGGTCACCGAGCAAGTCGGCAACATCGAAGTGCTGCAACAGAGGTATGACAAACTGAAGAGCCACACCAACGACAAGCTTCGTGAGGCAAACGCGCACGTTGCGAACATGCATAGAAAACACGCGGAGGAAATTGCGAGCGTTAAAATTCAACTGCAAGGACAGAAGGACAAGATTACCGAATTGGAACAGAGTCTTGCCGATTGTCGCGGTGAAGCTCCGGTAAAGAAGAAATTATTGCCGTCCATCATTAATACGTTTAAGTTTTATTGAACGTACGTTTTGTTGTTATTAATTAATAAAAGAAACGTTATTCGTACGATTCTGTTTTCTCTCTAAAGCACTATACCCAAATTGTGAGCACAAACTGACCAGAAATGTGAATTAATTAGGTTCATAAGAACAAGACATCTTCGTTCACCGCGCTTATGTACTAAAAACAGCATGTTATTATGTTATTATCTCCCGACATACTTTCGTTCAAGTTTACTATGAAGCGGTACATGTGCAAATTTTCCTATGAACAAAATCCGAATTTGAAACTGCATACCGGTTATCCGTTACAATAGTTTACATCAATCAAAGGATTCTTTGTAATTTGTTTACCTTTATTTTCATGCCTACTTTCTGTCAGGAAATTTTAGTTTCCATGACAGAGGTAGAGCAGACGTTTCCTGCCGCTTGTCACTTTACTGGCCGCACCTGTCACTTTACCGGCCTCATTTATGTCATTTCTAAATGTCTACAATGACTCCTGTCATCACTGACAGATTGACATTAATCAAGTTATATATAAAAATTGAAATTTTATATTAAAGTACGATTTCGTGTAAAATGTAATATAAAATTCGTCAGTAAAATGACCTTACCTGACGGTCCCAAAGAGGCCTCGTACAATATTTCCTCGCCAGTAATGTGTCATTTTCCTGACTTTTATGTAAATAACAATTAACCTAAACACGCGGTAGAATAACGCATTGAAACAGCTATTTTCAGGTATTATTTGAAAGCAAATTTTTCAAAAATCCAACGATAAATAGTACAGATCCACAGCAACATTTTGTTTGATATATAACTCCCTCGTTAAAATCTTCTTTTTTAACGTTAAAAGCACACACGATAATAATTTCGACGAAATGACGGCACAGTTTTCTTTTGTAATGCGGCAATTAATTTCAACTTTTGCAATAAAACCCTCACGTACGATTACGCGACTGTTTAACACTAGAAGCCCCAGAACGGGTCAATTGACCACATTTAAGATTTAAATTTATATATCGCCCTTATTTTTGGCAATAAACGTTTGTGGTTCTCTGATGACTGATGACACTAAATTAATTAAATGAAAAAGTTTCATTGTAACTCTAAAAAATTGGAAAATTTGTACCTATGGTACTCAACTAGACCCCCATATGTTTTTCGTTGGTGTTTGTACTGTATTGGATAACTGTGACTTACTTTTGACGCATCGGTTTTCGTTTTGTTTAACTCTCCATAAATATTGTACGTTTTAAGTATAATTATACTTAAGATTCTTCATATACAGTGTGTTCGAGATAATATCAATATCTCATGTGGTTGATATACAACAAAATGGAGAAATTCGTGATATATATATAATATTTACAAAACTTATGAAATCTGGCATGCCGTGTGCTGTCAGGATGCGCGGTGTCGATTGTCTCACCGCACAATGCACATCCTGACAGCAGAGGGCATGCTAGATTTCCAAAGTTTTATAAATATGTATATGTTGTCATACTGCAAATTAGTTGATGTTTTTAAAGATCTTAAAAAGAGCATAGACATTGCATTTGAAAAATTCCGGTTGAACCGGAAGTGATGCCGGACGTACAGACCGTAATGTCAAATACCAAATTATATTTATCAAATTTTTCGTATCTAGCCAATTAAAAAGAGATATTGAGGTGCGCGTCGTATCTCGAACACACTGTATATAGTTAATAACAAATAAATTTTAAGAAATAACAAACAATTAAATAGTAACAAAATTAACGAACTTCAATATAATATAGTAAAACATCTCAAAACAACTATCGGAAATACAAAATTCAGTTGAAATAGATATAGGGTCAATCGATCCCCCGTGGGGCCCGTAGGGGGGTAACAAAGTTGGGTTTCCTAGTGTTAAATCTACCTCGATTATACGAATTCGTCTTGAAACTTTCAGTTGAAAATAAATGTTACGCGATCTAAAGTGCCGCGCGCTCTACTTACAACACCTTAAAACTTTGATCATTGTTTATACAAGTGCCGCCCTCTACGGCGCTGAATTTTTTTGAATCGCTCTTTACTTGTTAAAGGTATAGCAGAAAATCTGCGCCCCCATGCTCAGTAGGAACCGGTAACACTGTGGCGTTTTGAGGCTTATCTGCTCGCTTCTTATCTGAAAGCGCTTTATTCTATTGCATTTTAGTTCTGTTCTTTTTCGCTATGAAGCGGTACACGTATAAAATTTCCTATACTGGCAAATTTGTAAATTCAAAACGAAATCTTTCTAAGCCTAAAGCGACCACATGTTCCGGATGTTTTCTTTTTAGCGCATTTTTTAAGAGTTAAAAAAATGTGCTATTGTTTGCGTTTTGTCCGTCCGTCCGTCCGTTTTGAACTACTTCTAGGGGAATGGTCCTAGAGTCCTGGAATTTTTTGCAGTAGGTAGCCTATACCTTGAAGGTGTGCCAGACGACCATTATTCCCACGAATTATTCCCTGAGATCAGTGAGCGACGGAGCCTGGGGGGGGGGGGGAGGAGTGGAACTAATTTTATCCTACATGGTACTCTAATGAAAGGTCTCAACGAAAGGAATTAATTTCTACCAACCATAGCCCTCCTCCTCGTCTCTTATCGTGATCGGGTTATTCCCTTATACCTCAAGAACGGATTCTCGGAAGAGGGTACTCACAAAGGGCATTTGCACAAGAGTTGTGCACAATTTATACTTGTTTTCTTTGGGAACACGCAAGTACGTACCTGTTGAAGAAAAGCGATTAACATATTCGTGCCCCAAACATCATTCTTGAGCAGTTGTAGTTGCCTAAAGTACAGTACCAAATGTCCCTTCTTTGGTTTGAAGATTCGTCCTTTGCTGGTATTAATTACGAGACACGACTGTAATTGAGAACGTTTTAGATACGAAAATAATCGCGCAGATTTTCACCTGGATCAACTTCTGCAGCACAAATTGCGGCGCCAAATTCGCGCTGCAATGGATCGTAACCATTTCGACGTCGTTCCTTTCCTTCGCCAGGTGGTTCAGAATTAAACTGCGCAGATAAGTCTAATGAATTTGTTATAGATCACTGTAAAAGCTACCTTTTGGCCGAGCCGCGAGGTCCCACCAGCAGGAAGTGTTGCTCGTTGCCTGGAGTGAACCATTTTCTTAGACAGTTGAGGGTGTAACACGTTTGGGGTGTGAGAATAAGAGGAAGATCGGTCGTGGTGTCTTCCACGCTCAGAGATGGCGTTGAACTGTAATAGTCAACGCTGTCTTTTTCCATGTTGTAATAGAAACAGAACGAGGAGGGCTGCGGTTCACCTAACCATTCAAAGACCTGTGCAGTTTCCGTTGAGATTACCCTAGCGGACAGTTCAACAGACCTGCTCGGTGAAGACCTGACGTAAACTTGCCGCCAAGTAACCACCTAGTGCGTAGAGAATTCCCACTGCAAACTCCAATTTACTGGACACGTTAGAGATCTGGAAAAGTGCACTTAGGGCGACTGAAACTTGAGCAGTTGTCGTAACCAGTTCGCTCTCAGTCATCACCCAATCTATGGCTACAATAATTTTGCGGTGAGAAACTTACAAAGGTACAGAGACGATTACCTTTATAGAAATAGTCGGAGATATACTGCCCGAGAACTCCTTGAAGATCTTCGGGTTGCTGGGCTAGGAATTTACTTACAATATTGGAAACGCTCAAGTCCTCTTCGCTTAGAAAAATTATTCCCAGTCGCGAGATAGTCGCCGGTGAAACGTAACTTAAGTCGTGCGTTTCAAAGAGGAAGTTAGCATTTGGACCGAACTGTATCCTCCACCCAGACGGGAGAGATAGTAGTTTGTTATCATCCAATACCGAATTGAGAGATTCCACCCAATCAGGATCCATGTCTCCATCGCAGACGATCCATGAGGAGACATCTTCAAGATCAACGGTCATAGTCATAAAAATTGGACATGCATAGATACCTAAAGGCTCCCCGGCAGCTTGCAGACTATACATCGTGAGCACTCCGTCGCTCCACTGTCGCGATTCAACATCAATTTGCCCCAGTAGCAGGTGCCTAGGCATACTTTTGGGGTTGAACACGTGCTGCTTCAGACTTTTGCCCATGTGCGTCAACGCCTAGAAGCAACGTTCTGAAAGCATTGACACGAGCAACCCCGAATCTTACGTGGAAAAGTAACCGCCTCAGTGTAGTCTTACCAGATTTGGGCGGTCCTACAATCGCAACTCCCATACGCTGCTTCAGCTGTTGGTAAAGCTCAACGCATTTGGCGATCTGTAACAAAAGGTGTCTAGCTGAGGGAGTCAACCGTTCCATACCTGTCTAGAATTAATTTCCAAGTTTAATTCGGCGTAGCTCTTCTCCAAGGCTGTCGTTAGGGCGTCGTCGGCGAAGTGTTCCACTGGTGAGCTGGGGAAGACATCGCTTATCAGGTTCTCGAACTTGACGCGATCGGCGTAGGTAAGCTTGGAGAGGATGTCGACGCGGAGCGATTTTATTACCAGCGCCAGTTCCGTTTCCAAGCTGATGCTCGAGGAGGTCTTGAAGTAGTTGCGAATGTTTTTACCGCAATTGTTCAGCACAGTTTTAATGGAGCGCAATCCCCAGTCGTAGTGTTGTTGTTTGCTCAATAGTTTGCTGAAAATTGTTTTATGTTTGTGGTTTTAGGAGAAGGACTATACCGACCTGGCACCGGTAAATACTTCCAAGAGTTTGCGACTGATCAAGCTGGCGTATTTGTATCCATCGCAATGGAGCAAAGTGGTAGCGATCTGCTCGTGATCGGGATGCGTCATAACGACCGGTCGAAATAGCTGCTTAAGTCCGTCGGGTAACTTGTTTCGCCCTCCGTAATTTGCGCCGGCCGGGTTTAACGTGATGAAAATTCCGCAATGTTTGTTCAGCTCTATCTGCAATAAAGGGATTGGCGGTTTGTGCCGGATGTAAGATCGCCGACAAAAGTAATGATAATCGGAAGCTTACTGCCACTTAGGCAACCAACCATACGTGATCTAAAATTGCAACGTTGAGGTGTAAGTTTTCCGGCGGGGATTCGTGTGGGATGGGACGCATGGCGTCGCGCATTGTCGTGCTTGCTTCGGCGTTTCTTCGTCACTGCCTTGATGCATTGAATAAAAAATTAATTCAATGCTTGATGTAAACGCTACAGTAATATTAAATGTGTGGTATAAGTACAAAAATTAGATAGTGTATGGTTGGTTGCCTAAGTGACAATAAGCTTCCGATTATCATTACTTTAGTCGGTGATCGTAGTTACCGGGCCCGTGAAGTTGGAGTGTCGACTTGAAGAAATTAAGTTCCAAGTATCTCACAATTTTGTGCTCCTTATGCTGCTAATGTGAAAGTTTGTTCTCATTAAGTTAATGTGTAATTAAATCATTAATTAAATCGTTTTGCTATTGTGATGGTTTTGTCCGTCTGTTTGTCCGTCTGTTATCACCGTCTAACTCGAGAACGAAAAGAGACAGCGATGTCAAACCTTCGCCAATGGATGTCTACAAGTTCAAGGATCAGTATACTATTGAATATAAGCCGGATTAAAAGTTGTGTTTCCGAATGCGAGCTTGGTGTTAAAAATTCCCCCATTGAAAATCCTATGCGACTCTTCGTATCTTGTATTTGTTACGTTGACTTTGAGCAAATGTAACAAAATTACCAAAAAATAACCACACGGTAAGCTCAGGTAAAGTAGAGGTGGGCCGGGGTGAATAATGGGGTTCTTGTACACTAGCAAAAATGAAGGGAAGGGAAGGGAAGGGAACCGAATAGTCTCCACTTAGTCTTTAGTAAATTTCAAAAGAGAAAAGAGAATGCTCACCTAAAGGGGAGACAAGGCACACTAAGATATCCTTGTTCTGGTCTTTATTTATTTATATATTGTCCCTCTTGTTCTGGGCCCTCAACAGCTGCTTTTTCCCAATTACAGAGTGACCTACATAATGCTTTTTAGAGGTCTTAAGTTGTTCTATACTACTCCGGTATTTACTTTACGAATTAGGAAAACTGCAGGAAAACCTAATTCGGGGTATCCAGCAGAATGCTCAAAACTGATCGAAAGAAACGCCCATCTCTGCCACAGATGAAAAATTCTTACCTCATCCCAGGTTCGAACACCCGACCTCCGGCTATGTAGCCTAATGCTCTACCACTGAGCACAGTCTTGATCAGCTAAAGATATAAAATAATTCACCCGCTTCTCCCACAAATTTTTTGTTGAAAACGCTTAATTAAGGTGAAAAAGGAGAGTAATGAAAAAGCGAGAGCGAAGACGCAAAAGAAACGTTACTGTGCACATAAAATAAAGAGGTTTGCGCCTAAGACGAGTAACTTTAGCGCATTTTCCAGGTATTGATCAATACTTCCATAGTCCATAATTAAAATGTCAAATAATGTCTCCAAAAGTAAGGCAGTTGGTATTGCGCAGTCTGCGCATGCGCATATTTGATTTTTTATAATATGCGACGTTTGCCTTTGCTAGAAACATCTGTGGTTAAAATTTCCAAAAAATATCTTTAAAAAAGGATGCTGGCATTTACTATAAGTATCTGGAGTGAAAATTTCAGCAAAATATATTAATAAGTAAGATTTTTCTTGGCTCAGGTACGCCAAATTCATAGACACAAATTCGGCCCTAAGCATTTGTTTTGTTGAATATGCAGTTCGTCAGCGTTTGTGTGTCAGTTAAGTGCGCCTTATGTGGCTAATCATGTACGGCCGAATTATTTGGATTGTTAAAAAAACACTGTAAATAATTTTCAGCTTTCTTATTTTATTGGTCACCCGCCTGCGTGCGGGGTAATATGTCCAAACAAACTTTATAAACTTTTCTTTTTGTTTCGTTGTGTTTTGGAATAAATGTTTGTCAAGTAATTAATTGTGTTTATTCGAATCCATTGTGCCACCCGGATAGAGTTTTTCTTTTCGTGCCCAAGAATTATTGTCAGGTGTTAATGAAAATTTGTGTGGTGGAAATTGATCGAGGATACCAAGTCTCTCAAATTGAGAGCACGAGGGGAGATTATAAAATTCTAAATTTCAATTTTGATTTGTTTTGACCTAGCTGGACGGGTGTTTTGTGAGTGGTGTAGTGACCGCATACCATTGCACACGCTAATTCACCAAATGTGAACAAAAAACGGGCGATCGCAATATCCACCTAGCCTTTGAATATATTCAAAGACCTAGCTCAAGCTAGTCATGCGAAAAATTTGAATTGCCCATTGACGGGATGAACACCAAATTTTAAATTAGCAGCACAAATTAGCACATGAGACACTTGGAGCTTAATTTCTTCACGGACCCACAGTTACCTCTCTGTCCAGAAGATGAAGAGTGCTTTGGTGTAATCGCAACGCGTTCTGTATGGGTTGTATCTGCATTGACACCGCCGACAATGTGGTCTCATCCAATCGGTTAAACTCATCAAAGCACCCCCAAGCGCCGCTCCGAACCAAACCTGATAAAATTTTGCCCATTGACGCTCCATCGATACCCTACAAACATAATTGTGTTTAAACGCAAAGAACCTGGTAACCAAGCAACCTCATCGCAATTAAAGACCAAAACCTGTCGACCCAGAAGACCGCCGAGCGCTTTCACAGATTCGGTCTTTCCGGTCCCTGCAGGTCCATAGGGATTTCCACCCATCCCTAAATACATACCCTACGAATTGTTTCCGTTAAATATAATACCCACTTCATACTAATCGCATACCTGAACCAACGTTAAGAAGCATTTGTCGGTTAAAGGGGTGCGCACCAATTTTGCTTGATTACCTAGGTATTCGTATGAGTACTCCATTTCCGCATTGGCCATTTTTAGAGTGATATTTCCGGACTTATCAGAGTAGTACCTGGGAACGTTGTTATTTTCAAAGCGGAATGGCAATGATAAAATCGTACCGTAACTGCTTTTGCCAGTTCCAATCGTTTGTCTTGATGACGTTGTTTTCAATCAAACCTTCCATTACGCTAATGTGATGGATTGTGTCCAGAAGTAGAGCCTTGAGCTTAATCTCGATCAGTTCAGAGTCACCATCGGCATTAATACTGTCGAGAGAAGATCCCTCTTTACTCTCACTGAAGTTGAGCGAGCTATAATGCCCTAGTTGTGCCTGAACCATAACAAAAACTGATTTAGAGGGGGGAAACCGGTTATGGTCTACAGTTCAGAGGAAGGTCTCCGAGAGATTTCTTAGTACCTTGTAACTAGCCAAAAGTTGCTTAAGAGCCATGTTTCCAATCGCCTGCTCGCATTTAGTCGTGAACCTCACGCTATCAGCCAAGCACAAAATTTGCGAAGGATACTTGAGGGGATCGGCCGACTCACCATCGCTCAAACACTGAACCAAAAGTTGTTTTAGAGAGTCCTGCATTTCGGTAACGAGAACGTTTAACCAGTTCTGAAAATGTCGTTTATTTTAGTCTCAATTGCAGGACTTTTACCTCGACGGGCTGATCGATGTCCACCAGTCGATTTAGAGGCACCACTTCCTCTTGCAACGAGCACATCGCGACGATGTTCTTACCACCATCGTCGAGTTTAATAGTGTGAATGCCGGCGAAGATTTTCTTGAGGTGGGATTGAATTACTTGCTCCCTGGAGCACTGACCTACGATTTCTAACAAATCGTCGTCTCCCAAAAAGAGAAACCTGGGGAACTTGTTCCGTTTCTCCTGAAGATTCAAGAGTACAATAGGAGCTAGTGGCCTAAAAAAGGTACCTCAAGAAAATCGTCCAGGCTGTTCTGGCATCTTGACAGCTGGTCTTGAAGATTAGTAAGCGTTGACCTCAGATTAGGGTAGCGAGTTAATGATGTCACCTTGAGGTCGTTTTGGATATACTTCAGTAGGTGCCGGAAATCTTTATCTAATCGACTAAAGCGGCTTTTCTCGTGACCCAAGGCACCTCCTCCAAAAATCGGCTCAAGGTACACCCACCTACAACTATGCAGAAAGCTTCTACTGCATCATCTTTTTACTTACTTTCTCTGCACTTGCGCCAGCGTCGTTAAGTACTCCTCCAAGTCCGTTAGCCTGGTCTCCCAAAGCTCGGAACGCTCGGAAAATGTGGTGTAGTCCGATGAGTTCTTCACTGACTGGAGAAGACTTTGATTGTCGCCAATCTGAAAATACCAGTGAGAAATACGTCACGGACACAGGTCGAAGGACCTTATTCAAAATGTCCTTAAATTCTTTAATTAGCATAACCGTCGCGCCGCTACTGTCCTGGTGCTCTGTCAGAGTGAACCTGCACTGAATGTCCCAATGGTCCAGTTCGGCCAAGGCCTGTCGGACCACAACCTCACTCGCCGCCTTTCTACTGATACCCTATGACGTTCGATTAGCCGCGAATTAATTCAGCGTGACCTACCTGCAACTGCTGCGCGTTCTCTATTAACCTATCAGAGGCGTCCAGAAAATCGCGCAGGAAGAGAATGTCAATCGGTTTGGGAGTGATGCCAAGCAGCGCGAATACCTCAATCCAATGATTCTCCGTGAAATCTTCGCCGCGGAGGTACTTGAGCACTGGCAAAATGCCCTAACCCCCCCTGTTTCAACCACGTCATTCCACTAACAGCGTGATCTTACCTGATACTTATTGATCTCTTGAAGAATGACACTGACAACAGGCGAATTACTCGATAATTCCAGCTTGTTCTGCCAGTTTCCCAAAGATTCATCTAGGCGATAGCTCTTCTTCCTAAACACAATCCACTCCTCGTTACCGAACTTTCCCATCTCTAAAATTTGGGGTCATCACCTAAATCGTTTATCAACAACTTACCCGAATAGAACTCCTCGAAGAGAAGCCACTGTTCTTCTTCCCCTCGGATGTCAGACTCCACCTCATCAAACATGGTAAACGTAACAGGTTCTAGATTAAATCGGGCGATATCTGCACTATTAAGGACATTAGCTAGGAAATTACGGCAGAGTAATTGCTTACGTTAGCTTTTCCTTGCGGCTGGCGAGGTAGTTCATCTGGTCGCGTTTTTCCTTAATGTCGTCCAGGTGACTTTGCAACTGTGCAAGTGATTGACCGGACATTTGTCCCGATTGAGATTTCTTTTTGATTTGCTCCCATTTCGCCGCGAACCTCTCCATGTCGTTGAGCAGGTTTTCACTCGCAATTTGTACAGTTGCTTTCATGGTCTCCATCTGTTTGGCGATGATGTGCTCGTAATTCTCCAGTAAGTTTTGTAACCGCTCCCAGGCGGCCTTTAATCTATTGACCGAGTCCACCCGCTCTCTGGTCCAACTACTCAGCATCTTAGACTTTCGCATCATTTCTTGGTACAGACCCTCCATCTGGAAAACTGGCAATGGAAGGGCGCTAGGATGGTTGCAAACTGACCTGCGCCTTCTGGTTGAGTATGTCCGAGTATGACGCGTCGCTTTCCCCAATTTGATCGACTGTTAAGGGTTGCTTGTTTAGCGTTGCGGTCGAGACGTCTACATATTCCTGAAGCTTAAAAACGTCTTGGGCGATCGAGTCTTTTAGCGACAAGGAAAGCTGCGACCAATAAGTGCGATTGTGTGATTCCAAATCCGATCGCAACCACGATAGGCCGACGATGAAACACCCCACCCGCTCTTCAGTACTACAAGACAAGTCTAATTGTGAAACTAAAAGGGTGGGATACGATATGGGGTAGGTAATCACTTCAATATCAGAGGTACCACATTGCACACACTGCAATAATATTGTGCACATTGCACAGCTATTGCACTACTATTGCACACATTGCGCCATTCTTTCACTGATATTGCTAATTTGTTTTTCCATATAGCGCAATAAGAACCAACAAATAGTGCTCCAATTTTAATTAAAAAAATTAAATGAAACTAACTCCATATTATAGAAATATCGTGTAGCAAGTTTCCACACGGTATATAACGACGGATTTACAGGGTGTTTTTTGGGAGCTTTAGTTAAACGTCTTTGGGAAAGTGAAATAGGTAAGTTTTTTGAAAATTTCCACTTAGGAGTTACTCTGAAGACCGAAATATTTTCAAAATGGTCGCACTTCCGGAAATACCGGAAGTAGCTAGTAACTTCGTTATTTTAAATAGCAACCCCTACTTTTTATTGCATTTTTGGATTCTACGTGAAATTTCAGTTCTTCTGATACCCACATGTCGATATCTACCATTTATGGCTTTTAAGTTATTTTGACTTTAAGAAAAAAAATGGCGGATGCAGTCGGCACCAGGGGCGGTTTTTGGGGGGGAAGCGACAGGGGCGATCGCCCCCCACCTAAACATACTGCTCAATTGTTTTTTTATTTCATTAGGTTTACATAATAATCGAATTAAATAGACCTAACCACAAACCACCTGACGGAAAAGTAAAATTGAATAAAATAGGTACACAAAATAATGCCGGCGGGGGCGGAATCGTGTATTGTCCAGACTGCGACTGACGACTGTACTTTAGCACTATCATTATCGCCTCTCGTATTTTTTCTGCCTTTGTCAGTATTCGGAAATTAATGCGGAAATAGATAGTTTAACAAAAAAACAGCTGAAATTGGGTCAAAGCTACTCAAAAAAAATTCACGCACACCTCTGCATCTGCAATTCTGTAGCTTTTTTATTCCCCCCCCCCCCCCCCCCCCCTTGATAATTGATTACTAAAAAACGGTTCTAGATATAGTAATCCATTTTTACCAGTGCATAGAGAAAGAATAGGGCTTTCTTTTACTGTACTTGAAAAAAAGTTAAGTTGCTACGACCCAGAGTACGACCGCACCTATGAAGATCCAAATTTGAAAAATAAAGACTAAAAACTCAGTTTTTTTTAATGAAATGACCATTTTCTTACTATTGCATTAGATAGAGAATCGAAATTGACAGATTTTGGTATTATATGTTCCTATAGCTATCTTTAACCGTTTTGGAGTTACATTTCATTGAACTGATACCATTTTTTTTCGGGTTTTCTTTTTAGTAGTCGGCCATGATTTTATAAAATTGAATTTTAAACATTTAATTTTTTTTAAAAATGTAGATAATTCACCAATTAAAAGTTCGGCTTATTTTCGAAAAGTTACATGGACGGCACCTATTATCATATTTTGCCCGATTTTTATGAACAGTCACATCACATTGCCTTTAATGACTAAACTAAAAATACTAACACTAAAACTAAAACATTCGTCGGGTCTGCTATTATGTAAAATAAATGTTTGTCTGTCTGTCTGTCTCTTATGATTGTCTAAACCGTTCATCCGATTGCGATGAAACTTTGGTCAATAGTTGGACGTATGCCCGCAGAATTAAAACACTCTCCTAAATTCCCACGCAAACGGGAACAGAAAAAAACAGGATTTTATGTTTTACAGTTAGAAAGAGACTTGACATTTAGAATTGTAGGTTTCTTCGAAGGCGTGAACGTGTACTATGCAAGAACTTCCCACGGAAGCGGTGAACACTACGGGAAAAAAACGGGATTTCCTAAAGGCCGTATGGCTACTAGCAATAAATAAATCTAAATGTGTTACCTAAAATGCAGTTAAAAGTTCATTTATATTGCCCACACCTTCGGTCATTATTGCACAAATATTGCAATACTACCCGCCCACCTATTGCACCCAGCGATTACCCCCTCGGTGAGATATTACCTTGGGAGCTTTGCGATCTCTTGCCCAAACGTCTTCGACGCCCTAAAATGCAGCTCCCAATGTTCCCACGTCGTCAACTGCGACGCGTCTAAGCCGCCCAACGTTAACCAAGACTGCCAGTGTTTCACAACCCCGTTCAACTGCTCGATCACCTCATCTCGATGCACGTTCACCTTTTCCAACTCGTGCTGGTGGCTGAAAACACAGACTCACCACAGTAACCGACCGTGTAGTTCTCACCTTTCTATAATTGGCGCGAAAATGTTCTGATCCGACGAACTGTTCACGCCCCTAAACCCTTTAGGAATGTCCAAAAATTGCTTGACCTGGTGCTGGTATTTTTCCTTCAACGATTCTACGCTCGGCGAAAGTTGCAGTTGGGAGTCGCGGTAAATTAAGTTTGCGTGTATTTCAGGCAAGTATAAGTGCAGGGTATCCAAGCTCTTCAGATACTGCTTTTCCAGAACCTTGTACAGTTGCTGATCAATGTCTGCCTTCCAGGACTGTGTCGACTGAAAACCTTTCCCTTCAACTTGGGAAATGATTTCTCTGATCGTCTTCGTCGTGTCTTTCCACAGGTGATAGTACTTAATTAGGTCGGTGTCGTTCAAGGTGGCGATCTGAAAAGTACATTGGAACGCAGCTACGACTGGCAAAGTGTTACCTTTTCCATAATCTGGTAATGGTAGGTTGCGAGCAAGTCGTTTTCGCCTGAAAGCTTCTCCACGACAGAGTTTAAACTATCAATGTACCTTTCTACTGATTCAATATCATTCCAGGAAACAACCTCCTGCTCCTGCACCAGTTTGGCCAACTTCAGCGCGCTTGCCAACATCATAGGCCGTTGCGATGTGATCATACGATCACCGATTGTGTTATGGAAATTGGCTATCTGTAATCAAAGTTGGAGATCTCCAACGCAGCTTTGATTGGTTTAACCTGTTGCAATACATTCGCGTGCTTCATAAACTTCTTGGCGTACGTCGCCGTCTCTTCAATATGGGGCGGAATTCGATACCCAAGCACGGAAAGCTGCCGGACTTCTTGTATCAGAGTAACCAAATCTGAGGAATAATTGACCCTCATCAATTTATTTGCTGAGAACTGCACGACTTGATCCGTTTCCTGTAAGCTGTTGCATCTTCAGTTGCGGGTCATTGAAATTGCGCTTACCTCAACGATTTATTTTTGATCCTTTGTGAAACTTCGCTGGTCCACGAATCGAACAATTCGCTGTGGTGCTGTTTGATGTCCTTTAGTAGTTGGGTAAGAGTTTGGTTTAGCTCATCATACCCTGGGAGGTCCTCCAAGATTTTGTCGGAGATTGCTTTTGCTTCCGTTGCCTATCATGAAATTACAGTAGGTACAATTTCTTCAGTAAGTTACCTTGGTTTCTAGCTGTTTCACTTTCATAATTTCGCTAACCACTTCAGGAACGTCATATTTGCAGGTTGAATCTGCACTTTCGGCGGTGAGCTGGGCGCTCAGTTGAGCCAAGTATTCCTTGAGCAAACTGAGCAGGTACTGTCGCTCATTTAACAATGTTTTCCTCACCACTGGCCTGTTAATCAACTCTGTGTACCTTTTGAACTCGTATAGAAGCTGGGGAAATAGTGTCGGTGAGCCTTTCAAAACGATCATTTTTTCTACCTGTCTAGTACTAATGCTTGTATTCGCCAACTGCTTCTTTAATTTGGATGCAACTCGTTCTTCAGCGGGTTGTAGCAAATACTCGTACTTTTTGTTGGCAAGGTTCCAGGCGGAATCAGTGTAGGGACCACACTCCAGAATATCCAAATCTGAAAAACCACCCGTTTTATACCACACCCGTCAATGTACCCATACCTTCGTAGGGCACAAAAATAGACTCAGTCTTCAGCTCCCTTTCCTCGGAAGCGCTAAGCAAGCGCACTAACTGGCGATGAATCATTCGAATATTCAGCACCTAAAACTCACCAAATGAACAGGTTGCGTAAGAAATCAACCGACCTCCTGTAGACGATTAGTGAGATCCAAAAGGCTTTGGGGGACGTACGGCTCACCAGTCCACGTATGCAGTGAGTAATTAGGCCAAAATATTTGCGTGAGCTGTTTACAAGACGAAGCCCAATGGCTTATAATCGTAATGCACTGCTCTAGAAGTTCGGTGGCGGCGTTAAATTCCATCGTCCAAACGTTGACGTTTGCCAAATTTTTGGAAATGCACTTGGTCACGTCGCTCGCTGGAATATTATTTTAGTTCGAGCCGATTGAATATCTCTTACCGATTAGATCCATAAGATACTGGGCGCGTGCCTTTGGATAAGGTGGATCGTGCCGCCACAGGTCGTCTAAAACGTTATGGGCGTTTTCCAAGAGATCTTCCACGTCGGACAGTGGTAGGGCGTCTAAAACACTATTTCAGAGGTAAGCGAGCCCATGATTAAGTGATGCATAGATGAGGCCATTGATAAATAGAAAAAAGTGGCGAATTAAAGAGCAAACTCCCAGCTAAATCGAACAATGCGAATAATATCAGGGACTATATCAATCCCACCCCCACAATGCGCTTGCCCACCCTTAGCAATGTAGCCCCACCCGAACTAGCCCGACAGAGAGAATTTAAGATCACGGATAATCCCCAACTCCAAATTCATAATGATGTTCCCTAATTCCAGAACCACTCCAAGTATAGCGCAACAAAATGTTTTGCACCTTGGACCCCAACACTTTCGTGGTAATAATTTATTACCACACCTCGACAGCTTGTTCTTCCATTATCTATTCACCGATCTGAAAATTTTTAACGAAGAGGAGTTCAGGAGCTCGGCAATAGAATTCATTTTTTGAAAATACTGAAAATATCAATTTTCATTCGGTAAATTGCAGAGTCACAACTAGGGTGAATTACAGAGCCATTCAAGAACAATTAAATCCAGCCTACTAGAGAACTATAGCGCGTTCGCACCCCCAGATTCAGTATGGGGTCTTATGGACTAATTGCCTCTCTTACTAGTTTGCGTCATTCTTCGATAATACTATCCTTGTTTCTAACGGCATTGATGTCAAATTGACATAATTATGATTAAATTGAAGTATTAAAACAAAACATAATCTCCTTGTGCTGTCATTCTCACGTTTGGCAAGCATGTACTGTATAGCACCATACTGAATTTGGAGGTGCGAACGCGCTATAGAGAGGAAGAGATTCAATAAAAAAAACAGCTTCTGTGATTTCAAAACATCTCCTTTACCTGAAATCCCGAGCCAAGGGTTCTATAATGTCCCTGAACGATATACTGGCGCGCTGGTCCTTTCCCTTCGAGTTTTTGGCGACATTCGCCCAATAATCAACCTCGTGGTCCAATGACAAAATAACTAAAAGATAAGCTGAGCCAATAGCAATGCCAATTATACTTACTAGACAAAGCGTTGATGTCAACATCTTGGATTGGGTGAACGTTGCTGGTTGGGGTCAAGACAATGCTCCGTAAACCCGCTTGCAAGTTCGCCAGTTGTCTTTGAACGCTATTGTGGCTGGCACTCTTTCGGTCTTGCTGTAACATTTGGCAATAATGTATAAGCTGGCTTAGACTTAAACTGACCTTTATCAGCAATGGGGAAAATACGTTCTGTAAACTATGATACAGGGTGGCCGTCGGGGAACCACTCACAGTAGTAATTTGAATTGTCGCCGACAAATTATCGTCAGTCAATACGGTCGGTGTAACCTTATAAAAAACCAGTAACTTATTGCATTGGTCAGGAACCTTTAAGAAGAAAGTTAGCGATCTAAATGCAGCATTCGCAGCCTCACCTGGGAAAAGAAGCAAATCGTTTCATTTGCATCATTCGCCGAGGCGTACAGCTTTAAACAATTTGCTGTAGAAATGAAATCTTCGAGCTCTTTTTCGCCGGTAACCGCTTCATTGCCCGGCAATCCGAAATGGATGCCTAAAAATGGGGGGTTGTAGTGATACGTGGCCAAGCGTGGCCTTACCGGTTAATGACACGAAAAACTTTTTCACCCCGCTATGCATTGTGGCACTTTCGCTTTGTAAATGACAATTGCTAAACCACGACCACCAGCTCTCTGTTTGTATCAAGACCGTCTCCATAGTAACTTGTAAAAATCAATACGTTCGCGGTATAATTGTTAACGTCAAAGGTATGATTTTTCCATTACTATCGATTAGCAGAAGAACGAAGAGGCGCGACACGGCATTGCAACCGTTCCTAGGCATGAAACTGCCAATTTTTTGGATCATTGGACCAAGCGCCTCCTCCAAATCGACCATAGCCGAAATGCTCGCCAAATCGAGCCAATTTCACTTGATAAGTCTGCAAAGTTTAAAAAAGGACGAAATGCAGAAGCGCAAGTGGAATGTGAACAACTCGACCCGCTCCAACGAAAACCAGGACCTCTTCATACACCTACTCAAAGAAGAGTTCATTCGGACCTATCAGAATTCAACGGGTTACATTATTGACGGATTTCCGATGAATATTCGCGAGGCAAACCTCTTTGAAAAACACATTTGCAAGGTGAACGTTATTATTTATCTTACGTTGACGTTGGACGCTTTGCTGTGTCGGAGAGTGACGCAGCTGCATTATTTTGATGTGGAGGAGGAGAGGATTAAGTACGTCGATAGTTTGAGGAATATCAACAAAATTGTTCAGAAGTTCCAACGTAAAACTATTAAAATTGCATCAAAGTATCCCCCAGAAGATACGTGCACTAAGCTTGTGGTGACGTTGGAAGATGATTGGGGGTACAAGTTTATGCGTTTATATAATAAAAGTTCTTAGTGCATCGTTTTTACTTTTGATTGTATCCGCCGGATTTGCCATGGGGAGGCAAATTTTTTGAAGCGGCACAAAACTAAATTTTGGAAATGATTCTACAGTACTATCGTGAATCATAGTGAAAACGAAAAAAAAACTCACCCTGTATAGTGACAATACTTTGTAAATTAGCCAAACAAGGCGGGCAACTACTACAACTGACTTTTTTCTGTGATCAGGGTCGGATTTACATATTTTGCGCCCATGGGGACCAAAATTATTGTTTACTCTTTACAGAAAAATGTGAATACGATTTTCTTTCCGCCCAGTGAAACTGATAAAAATGATTTGAGGGTACCTTAATTAAACGTTTTCAACAAAAAATTTTGCGGAAGAAGCCCTAAATTTTCCACTATCTTAATACATCTTAACTTTTAAGTTGATAAGAGTATGCGTAACATTCCAAATTCAATTTCTTAAGAGATTATGTTATGTACTTCTTATAAAAGCAAATTGAAATGGATTCTTTATTAAATCTGAGGCAGTTTGTCCTATTTGTTTAATTGCAGACGCAGTGGGTCGGTTTTGCAATAAAAGTAAATTAAGATTTTTTTATTTTTAATTATCAGCCGCCTGCGTGCGGGGTATTATGTCCAAATAAGCTTTGTAAGCCTTTGTTTCTGGCAGGATTTTGTTTTAAATGTTTCATGTGTTTCGAAATAAATTTTTGTCAATGTCAATCAATTGATTGTGTGTTTATTCAAATCCTATAGTCAAATTTTTCATTTCGTGCCCAAGATCAGAACAGAACAGAACCTATCATTATAAAAAAAATAACTCTTAAAGATAGAATGCTTTAGAATAGTGCTAGAACACAGTACGGGTGATGAAGGAAACCCTAGGAGACGCAGGTTCATACAGGTCTAGGAGAGCGCTAAGGGACTTTAGAAAGGCGTTATAGAACTATAATTCCGACCGGATAGAAGAAACCAGGGGGTCGTTGAAAACATAAAAAGCTCTGTAATGTGAACCTATAGCTTTTCCAGTCTCAGTTTAGTAGTGTCCTAAAAATCTCTGGAAAGGGCCGGGGAAAAGCTCTAACAAAGCGATAATGATAGGCCTTCTATAGTGTGTTCCAGAGCAAGTGTCGATGAGGGCTCTGGAAAATACCAAAAAACCTACAGCTTTTCCATTGGATGCGACTCCCAAATCTTTCTAAGCTTATCAATATCCTCTAAGGCCGGCAATAAACGTGGTGTTGTACCGCAGAGGTTCACCCATATATCACAGTTTATCAGTGCCCATATTAGTCCCCCTCAAGTGGTAAACCGCGGCTTGTGTGCCACTTCGTGCGATGAAACTCCATAGGTGAATTGATCTATGGAGTCAAGCTATAGGCGGAATTAAGAAATTATATTTATACTTGCGTACGTACCACTAAAATTTAGAGCCTAATAATTGAGAATTGCCGCTTATACCATTTGATGGTTTTATAGGTACCTATATCTTGTGAATTATTATAATTAATTGCATTAGGTACTTGTAATAAATGCCTCACGTGCAAAAGTGCACAATAATAGTTTTTGATCGGTATACGAAGTAGTGTACTATTAGCGACAAGGTTTTCATTTCAGTAAAGAAAATAGAAATTCAGTAGTAAACGGGTAGGTTGATCATTAAACCGCCATTGAATAAGTAATTATTTTATGCAAATGCAAATAGAGGTAAGTTTCAAACAAGAATAAAGGTCAATTATCAACCTACTTGCACCAAGTAAAGATCATTAAATTATAGTTTATATTTTAATCATTTAGTTTGCCAGGCCTTGTAGTTTGTCTCTGAGATCAAAAACTGTGATACTTCCCCTCCAACGATCAATTTTCTCAATTAAGTAATTATCGTTCTCGCAGATTTTCAAATTTGTGCTCAAATTCCTATTGGCTAATAATTTTATTTTAAAATTATACTTCCGCCAGGGCCCCTATAGATGGCAGCAGGCTCGTATGAAATATGGCCGGGTAGACATTTCCTGTTTACGTACTGCATTGTTGTCACTTTTCGCTGATTGAAACATTTACAAGGGTTAAATTACGTTAAAATGTAATTAATTGTAATTTCTTGCGGAGTGTATAGCGAGTGCTTAATTGTGTGTAACGGAAAAAAGGTGAGCGAAAGTTCGATTGGCGCATTTCAGGTACATCTTGGCGTTTGGAGGTGTAATGGCGATGACCTTGAAACGTCGTGTACATTTTCTTCCGGTCGAAAAGCGGGAGTCTTTGATTTAAATTTCACTTTTCAGGGTATTATGGAGAGCGCCGAATCGAATCAGGAACTGCTGGAAAACGTTACCATTTCTGATGTTGGTGGCTCTCAGTTCATGATACAAAGGATGACTGTCGATAACACTCAGCTTTTGAACGCTGAGTTGCTATCGCATCATGGCGGTTTGGTCGTCGATTTGGGAGCCGGCGACTTTATACCGGTCAACTACTCCTCCGAAGATTTACTGAACCAGGACCTAACAGAGGAGGATCGGAATTTGGCAGCCGCTTTGGTCGCCGTTCAGCTGAGCCAGCAACAAAAGCAGCAGCAGTTACAGCAGGACTCTTCGAGTGCATTACCCACCATTGTCGCCAACTCTACTTTAGGTAATGGCCTGTGATTAGGATTTAGTGTAACGTAAGTCTGCAGGGGTGCCAAAAATCGAGCTCAGCGACCAACAAATTATATTGACCAATAAATCCGGCAACACACTTAACGGTCGGTACTTACAAATCGTAGGGGAGGACGGTGTTTATGTAAGTTCCTTTTGCGTTTTCCTCACAATTATAACTTTCTCTACAGGAAACTTACGATCAGGAAATTAAGTCTGAAGGCGAAAACGAATCTCCAGTTGTTGTCAAGGATTCCGACGGTGAAAATCGGTAAGTTTTTGGCGTAAGCTTCGAATCCGTGCAAATCGCATTTTAGATCGGATACCCGCTCGTCGAGAAAGAGTCTGCCCCACAAAAAGCGTATTTCGCGCAAATTGAAACGAAACCCGGTCGCTTTACGTAAATATCACAAATGTAGTCTGTGCGAGCAGACGTTCTCGAGTGAAGATTTTGCGGAGCATCAGACCGAGTGTCATACGACAATTACGCCCGTTAACCCGACGCTTTTCAGTTGCCAACTCTGTCAGTCGAACTTTCAGGATCAATTGGGTTTCTTTGAGCATTTGAAGAGTCACTACGAGCCCTCCGTGCAAGTGGAACCGGCCGTACTGGCATCAGTAAGTGAACTAGTAATTATTGAGTACTAGTTATATGCTGCTCCACCCCCATTAAAAGTTTGTTACTCCCCTAGTTTAAAATTGCACTCTGTTTTGTAATTGAGCAGAGCAAAGCAAGAGCAGTCTCACCTTTCCGAAGTACACAATGTTTTTCAGCTGGATATTTCAAAATGGATAGTATAGAATAGGATTTATGTACCAAAATCCCCCCCCCCCCCTTAATATATTATTATCAAGGTTGTAAAATTAAGAGCAAACTCCCTCCTCCCCCAATTACAAATTTATTATCCCTTCCCATAACAATAATGTGTTTAAAACAAACAAGCATTTATATAAGGTGTGGGCAACAAAATTTTGATTCAAAGAGGAGGCTGTGGAAATTTTAGTTCACATCTAATATTAATTTTAATAAATAAATATTGTAACGTAATTCAAGATGGCGGCTGAATTTTGTATTTTCGATTTCGATAACTTTGTTATTTCATTGAAATTTGGCAAACAAACAAAGATAGAAGTATAAAAAAATAACCACTGACTACTTCAATTTTTTTCAAAATGGCGGCCATTTAAACATTTAGCTATTTTTTAAATTGGCCACCATTTTGGAAAAAATGTGCACTCAAAATAGATCTTACTAAAGGATGTTTGTTACATTGTACTTTTTGCATTACCTTCATACGAATCTTTAAATTTTTGGTATTGCTTGATTTTAGTGTAATGGCACTAATGAAGCCGGATTATAGAGCGGTCGAGCCTATTTGCAATCTTAGACAAAATGGCGGACTTTTAGTACCCGCTTTAGTACTCTTTTACTATAGGAATCTATATGCCAACTATGTACAGTGTGTCCTATTGCTGTTTTCTGTGCTACTTTTATGTGAAACTTTTAATACTACAAACAGAATCAATAAGCTACATTTCTTTCTAAGATACAAGGTGAATACAAAGAGTTTGACTTTTTGTGATGTTATCATATCTTATTATCCATGTAAGATAGAAAAAGGTAAAAATGCCTGTATTAAATATTTTTACGTAGAGTCCAATGGCATAGTTGAAAAAAGTTTTTGGGCCATGGTTTCTGAGATTTGACCCAAAGTTGAATTTTTTAATGCAACACACTGTATATTTTAACGTCAATTTTGTTCATTCTTTTTCCTGATTATATTGATCTATCGCAACCTATATTTTTTATATAATATACTGGGTCTTTTTGGGGAGCTTTAGTTTAACGTTCCTGGGCTAGTGAAGTAGCTCGATTTTTTTAAATTTCTATGTACGTAGGAGTCACTCTGAAGAGCGAATCGATGTAAATATTTTCAAAATGGTGTAACTTCTGAAAATACAGAAAGTAGTTAGTAACTTCGTTATTTTCAAAAATCTACCTATTTCACTTCCCAGAAACGTTTAGCTAAAACTCCCAAAAAAAACACCCTGTGTATTAATATCATATTTTTCAAATATTTTTACATGACGTTTCCATTCGTGGCCTACTGTTTAAAAAAGTAAAAGAATAAGGATAAAAAATACCGTGTATCACTAATTGTCTTTTTTATTTTTGTCGCTATTGACAATTAGTGATAGTTAGTATTTTTGATCCACTAATTAAAATGGAGACATTCTTCAACAAAAAAAATAAGGTTTTCATAGCTAAAATTAAAAAAATACAGGTTGTGTTGCATAAATGTAAACAGGAAAAAGAATGAAAAACAATTGACGTTAAAATATACAGTGTTGCATTTAAAAAAAAATTCCAAAATTCAATAAAATTGTACAAAAACCTGATTTAGTTCTACATAATCGCACTTGCAGGAAGAAGAACCTACTAAAGAAGAAATTAAAATAGACATCAACACCCCCAAAGAATCGTTATTGTCATCGCTATTAAATTTGCAATGTACAGAGTGCAATAAAACATTTAAGCGGCAGAAAGTCTACGAAGCACACGTTCGTGATGTGCACAGTAAACAAGAGCTGGCCGAATTCAGTGAGCCGGAAGATCTTATGGCCGGTTAGTAACAGTGGCGCCCCCTTTTCAGATTCGTTTTGAAAGTTTTACAATTGCAGGCATCGACGTGGTGGTCGGAGCAAACGAGCACAGCTCTGACGAGGACTCCAAGAGCTGGTAAGACTCCTGTTTAAGTTTTGGACAGTAAGCTCATGCGTGTTGGTAGGTCCAAGTATCGTGACGAAGAGTTGCACGCGACCGAAGAAGATTTGCGCGAGTTGGAAGCACAAGATCACGTATGCCATATATGCCAAGAACCGTTTCCGATGCGTGCCATACTCCTACAACACTTGACTACTTGCCGTTTGATTCACGAGCAAACTGGTAATGTTCGAATATTTTCAAATTGATTTTGTTAACGTTCGTCTCTTTAGAAAATAGTATTCAAAGCGTTCCGAAGAAGAAGACGAAAAAGAAGCCGGGCGAGCTCAGCTGCACGGATTGCGACCGGGTGTTCGCGCATCGCAATTCGCTCATTTATCACCTGAGGAGTCACACCGGCGAACGGCCGCACCAATGCGAGCATTGCGGAAAGAGCTTTTTCGCGGCTAGCGCTCTCAAGGTTCACATGCGACTGCATTCTGGTAATGACGCAGGAGGCGCTTACAGGGTGTTCGTAAATATGATGGGGCTAATTCTTTGTCTTATTTTATGACTACAAGTTCATATAGACATAGGTCCGCAAACGCTTAGTTAGCGATCTACAGGGTGTTTAAATTTCATGATTTTTTAAGTTTTTTTCTTTATATCTTCTGCGGTTTTTGAGATATTTAGCTCGAATTTGAAGGGCTTACATTATTGGTCATGTCATTGGTAATGAGAATGTAGAGGGTGTTCTTTTTTCAGGGTTCATGTTCCATTTTTTACACCTGACCTTTTTTTCTGTGCGTCACTGTAGATTGTGAAACAAGAATTTCATTTTCTGATTTCTTTGGAAACTTTTTAGTCTTGTAATTTTTTCGTATATGACCATTATTCAAAAAAAACAAAAAAACAATTTCCAGTAGTTAGCTAAATGAAAATGGTCCAGTAGGCCCTGGATTTATTTGGATAATATTTTGTTTTTATTAGTGCTGACAGTTTGCATTTGTGTTTGCATTTGTTTATAAATTAAAGGTTGAAATTGTAAAGTGTACGGTAAAATTATAACACATGTTTATATGAACTGTTAAGTCATAAAATAAGCCAAAGAATTAGTCCCTTCCATATTGAGGGGCACCCTGTAAATATTTAAAAACTCTTAAAAGTCAAGTAAAATTCTTTAAAATTGTAAGCAGTTCTTAAGACCTCTTAAAAACTCTGAGAGGCATGAAAACATAAGAATATTTAAGGTCTATTTACTGCAACACAGCTACTGTTAATTGCACTTACTTAATTTGCTGGATTGAAATTTCTCGTAAGGCTCATTGTTAATTGGAATTCCTCAGGTCGACTTCTTATCAACCTGGTACTGGCGTAAACTTGCATGGCCTTGCAGTTTAAATGCTCGTTTTAAAATAACATATGAAACCAAAATCATCTAATAATTACTTAACGGAGCTGAAATTCTCAAGTATTAATTTGCCCTTGCCCTCTAAATAACAAAAGCTTTCGGTCACAACAAAGATAATTGTAATATCTTGATGGGAACGGTTGCAAACGGCGAATTAATTACAGCTTTTGTTTACGGTAGCATCAGCTGAAACACATCTCTAGCAATTATATCACAGACCTTTACCTTGTGTCTTCAATTCCTAGAACCAAATATTTTCGCCTCTAGATACTGGGTGTTCATATACAGGGTGGTCACCAAAACTGGAAGATGGGTGCTTCGTTACACGCCCCCCTTTCTTCGGAAACAAGAGTGCATCTGTCGATCCACGCTATGGCTCAGTTCCTAGAGGTCCTAGAGAGAACTTTTGGTAACTCTGAAAGATCTTCAAAGATAAATAGTTATGACTTAATGATTCTTGAAGATTCTTTAATGGTAAGAGTTTCGCTCTCAAAACGAGAAGAGAATCTCAAGCAGTCTCGTAAAAGCTTTTCAATTACTTTTAAGAGCTCTAAAGGCTGAGTAGACCACTGAAAACTCTTGGAAAAAAAATTTGTCCCAAATGCTACTCTAGCAGACTGTACACCTCTTTAGAAAACTCGAGGAGGGCCTTGGAATATTCTTAAAGGGTAATAAATGCGCATGTCTTTAAAGGCTCTAGTGCTAGAGGCTCTTGGAGATTCTTCCTAACTTTTAAAAACTTGTACAAGACTTTAATGTCTCCTAAATATTTTTGAGAAAATGGCTGACCTGTGTGGCGCAGTTGAGTTGAAGCTTGACTGCGGTACTAAGGGTACTTGGGTTGGTAGTGCAGCCCTTGGCTGAAACCCCGCCCACTCAAAAATAAAGACCAATTAAATAAAAGGCTCTTAAAGGCTCGCACTCTTAAACTTTCTTTAGAACAGAGCTCTTAAGGTCTGTTAAAGGCACAATTTGGCTAGAATTTTCTTGGCGTAAATATTTCGAAATTTTCCAAACAGGTGACAAACCGTACAAGTGCGAGCATTGCGGACGAAACTTTCGTCAGTGGGGCGACCTAAAATATCACACGATCTCGCTGCACTCCGACCAGAAACAGTACCAATGCGAGTACTGCGGCAAGGACTTCGCCCGAAAATACTCCCTCATCGTCCACCGTAGAATACACACGGGCGAGAGGAACTACAAATGCGAGTTCTGCGGTAAAAGCTTCCGGGCGTCCTCCTACTTGCAAAATCACAGACGGATACACACAGGTAACGATTACGCGAGCGCTCACATTGATTTAAAGACGCCCTGGTGCGATTTTGGTACGGGCATGTATTAAGTGTATAGTGGGTTGGGTTGGTTGAAACCCCGCCCACTAAAAAAAAAAGACAAACGTTCACTGAAGCGCGGCGCGGCGTTCGAAACCAATGTGAGCGCGTTAAGTGCGCGTCGGCGATAAAAACTAATGTTTTGCAATACGAACGTTTAGGCGAGAAACCCCATCCGTGCGAGGTGTGCGGGAAGCCGTTTCGTGTAAGATCCGATATGAAACGACACATGAAGACGCACGGCAGGAGAAGGTTGGTGCGGTCGACGCCCATGTCTCCGGAGCTGGTTGTGACGAAGATTGAAAAATCAGAGGATAGTATTATGATCGATTCGGACGATACTAGTCAACTGCAAACTCAGGAGAGCGAAAACGCGGTCGAAGCTCTGCAGTTTGAGCAAACTCAATTAGAAGCCGTGCGCGAGGGAAACACACTGTATGTTGTGCCTATTTTAATTGCGTAACTCAAATGTAACGAGTTTTTTGTTATCAATAAAACTATGTATTCGTAGATTTGTACGTGTCCCGCGCTATTTTATTTTTAGTTTATTTTCTTTGTAGGTACACTAATGGTCATCAATTATTTGTTCTATACACTGGGGACGCGCAACCACATTTAATTGAAGATTCCTCCACATGGTCTCAAACTAGTTAATAAATTAAAACTTAAGAATTGGTAATGTGTACATAAATGGCATAATTGAACTGTAAATAGAATTGTTTATTGCGTATGTGCTACTCAGACCTCTTGTGGTAACTATTTTATTAAGGTAATAAATCATTTCCTATTCTTGTTGTTACTTAATTTCGTGAGAATCTGAGGTCTTTTAGTGTTATCATAGACAGAATGATGCTGCTATAGAATGTAAAGTGAGTAAAGTACCAAAATCTGACATATACAGTGATATTCATGTAGAAGTAGACATAGGGATTTCCTATGTCTACTTTCAATTGATAAAAAGTCTTCTGAAAGACGCCTAATTGTATGCAACCAAAATAACTTCTTGAAACAAATAAAGATCTGGCTGTCAAATTAATTTGAATATTATTTATTTGGCTTCACAGAAAATAAATCTCTTAAGCTCCTTTAACTGTTATCGGCACTATACCAATTGGAAATATCAACTTTTTCTTTAGTGGAATACATCCCATACGAACCGAAATTAGAATACGGAAGTCCTAACTATCATTCTTTTAAATTCCTATAAGAAATCCCATATGTCTACTTCTACATGAATGTCACTGTATTATAACTAAAGTGTGTGCTAGAAAGAATTGCTCATGAACATTTCAACGTATTTCTGGCCGGAGATTTTAATATAGACATTTTATCACAGACAAACCAAGTACATAAATTTCTGTGAAAAGGCTAATGCCCTAATGGTCAATTTAACAAACTCCTTGGCGGATTTTGTAGAGTACCTATGACTAGACTAGGTTGTAACCCTCCTCGATTACTACGAGTAAAGAAGTACACGTTTTTTGATTGCTGGAAGATTGATCAGGCAGAATTTAACTGAGTGCCAACAACCGGTTTTAATAATAAAAATTCCGCTTAGTTTCAGTCAAGAACTCCAAGTATAGAAAAAGGAGTGCCTCAAGGGAGTGTGATAGGTCCACTACTATACATAATAAACTATGCCAATGACTTATGTTGCCCGAAACAGAGGATTTCGGCAGGATGCAGCAAAAGGGACACCAGTGATAAACAAATGTTTGACTTAATTGTAAATAATGGAAAGACCAAATGTACGGAGTTTAACTCACGCACATGGAGTAGTTCCAAATTACAAGCTGCAAATTTTAACAATAAAGACTATTCCAACTTCTGTAAAAACAAAATCGCTCGGTCAATTTTCAAAATTTCAACAAAGATAAGAATAAGTTAAGTTCAACAGTTTCACATTTTATTTTTATAAATTACTCTACAGGTTTAATCGTAATATACCTTGATAAAATAAAAACAACAACTAAAGTGCTTACAACAAACCCGACAACAGACATATAAAAAGTTTCTTCGGTAAAAACGTCCGTAAACGCGGGAATATTGTTGTAAACGTTCTCGATCAACTTCGAGTGAAAGTCTGCCTTTTTGACGGCCATTACTTTCGTTTGCCTTTCTTTTTCTCTGTTTTTGTTAACGTGGCACTAACATCCGATATTTCCTCCTTCTTAACTAATGAACTGACGTGTTTGTTGATCTGTTGCAAAATTTCTAAAACGGTAAGATTGTTCGCCAAAAATGTAATCGAGCCACTGAAAGGAAACGCATTGTTTTGTGTGAGTGAACCCCAAATAGTTTACCCAGACTCCACCAAGTCGAGTTTGATCCAGGGATCGCTCCGATCGCACACTACATTCGTTTTCACTGAGCAATTATAGTTTGTTGTCAACACCTTTGGGGTGGTGATGTGAAATAGGAATTCTCTAAAAAAGAAGTGTAGTTGCGCTTGCGTTCAGTTTATAAATAGGATCAATCAATAAAAACCATTTCCCTACCTAGGTATGTGTGATTGTGGATGGAAAGGGTCGAACTGCACTTGAATTTTTTTTACGGGTTTTAAGTTAATTTGATTTAATTGTTTCGCAATTGCACTTAATAATCCACCGGTCTTTCTAAATGTACCGCTGAAATATATGGACATGTTTATTTATTTTTCACTTTTTGAGGTTATGGGACCATTTGACTTCTGACATTTTAACAAGTACCAACCTCACAAAACCAAACATCTCTAAGTATAATAGATTATCAACATACAGGACGATTGAAAAATAACTGTGTTAATTGTCCTGTACGTACACATTTCAAGGGTTGGAACCGGAATCGAAAACGACTGCATTTATAGGCCGCATTCTTAAAATCGAAACCGTTATTCAACGAGTCATGACAACCGGTATCGCTATTTTGTAGATAGGGTAGACATGGCGCTGCGCTTAGTGACAGAGAAACCAGTTTTATAGCGTCTCAAAATTTGGTTCTTATGTGTATAAAACTTTTCTCAGATTTAACATTAGTATAGTTACCGGTTATTATTATTAACGATAAAATATTACGCATGTGAGATTAATATTAATGTAATGTAATTGAATTCGTTCCATATGGACTAGGTCTTAGTCACAGTAGAGTAAAGAATCAAACAAAACTTAATATTGAAAAATTTGAAGATGTAAATATTTGACGTTTCTAAAAGTCGATCCTAAGGTTTCAAATCTTTCAATATTTCAAGATTGGGAAACTTAAAAATTCTTGCAGCTTAAAATTCCAAAACATTCTCATTTTAAGACTCTAAATTCCAAGATTTCAACATTTAAAAATTTCTGAATTACCACAGTTTAAAGTCATAAGACGTCTATAGTCCTTAGGGTCGGAAATCCTAAGATTCGTAAGATTTTAATAGTGCAAGACTGAAAATCTCAAAGATTTTCCAAGTTTCCAGGATTCCAAGACTCCTAAATTCCAACGTTCCAAAATCCTAAGAAAATCTCCAATCTAATAGTTCAAGGTTTGACGATTATCAGCCTTGAAGTCTTTGGATGCAAGTCTGCAAACCTTGAAGAAACCACTCCAAGTTGGATGTGCAAGCTTTAAAATAAACAAAGCTAATAATTAGGAGAGATTTTAATGGAGTTCGCTGACGAACAAATAATAGTAATAATACTCATTTTGAGAAGAGAATTTCATTGTGAATAAAAGTCCAATGAAATTTTGTTTGAGTAAATGCGGTAGACATTTGAGGCCATCCTATGTATGTCTAAAAAGTTTCACGAAATGTCAAAATTTTAAGTTGGTATGACGTATTCTAATCACAAGTGAAAAACCTCAAATAAAAATACAGTAAAATGGCCGAGTCCGAATTAAACGTTGACAATCTGATTCAACGACTATTAGAAGGTATTTACTTTGCTCTTAATTAAATAGTAATGGTAAATATAATAAACGAAAAAAATGTTTAGGACACATCGCAAGGTAATACAACGAAGCCTTTATAAATACTTCACTTTCATATTGCGGTCAATCATTTTGGGAGCGCAAATTTTCCAAAAATCAAATTAGAATGGGGCGTTTGACAGTTTTTATACTCCGAAAAGGGCCCATTTGAGAAAAAATCCCAATTTATAAAGGTCTAGTTTGATTTAAGAAGATTATTTCCTAACCCAATTAGGTAGTTAATCTAAAATTAAAGTTAAATCCAAATTGTGTTTTTAATTATCGTTCGGATGCAGGAGAAGGAAATAATTGTATATTCGTTGCATGCAACGCTTAAAAGTATCGGTCATATTAGTACTAGCGTTAATAATAACTTTGAAAGCTGTAAATTGCTTTTTAAGCATTGCAAAATGAATTGCTTTCTAAATTGCAGTGTATGAATATTTATGTTAACATAAAATCAATAATATAACATTTATTGTTTGTGCTGCTTTCGATGATATTTGGGTAAAGTATATAAAATTCAAAAGGAATACAACCAAAACCAAGATAATAAGAAGAAAACAAAATTTAAAGACATATTTTCGTCTGATTGTAAGCATGCACGCTTAAACCTTTTTTAGTTTTAGTCTCAGCTTATACAAATCTGTAGCTTTCGTATTACTTACGTAATTGCAACCAAATTAATTCAGTACGCGATTCACACTTATTTTGCATGTGAATGACTTGAAATAAGGGTGAATTTTAAATTAGCGCTCGCTCGCTCTCTCTCAATATTAAGAAACGTGAACGTCAATACGACATTTTTTTTTCAGTACGAGGATGTCGACCCGGAAAATCCGTACAGATGACGGAAGGCGAGGTGAGGGGCTTGTGCCTAAAGTCCCGCGAAATCTTTCTACAGCAACCCATCTTATTAGAACTAGAAGCCCCGCTAAAAATTTGTGGTTTGTATCGCGGCGAGCAGCGCGTCGTCGTGTCTATACGACGTTTTCCAGGTGATATTCACGGACAGTACACGGATTTATTGCGCCTATTCGAATACGGCGGCTTTCCCCCGGAGGCGAACTACTTATTCCTAGGAGACTACGTCGATCGCGGCAAGCAATCGCTGGAGACGATCTGCCTGCTGCTGGCCTACAAAATTAAGTATCCCGAAAACTTCTTCCTGCTACGGGGGAATCACGAGTGCGCCTCGATTAATCGAATATACGGATTCTACGATGAGTGTACTAATTACATTTCGAGTTGCGCGAGCCCACTTTTACAGAGCGTCGTTTTTTAGGTAAACGACGGTACAATATTAAGCTGTGGAAGACGTTTACGGACTGTTTCAATTGTTTACCGATAGCGGCGATTATAGACGAGAAAATTTTCTGCTGCCACGGCGGATTAAGTCCAGATTTACAGAGTATGGAACAAATTCGTAGGATTATGCGACCTACTGATGTACCTGATACAGGTCCGTTGTTCCCCCTCAATTTTAGACCTAATCCTATTGGTCCATTTGAAGTTTGTTGAGTAGGCTGTGTGTGATTGGTTCACTTTCGACTGTTTCTGTCAAAGGACCAATAATGATAATCTTGATTGTGCCAAGTATAGCATAAAAGATCTAATATCTTTGGATTCATTATTTTAATGTCTGTAATTATCCAGATAAAAAAAATTGAAAATATGCAAATTAAAAATCCTAGGTTTATGTAGGAAAAATGCTTGTTTCGGTCCGTGCTCAAGGCGGTCCCAAGTATATCACCTCCATGTACAAGTTAGTGTGATGGAGAAATGATTAATCCCCTTAAATAGCTGTGAGGTATATTAACATTTGGTTTGGTCCTTTAGACACTTACTGTAAAACAATCGAAATCACTGTAATGTTGAGATGAAATGGTTGAGAAATCACGATCTTATTGAGTGGCACAATTTCAAAAGCAATAATAATATATAATCAGAACCTATTAAATGTATTACACAACTCTGAAAATAGTTGTAAAGTTCCTTGTCTCCCAAGCTCAGTGATCTTCATCATTTGATCTTACTGTACTTTCATGGCTATCTTCGTGACTGTCATCATCTTCATTTGATCTTACTGTACTTTCATGGCCATCTTCGTGACTGTCATCATCTTCATTTGATCTTACTGTACTTTCATGGCTATCTTTGTGACTGTCATCATCTTCATTTGATCTTACTGTACTTTCATGGCTATCTTCGTGACTGTCATCATCTTCATTTGATCTTACTGTACTTTCATGGCTATCTTCGTGACTGTCATCATCTTCATTTGATCTTACTGTACTTTCATGGCCATCTTCGTGACTGTCATCATCTTCATTTGATCTTACTGTACTTTCATGGCTATCTTTGTGACTGTCATCATCTTCATTTGATCTTACTGTACTTTCATGGCTATCTTCGTGACTGTCATCATCTTCATTTGATCTTACTGTACTTTCATGGCTATCTTCGTGACTGTCATCATCTTCATTTGATCTTACTGTACTTTCATGGCTATCTTCGTGACTGTCATCATCTTCATTTGATCTTACTGTACTTTCATGGCCATCTTCGTGACTGTCATCATCTTCATTTGATCTTACTGTACTTTCATGGCTATCTTTGTGACTGTCATCATCTTCATTTGATCTTACTGTACTTTCATGGCTATCTTCGTGACTGTCATCATCTTCATTTGATCTTACTGTACTTTCATGGCTATCTTCATCACTATCATCATCATCATCATCATCATCATCTGAGCGCCCTGCAATGGCAGACACTGCGATAAGTAACACGATGAACTTTGCGCTGACCATTTCTGTACTTTCTGATGTTCGTAACAGCTGGTATGAACATTTATATACCTAGTCAACCGTCTGACGTAACTTTGTACACGTTTTATTCAAATTTACTGTTTTCGCTACCATACGTTGTAATTATTTGTTTAAATATGTATTCTACCACGTAAGCTGTTTCATTTTCGGACAACTTTGTGAAACAATTGCACATACAGTGTGTCCCTTGCTTGTTCGGTGCTGTAAAAAGTTTGAATAGAATCTTGAGCTTTGGATCAGCACTGCTTGGTTGGTAACTTAATTTGAATTTCGCAAAATCAATGGTGCCTTTGACATTTTCAAAAAACGGTTGTTGCATACTTCTTTAGGGACGAGGTACGCACATAAGTTATTAAGAAAAGTTGTTCACAATTAAAAACTGAGTAAACGTCCAAAAAGTCGTACGCCTACTTTGATTTTTTTTAGAAAATGCGAAAAAGTGTTACTTAAAAAACTTCAAAATAGAATGTAATGGTCGTGTAGCAAATTTAAAGCCCATTTTGATATTTAATGTAGGTAAATTGAGGAGCTCAATATCAATTGGCTCAAATTTACTACACATTCTATTTTAAACAGTTTTTTGAAGTAACATTTTTCGGATTCTCCAAAAAAATCCAGTTAAAAAATAAAAACAAAACAAAATCCAAAGTAGGAGCACCCTTGATTTTTCGAAACAAAAATTGTGACCCAAATTAGCGCCCAATCAAACCAAGTAGCCCAGCAGCACAAAATTCAATCTGAAATTTTACAAGAGACGACCAAACAATTGGGGGACACGCTGTATGTAACAGCTATTATTTACATTATTTTGTTATGTTACTTGAAGATTGTAATCGCAACTCACAAGGCACAACAAATATTTACCCTATGTTATTTATAACACTGTGACATTTCTTCTATGTTTTTCACAGAAATGTAGTTCAGTAGGTTCTGGATCGGACCTATAAAACAGAACTTCTTTCTTTGAGGGCTGATATCCAAACTGGGAGACCACAATTTCCTCTTTAAAAAAACTGAAACCGATACATATTGGTTTGTTCTTTGATTCTGAGACATTGCCAAGGTTAGACGCCATATTAATTTCTTTCTGACGTCACAGGGTTAGTAAACAATCTCATCTGGTGCGGTGTTTTGTTGCGTTTCGTCGGTTTTCTACAGACGTAAAATAGTTTCATATACAGGGTGATTCATATCAAAGTTACATTGTTTAAAAATAGAACCCCCTGTATATTATTACATATTTGGATTGGATTGGAAAAGAAAACTACCAAAGATAGGTACTGATAACCCTATATCGTAAAAAAGTTGATGAAATTTCGTATTTAAAAAAAAAAGGGACACTGCATTTGAAAAAAGTCATCTATGAATGAATTTTTTAAATTGGCAAATCAGTTTCTTAAAACGTGAAAAGAACTCCACTCTGCTCGCCCGGCCTACATGGGTACATTTTAGGGTAAGTAATTCCACAAAGTCCAGCTTACCAAGTTTGACAATTACTGTTGTACAATTGTTTTCAGACATAAGATTTTTAAAAAACATTGATTTGTGTCCAAACCGTTCGTTTTAGATAGCAAGTGTGACACATAAATCACATTAAAATGTCTCCAAATATGCAATAAAATACAGGGGGTTCTATTTAAAAAAATGTAGCTCATATGAGTTGCCCTGTATATAGGTTCCAATCGAAGTGAAAATATTTTAGGTTTGTAAGTTCCCCACTATATCCAAGCGCCGAACTTTAAAAATGCACGTTAATAAACCCGCATCAAGAATCCGTCCACACAATATTATTGGCCCACCATGTATACATAAAAATGTCTGTCTAAATCGTTCATTCGATTGCGATGAAACTTTGGGGAATGTCTAGACGTATGCCCGCGAAAGTTCCAAGTGAAACGGGAAAAAACGAGATCTTACGTTTTTTAGTGGAAAAGAGACTTCCCAAAGTTCCCACGGGAACGGGCTACGGGAAAAGACGCGATTTCTTGAAAGTTCTTATTTTAGAACAATTGACGATTGAAGGCTCAACTTGTTCCAAATGTTTGTTAAAACAAGGAAACTCTGAAGCAGCTTTCGCGGTAACTCTTCTCATCATTTCAGGCCTACTGTGCGATTTACTATGGTCCGACCCAGATAAGGACGTCCAGGGCTGGGGCGAAAACGACCGCGGCGTATCGTTCACGTTCGGCGCGGACGTCGTGACGAAATTCCTAAACCGTCACGACCTGGACCTTATCTGTCGGGCGCATCAGGTCGTCGAGGACGGTTACGAATTCTTCGCGAAGCGCCAGCTAGTCACGCTCTTCTCGGCGCCAAACTACTGCGGCGAATTCGACAACGCCGGTGGAATGATGAGCGTCGATGAGACGCTGATGTGCTCGTTTCAGGTGAGGCGAATTCTGGGTGTTAAGGGGTGCGCTAATGTTTTGTTTAGATTTTGAAGCCCTCGGAGAAGAAGGCGAAGTATCAGTATCAAGGAGTGAATTCTGGACGTCCGGCGACGCCGCAGCGCAGTCCCACAAATAAAAAGAAATAAGGTCTTCTCGATGTTGTTATTTTCTTTTGCATTTATTGTTTGTGTTGTCCTTTTAATGCGGATCGAGTCAGTTGCATTGTTATGGAGGGCTGTCTTACATTTAGTTTGTACATAAAAATTTTATGGTGCCGTTTTATACATTGAGGTTATTATGCAGATGTCAATCGTAGTGTGCAATATAGAAATATTATTTATGGTCAATATTTGTGACAGAAGTATTAAATAAAATATGATGACAGCTTGCAAATGTTAAAAGTATTATTTATTAGAATTAAATTTACGGTTTTATTTATATTCGACTGATTCTTTTATGATGTAGCGTAATTTTCATCGAACGATGCGTGTTTTGAAGTCACTTCTGAAATGTACTATACACCAAGTTATCTAATGAAATTGCAAAGTATTTGTTATATTCTAAATCACAAACCCTAGCATTATTGGCGATTTTCTACCACTTTATTTGATGCTTCAGATCTACGCCTCTATGTCAAGTAATCGTCGTGCTTTGGTGTCGCATGTAAACGGTTTGTGGTTTGGATACACGTTAGTAGTTGTAAGCACTTTCATTTCCTTTAGTTAGCGATGTAGATCTTATCAGAATGTTGTACATTTGTCTCCTCGCACGTGAAAATAAAAAAGCGCATTAATGTACAAATCTGGGACGAGAGTGCCTAATCTATGATTGTCCCGGGAAACACCATAGATGTACCTTTTCTTCGCCAACGAAATTATCCCACCGATCAGTAAATTTCGCCGCCTTTGTCTTCTCCCCAATTTACAAATCGTGCCTATATTGATCGCAGTATTACCAGTGCTCCCCCCTATCCAGGAAGATTTTTAGCAATAAATTAAATAACTTGGTTAATATTTTTTTAGAAAGAAGCCATTCCGTAAAGGTCTATATTTTTCTCTGCACTGAATGAATTTATTAGCTATTTTGTAAGTACGTCGGAGAAATCTATATTTTAATAAACGCCTAAAAATTACACATGACACAATTATATACCTATATATTATATGAACCTATATTTTAATTCGCTTACATTGTTTTATATAAAAAAAATGTGTACTTCAAGATAATAAAATGTAATATAATTATTTGGAGTTTTACTTAATTGCTGTTGAAATATTATGCAGATTTCTCTTTTTAATTTTAAAGATCTCATCTGTTTACAAAGTGAAAAACATTTTTTAGCATTCTTAATAATTAAGGCTCCTCTGTAGTCAATTTGTATTTCAGCAACTTCTGTATTAAAATAAATCGCTAATGATCACAATATTCAACAAAACAGTACCTTCAGCCTAACTTACAACTAAAAAAAATCACTTGTAAAGCACAAAAAGGTGAACTTCTAAAGTGCCTAAAAAACCATAGTACATTTTTAACGAAAAAAGTTTAACAATTATTTTAAAAATAATTTTTCCGTTATGCGTTTCATTAACAAAGCAAACAGAGTCGTCCCCTTGGTCGACAAATTCCTCAGTCCAGCAAATCCCGCTCCATTTAGGTGCGGGATTAATCCCGCAAAAATGCTGCGGGATCCCGATACTGCATTCCCTAGAGACGTCTAATCGAAAAAGTACGAATCTTTTTGAATTCTACGTACCAAAATTAATAAGAAAAAGTTTTTTCCCGAGAAATTTTGGTGTAGTCGATTTTTGGTAAAAAAGGAAGGTTATACACTGCCTTTTTTTGAGCCCCGAAAAAAAATTGTCTCAGATCGACCCGGAAAAAAACTTTCTTATAGAATGTGGCCTGTAGAATCCATAATTTCGATCAGTTCCAAGATTGGGCTACTAGATCAAAGTTACAGCCCTTTGAATTTTTTGTCGAAATTGGTTTTTTGCCCATAACTTTTGATTGAGACGTCTAATCGAAAAAGTACGAAACGTTTTGGATTCTACGCACCAAAATTAATAAGAAAAAGTTTTTTTCCGAGAAATTTTGGCGCATTCGATTTTTGGTAAAAAAAGAAGGTTATACACTACCTTTTTTTGAGGCTCGAACAAAAAATTGTCTCAGATCGACCGGGAAAAAACATTTTCTTATAGAATGTGCCCTGTAGAATCCATAATTTCAAACAGTTCCAAGATCGGGCCTCTAGATCAAAAGTTACAGCCCTTTGAATTTTTTGTCGAGATTGGTTTTTTGCCCATAACTTTTGATTGAGACGTCTAATCGAAAAAGTACGAAACGTTTTGGATTCTACGCACCAAAATTAATAAGAAAAAGTTTTTTTCCGAGAAATTTTGGCGCATTCGATTTTTGGTAAAAAAGGAAGGTTATACACTACCTTTTTTTGAGGCTCGAACAAAAAATTGTCTCAGATCGACCGGGAAAAAACATTTTCTTATAGAATGTGCCCTGTAGAATCCATAATTTCAAACAGTTCCAAGATCGGGCCTCTAGATCAAAAGTTACAGCCCTTTGAATTTTTTGTCGAGATTGGTTTTTTGCCCATAACTTTTGATTGAGACGTCTAATCGAAAAAGTACGAAACGTTTTGGATTCTACGCACCAAAATTAATAAGAAAAAGTTTTTTTCCGAGAAATTTTGGCGCATTCGATTTTTGGTAAAAAAGGAAGGTTATACACTACCTTTTTTTGAGGCTCGAACAAAAAATTGTCTCAGATCGACCGGGAAAAAACATTTTCTTATAGAATCCATAATTTCAAACAGTTCCAAGATCGGGCCACTAAATCAAAAGTTACAGCCCTTTGAATTTTTTGTCGAAATTGGTTTTTTGCCCATAACTTTTGATTGAGACGTCTAATCGAAAAAGTACGAAACGTTTTGGATTCTACGCACCAAAATTAATAAGAAAAAGTTTTTTTCCGAGAAATTTTGGCGCATACACTACCTTTTTTTGAGGCTCGAACAAGAAATTGTCTCAGATCAACCGGGAAAAAAACATTTTCTTATATATGGCGTCGATCGTCCTTATTGTCTCCTTCAACTTGGTGTGGGTGTTCGTCGAGGCTCGTATAAACTGAATGGCTTCGTCTATAGCCAGCCTAGTTTCACCTTCCATCAGGGTCTCCTCCGTCTGTAGCTTCCTGATGTCCCCCAGGTCACTAACCGCCGACTTGGGAGATACCAGCACCGTCTCCTCCCCCTCATCAGTCCTCCGTCTGAGCTTCTTAGGCCTAGACATCTCCTCCCACGCTTCTTCCTCCGTCGAGGAGCTGTCGTTCCTCTTCCTACTCTCCGTTCTCCTCCCCCTTTGTATCGTCGCACCATACGGGGTCTCCGGAACCACCTCATCCATCCGAGAGTTCGCTCCCGGGCGTACAGATAACTCCTCTGCACCGGATCCTTCCTTCCTGCTTACAGATAGTACTGGTGACCTCATAAGCCTGGGTCTGCTGGCCATGGGCGTCCCATACCTCTCGTCTGCGTCCGACATTATCACTCAATCCGCGCACCCGCAAACTACCCTACTATGTCCACTAAACCCTTGTCTGTAATCCTAAGCTAAACTTAAACTAAGCTACTATATTACACCACACTATGTCCTATCACTTGCCCCCTATTACGCGCAGGGGTAGTTCACACCCCCCCGAGTGGGGTGTCAAAAGACGCCGCTAAGCACCACTAACCCGACGCCGTTATTCCCGCCTCGATCATATCAACCGTTCCGCCTATATTGGCCTATCAGTCCTCCTCTTAACGGGAGCTGATAGGACTGTCACTTCCGCACGCACGACCCGATAAGGTTCGTTCTAGCCTCCACCACTCTGGCACACTATGGGCTTTCCACCGACCCCTTTCCCGAGCGTGCTACCCTTCTACTTCCGCACCCTGCTACCACGTGCAGGCACTTGCACCCCGCGCGCAGGGGTTGAACCCACCCCCTCGAGTCTGGTGTCTATACACTCGCCTTTTCCACCCGATTCAAACGCCACCGGTCTCGACCGGCTATCTCACCCCATTCCGCCCCTGTCGACCTATCAGTCGCTATCGCCTGGAAGGTCGGCAGCGCCCGAGGGCGTGGGCCGATAAGGGCGACCCGGTGCGGGTTACGTTCCTAAACCTAAGGCCTACCTTTTGGTACCACTCGCAACCTTATCGGATAGCTCCCTTGGAATTTGGCAACCACGCGGTCTCCTTATCTCCAACCTAACCTAACCTAACCTAACCTAACCTAACCTAAACCTAACCTAACCTAACCTAAACCCAACCTAAACCTACCCTAACCTAACCTAAACCTAACCTAAACATAACCTAACCTAACCTAAACCTAACCTAACCTAAACCTAACCAAACCTAACCTAACCTAACCTAAACCTAACCTCACCTAACCTAAACCTAACCTAACCTAACCTAAACCTAACCTAAAACCTAACCTAAACTAACCTTTTTTTTTTGTATAGAGGTGGAAATCTTAAAGACACCAAGCGCCTTAGGTTCTATCGGCGCAAGGTAGTGCAGGAATCTCCTCCCCGGAGGGCGGCCTACCCGCTAAAACCACTCCTCGGCCACGCTTTCTAGCTGGGCAGGAACGCACAAGTGTGCTCCCTTCTGTCCAGCGGGCCTTGTTCTTCTCCTTATTCTTCCGCCTGACGTGCGCGCTCATCCTCCTCCTTCTTTCTAAGGAGGTCTCCTATTGGGCCTGCGTCACATACTACGTAGTGTACGTGTGTGCGCAGTCCACCCAGCGGCCTACCTCGGGTATCAGCCGCCTCGTCCAGGAGGCCCTCCCCTCGCCAGCCCAGCTTTCCTGCCACTCGTTCATTGTCCGTTCTCTCTCTCTCATTCTCGCCTTGCCCCCACTTCGGAACACACGCTCCCTCTCCCGAGCCAGAAGATCCAGAGGCACCATCTTCGCGATGACGCACGCCGCCGGGCCCGATATCGTGCGATACGCCGAGGCCACCGCGATACAGGACGTTCTCTGTAGAGAGAGCACCATACCGCGGTATTTCGCGATCCTAATCGCCTCGCACCACACCGGCGCCGCGTACATTAGGGTCGACGTCACCACTCCCGCTAGCACCCTCCTCTTTATGTGTTTAGGCCCCTTCACCCTCCCCATCAGCCGCCCCACCACCGCCATCGTCTGCCCCGCCTTACTGACCGCCAACTTGACGTGCTCTCCCATCAGGAGGCCTCTATCCAGGACAACTCCTAGATATTTGGCCTCCCTCACGGGCTCGCACGTCAGGTCTCCTACCCTCACTTGCAGCTTCGTGGATGGCCGGTGCCTCCCCAGCATGACGACCGTGGTTTTCGCCACGGCCATCTCGAGCCGGTTCCGTACCATCCAGTCCCCCACAAGCCGCGCGCTTTC